TATTAAAAATAATAATAATAAATATATTTTATAATATATTATTTTTTTATAATTAAAATTTTTATTAATTTATAATAAAAATATATATAAAAATATATATATTATTTATTATATTAATTATACTGCTAAAGCCTTTAAATTTTTTAATTAATTTAACTTTAAGGGAAAGATATAATAAATTTAGCTATTAAATATAGTTTATATATAATTTCTTTATTAAATTAATTAAATTATAAAATATTTATAATATAGTTAATTAATTAATATAAAAAAATACTATAGTATTTCTCTATAATATATTAAAAGTATATATTTATAAAAATATTAATACCTTTTGCTTTAAAGGTTATTAGTAATTTCCTTTTGCCTTTATATTTATATAAAGTTATTTATAAAGCTTAAAAAATACTGTTTTTTTTATATAAAAAAGATTATAAAATATTAAGTTAAAGAATTAAAAAAGTTTTTTATAATAATATTATAAAGCTTTTAGGTTATTTAATATTAACTTTATTTTATAACTATAACCTTAATGCTGCTATATTATTTATATAATATAATTTTATATAATTATAGCTATATTAAAGTTTTTTTTTTAATTTTTATAATTAGTAATAATAATTTTTTTTATTAATAATATTATAATTATTAATAAAGCTATTTTTAATAAAATTTAATAAATATTAATTAATTAAAAACCTATATAATTTTATATATATTTTTAATTAATTACTATAAGCAGGATTTAATAAAAAATTTAATAATTATTTTTATTACAGGCATTTTTATAGTCTTTACTAATTTAATATATTATAAGCAGGGGTTATAGTATTTTATGCTTAATAGAGAAAAATAATATAATTTTATATTAAAAATCCTTATTAATTTAAGTATAGTGCCTCTTTTATATTAGTTAATTAGCTGGCTAGTTGAAAAAAAATATATTGGATCACGGCCTAACATCGCGCAAAGGTGCAAGGCGCGCCCTGTTAATTATAGGGATCCCTACACACACTTCTCGACCAGAAAAGAGATTGCTAGTTTCCTGAAGAGTAGTAGTTCTGCCTGAGCTTAATTCTTAGTCACCCCGCATTAACAGTTCACTAAACATTTATTCAATTCCGCTGAAATATCCGAACATCTCAAGCCAATGCGGGTTGCAGATTGACTCATTGTGATCTAGGATCTGGCAAAATTTATTGACTCGGAATCTCTATATAAGCTGAACTATTTGCGGTTAATAGCGATTCACCTATAGAAGAGAAGCTAAACTGCTGCCAAGGCCAATATTTTAGGAATTGAGGATGTTCATGGGAGAAGATAATTGACTTTACTTGGACAGACAGACCTTGTTAATTAATTAGTAAGTACAGATCAAGTCACTTGCCCGAATATTCGTGGAAAACCCCTTACTTCCTAACTTTATTCCTAACTTTCTCGTTGCATCATAGGCACTTTTATTAAATTATTCACCCTCCAAGAAATACCATTCACCAAGACAAAATGTCGGATAACGTTTTGCAAGTTGCAGCCAGTGCTGTCCAGGCAAGAAGCCGCATTCAACAACACATCTACAAGACGCCCCTCATCCCAGCCCGTGTGGCAGGCAAATCCAACAGCGCAAACGTCTTGTTCAAAGCAGAGAATTTCCAACTCACAGGCTCCTTCAAAATCAGGGGCGCAACATCCAAGCTGTCCATCCATCCCGCCGACGGGAATTTGATCACCGCTTCATCGGGAAATCACGGTATTGGCGCTGCGTGTGCGGCAAAGGCCCTCTCTCGGAAGCTCACCGTCGTGGTCCCTCATTCGGTTGTGCCTGCAAAACTGGCCAAGATCAAGTCATATGGAGCGAACGTCATCTTGGCTGGGGATGATCCTGGCCAGGCTGAGCAGCACGCGCAGCGACTTGCGGCCTCGGGGGATTATACCTATGTTTCGCCGTATAATGACGCCGGCGTGATTGCCGGACAAGGAACGATTGCTCTTGAGATTCTTGAACAAGCCGAGAGAGTGGACAATGTGTTTGTTGCCATGGGCGGCGGTGGACTGATTAGCGGCATTGGGTCAGTTATCAAGGCGTTCAGTCCGCGTACAAAAGTGTATGGCGTTTCAGCAATCAACTCAAAGGCTTTGGCCGAGTCCATGGCCGCAGGCCAAGTAGTCGAAACAGAACATAAGAGCACCGTGGCAGATGCTGTTGCCGGAGGCATCGATGACGATACAATCACGCTCCCACTGGCAATATCTGTGATAGACCAAGTCGTCGAATGTGATGAGGAGGAGATTAAAGCCGCCTTGAAGGCGCTTGCTTTTGAAGAGAATATGATTGTTGAAGGCTCTGCGGCTCTTGCTCTTGCTGGCTTCAACAAGGTTGTGGAGAGTCTGGCTGGCCAAACGAGCGTCATTGTTTTATGCGGAGCAAACTATGATCAGGGTATTATCAAAAGCATAATATGTGGGTGATGATTGTACGATTCAATGACTATATTATTCTAGATATAAAATGCATTATCGCCGCAAACTTATGTATATACAGCTAAACATTAGTGTGAACGCAAGCCCAATAGCCACATGGAAGCCAGATCTACTGTACAAATCTTAGAAGAGTATTGTCTACATTGGGATCTATACTATTTGCTCTCAAGACACATATGAAATTGCTTCTATGCACCATTGCAACCAACTTTGCTCTTGAAAAATGTAGGGGAAATAATCATATGTTGAACTATATCAAAGCTATGATATTTGCAAATGCATTGGCTATCCAAGCATCGAACAGAAATGGAAAGGGCATGCCTCGTGACTTTTACTTTTTGTATAGATTTGGTGGTTGTCCCAAGGCTTATTTTCCATAGCCAAAACAATGTTGGCTAAACTTGAATGTCAATTGACTAGTGTTACAATTTTTCAAATGCGTCTCGGGATAATTGTTGCTAAGCCAGGCGGCGCGAGGCTCATAGCCGTCAATCTCAGTAGGAAAAAAGGACCGTCACCGTCCTTTGGGTTTAAACAGTAATCAATTTGGTCGCAACGAAAATCCAATATTGGAATATTGTGGCCATGGCGAATTTTGTGTTTCCAGATTCAATGTTCTCATGCTCTAATCTGACGTGTTTGGGATAGATATAAGTTGGTGGCTTCGCATTGAATGTGAGACAAGAATCAAAAGAGAAACTGTTAGCTTTAACGGGCACAATATCAGGCTCTCTGGTACTGGTGCCAACAGCTTGTCTCTTTATGATTGTAATCAAGACCAGAAATTGTATGAACTGACTGCTAGGATCTGGATGGGACTCAGACCTTCTCATAATGAATAAGGGTGTTGCAATCTTTTATACGCATATACCTATAATATTCGGCCCACAGGATGAACATCTTCATCTTTCAAGATCTGGTTTCAGGGTGAGGCAAGACCCTCTCAGAAGCTAAGGGTTATCTTGGCGATTCCAAGTCAATGAAACTTCGCGGCAGTCGTGATCATTTCAAACTTGGGCTCAACGATAGCAAGCAGGTTTCTTTTACGTTGTCCAACAATACGGTTCAATTCACATTCTTTGTGTGTGGGGGGATACGCTTGATCTCTCAAGTAGATCAAGTCTCCTATTCATGAGCTATGCTGGACAAGGCCTCACTATTCTTATATGTTCTCGTAGCAATACAGAAGCATAATTCCCAGTGGCATAGTCGTAAACTGGCTGATATGCTCATATACAACTCATGGATATGCTTCCCCAGTCCCGTCACGCATTTACATCACATAAAATCTGCGCATATATCATTTCATCCCATATATCCTTAACAAACCATAAACAACAAAGACAAAAAAAGAAAACCTCCCATCCCTCCATCTTCCATCCTCCTCTATGCAGCATTATACATACATCCATCACTCGCTACACCTCACTCACGCCGTGTTCAAATTCCACAGCCCATCGCCCAAGAAATGCGCATCCTCCACCACAGGCCCCTTGCCCTTGGCCTTGACCTCATCCGTCCCAGCAGCCAGCGTGCCAACCGCACAAGCCTCCTCCTTACCCTCCGCCATAATCACCACAGGCTCTCCCTTGGCCAGCTCCCTGCTCCACCGCCCATCCTCCACAATGCCCTGCTCCATCTCTTTCCCCTCCTCCAGCGGCTTCCCCCCATCCACAGGCAACCTGCCCCCCGCAGACGTCAACCCAGGCGCCATCAGCGTCGCTCCAGAGAGCACAAACCGAATGGCTCCGCGGTCGATCCGAATGCTAGGAAACGCCTGCGGGAAGCGGTGCACGAGCTTCAGGTGCGGCAGCAGGTCGGACCCGTCGTTCTGGTAAAACAGCGGCACGGAGTCGAGCACGTAGAGGGTGTTGCGGTCGGGCAGCTTCATGCTCTCGAGGGAGCCCTTCTTGGGGAGGATCTCTTCGATGTGCGGCGTCAGGAGCGGGTACGTGGCGAGGAGGGACTGGCGCAGCGCGCGCTGGGCCGAGGATTTGAGCTTTTGCTTGGGGGCGCCTTGGAGACTGGAGAGAGGGGACGCTTTGAGTTAGCTTTAAAGAGGGCATTTTTTCTTTTGATTTTGGGGAGAAGAAGAGGGAGGAGAAGATTTGGATTGAGGGCACGCGTACTCTTTTTTAAACATTTTTGCGGGTATAGCTACAAACGAATGGACTAGTGTGTTTCCAAGAATAAAGAAGAAGATAAATTGCGTCGAAAATCGCAAATACAAGGGAGAGGTGGTTTGCCGTGATAGCGATGGTTGGATGGTGGACTGGAGTCACAATTGACGGCAGCAGTTTGGAGTTTATTGACAGCCCCGCGATGGATAAGATAGAGAAATGGCGGGGCAAGTGGCAGAACATGCAATCAGCGGGGGAGCTTCAAGCAGAGCTATGTAGCGCGACAGCCCATTGATCAATGCAGCCATGAAGAAAGGATAGTTATAAAAAAAAAAACCAATACATTTTGGCGAGAAGGGAATTTTAATTTAATTTTTGTATTTGATAATCCCGTCATCTCATTAATAATCGTAGTGTACATGACACCCATGATGGAACCCAATTATTGCCGTATGGTATGAGCTCCTCCACCGCTAACAAACCACCGTCACCGCAACCTCAGCGGGCTACACCACTCTACCCGTGAACGACATGCGACACCGTGCCATCCTCCTTCAAATGCACATTCAGTCTCTCTGGCCTAAAGTCTCTGGTCACAGGCTGGCCGGGCTTGATGATGCGATGCGTCTCCGGCAAGTCCCGCTTGCAGAACATCTGTTTTCCATTTAACAGCTTCGTTAGCAGGTGTTTATTCACTTACCCCCCACTCGTATAGGGGTGGCGTGATGAAATGATATCGAGAAGCACAGAGCGCAGAAGTGCACAGGTAGAATCGCTTACAGTCTCGTTGGATTCAGTCTCGGAAAAGGTCTTTCCGACGAGCTTGTTGGCCCATTCCTGGGTCTTGTCCTCGGGGCTGGTCATGATGCCGGGCACGACGAGAGGCATTGTGGCTGTTGAAGATTGCGCAGTGATGAATTAACAAAGCAGCTAGAATTGAAGTCCTGCTTCTCGAAGTAGTCTTGGTGTTTGACTGTGTTAAATGATTGATGCGTGTTGTTGTGGATCCAAGTGTGGAATTGAAATGGAGAAGAAAGAGAAGAGAAGAGGAAGAGGAGGAAAGGTTATATCAATTCTTATAAACAACCGAAGCTTGCGTTGGCGTTGCGTAAGTGACGAGTTCCATTTCCGGCCAGCGGCCAAAAAGTCCTTGGAAGCTGCTGGATAGCGTCTCAGGCGTCGCGGACGATGACGTCGACGCAACGATATCTGAACACCGCTGTAGTACGCAAGTGCAGGTACTATATCTAGATAGGTACGTACCGACGTTGCCTTTTGCATATCAAATCGACACCCCTTTCGTCTCGCAAGCGAATAGATGGAACTGGGAATGGAAGCAAAAGGGTACATGGATCAGATAATATCGCTTCGCCATTGCATGTAAATTTGGCCATCGACTTTGTGGTAGGGTAAGCCTTTTCCATCTACCTAAGGTACCTAGTAGACAGGTACACGTATTCTTGTACACCGCGCGACATGCCAGACAGTCGCAGTCCCGCCGCATGAGCTGCAGCACTGCCCATTCGCATCAGGTTGGGCTCTTGTACATGCTGATTATTCATCCTCCGTTCGTGTACAGTGCACACGGTCAAGTCAAGGCTCTGACACTGATAAGCCGTTTCCGCCTGGTACAGGCATCCTTTTTGGCTCTTCAGTTTTGGGTCAACTCATGGTAGTGGCGCTGAATTGGAGATAACAAACGCTGCTGTCTTCCCCTCCATCTCCCTCAGCCCAGCAAGTATCTAGAATGAAGCACAGTTATTGCTACTACGGTAATTTATATAAACAGCATGACAATAAAACGAGGATGGTGCACATTGGCGTAGGATGGAAAAGGGTTTATTATTAGCGAGCCACAAGTAGCGCTGATTAAGAGCCTGTCGATGGGGTCAGGAGGATGGGCCGCTTATATCGCCCGATGAACTCCGTAGCTCACACCTGCGACCAAAAAAAAAAAACCCCCGTAAAAAATCAAAGAGGGAAAAAAAAGAAGAAGAAGAAAAAAAGAAGAAGAAAAACTAGGTGAGAGAAGGAAAAGGCAGGGAGCGGAATAAGACAAAAGATGACACCGAGATATTCTCATTAAATGCCCTTGCCGGGTTTGCGCGATTGCTTGATTGATTCCACAGCGTGATTTGGCATGCCTGATGCTTTCACATGGCCCGGCATCTGCCACCCGCCGCCAAAAGACTCTAAAAATGGAAGCAAATCGTAGATTTAGACTCAGCTCGGGTCCGCACAGGAAATGAAGCCGGCGTAGGCACTGCAGCCCCCCAAAACCGTTTCGCAGTAGCAGCAAGTGATAAGCACCTCTTTCCATTATTCCACGCCAGTCTCTGGAATTAAACTGATAAATATAAAAAAAAAAAAAAAAAAAAAAAAATTGTTTTGCGGCGTTGCGCGCGTCCGTCGTCGTGATCATAATAAACTAGGGCTCCCAGCTGCGATGCGTGCTAATTGCGGCTGTGGCACCAGCACCTCCCGCGGCCTGCACTGCACAGCCCTTGATGGCGTCGTGTAAGCGTCTCATCAGCGCTGTGCTGTCCCCTAAAAGGCCATGGCTCGCAGCCTTTGGGGCTAATCTTGCTGCCCCCCCCTTGTTTGGATCATTCAAACCCAGCCCCAGTCAGCCTTGGGTCTGACTGAAGACCCCTAACTCAAAGGGGACAAGTGCCGCTCCCCGTCAAACAGGTTCTCCTCGACTCCTTTTTCGTGTTAACAGAACCGCCTCTGCCAGTATTTTGCTCTGGCACCACCTCCGTCTTTTTGGCGATCCATCTCCCATCTTTCGTTCCTCGCGAGCCTGTCTCTGTTGTTTTCCGACCCGGAACACCTTCGTTTCCCAAAAGCCTTCTGTAAGCTAAACCAACCTCGAGACCCACCATCCCGCCGTCTTTTCAGCACCCGACTTTGGCTGCGGCTTTGAAACTCATTGTTCCCCTCTACAGTCAGTAGCAACACGACACGACCCAAACGCTCTTCGCCATGAGACTCTCCTCTATTGCTGCTCTCGCCCTCAGCGGCAGCGCCCTTGCCGCCTCTCAGCAGGAATGTTTCGCTCAGCACAGCCGGGATCTGGCCCAGTTCTCCGACTGCAGCAACCCAACCAACCTCGAATTCTGCCTCTCACAAATCACCGGCTCCGACATCAGCGACGTCGAGGCCTGCTATTCCAACGCCGGATGCTCAGCGGCCCAGGCCGCCTCCGAGGCCAAATACGCACTGCAGAGATGCGATGAATTCGCCAAGATGGGAGACCTGAGGAAGCGATACCGCGGCGTGTTCGAGGGAGCAGAGAAGACAGTCGCTGCCCGAAACCCTATTGCCGCCCCGGCACCAACCCACTGGGCTCGTGATGGCACTCTCCAGTGTCTCGCCACCTCCACCGTCAAGACCTCGTCCTGCGATATTCAGACTGACAAGGGTGTCCTCAAGACCCTCACATGTGTGCCCACCGAAGTTGCCCAGAGCGCCTGTGCCCCCGGCCTCATGTGCTCCATGGACAGCCAGGGCACTACCGTCTGCATGAAGAAGCAAGACAGCCTCGGCGTTGCCGGCATCATCATCGCTATCGTTTTTGGTGCCTTCATCGTCATCGGCATCACCTTCCTGACCTTTGCTTGCTGCCGAGAGCGTCGCCACCAGAAGCAGCTCGAGGCCCGTGCCGAGGCCACCGCTCTCGCTCGCGCCCAGACAAAGAAGGCTCGAGCCGCCGAAGCCCGCGCTCCCTTGATGCGCCAAGAGGGAGGTGACCCCTTCACCGACCGCGCCCAGTCTTAGAAAGCCAGAATAGGTCGTGGCAACGGGCTAACACCAAGCAGGCTTGAGGTGGTTAGAGAACAGGAAAACGGTCGAGACGTTGTGTGACGCACGGCATTCAGGGAGGACCAGCACTTTTGATTGATGTCTTGTTTTTACTTTTATTGTTTTTTCGGCGCATCATGTTGCTCTCTTCGAGCCGTGGGTTACAGGGAACAAGACGGGTGCACATACGTGGGTAGCATCCTTGCTGCTTCTCGTGCTTTGGCAAGACGGGCACATATCATAAAAGACATTCCAGCTAGAAAATGAGGCGAGCCTCGGGTAGGAAACGGGAAGAACTGACGTTACATAAAGAAGCAGCATTGATCTTTGGGGGGGTTTGATTTAGATATTTGAAAAATAAATTGTTTTTAATCGAAATAAAAAATAAAGAAAAGAAAAAACTAAAGAAAGCTAGAAGGAATTTCCATGTTAGACACAAAAGTTCTCTCTATTTTTCTCTCGTTCACGGGTTTCGCGAGAACATGTGTGCAATCGCGGCCGCCGCACCTGCCAATACCGAAGCATCGTCAACTTACCCCACCATGCGCCTAGATAAGCTTGTTCTGTCTTGATCATCACACTGCCCAAAAATATATGCTAAGATCTCGGGAAGTCTCAGGAACTAGAGCCAAGTTAGAGAGGATTTTATGTACGCGAATGATGGCAGTTCATGGATAATTTCACATGGCGGAAAATAAGACCAATTAATGAATGGCTGGACAAAAAGTTATGATTGAGTACAACTATCCCGAGGATGGTATGTATGTAGACACGCTTTCGCACTTTTGCTACTCTTGTGTCTTTCCCCCCAAATAATAATCCACACGTCTAATTCACATATAGGAAACATGCGCACGCGCCATGCCAATTGATCCTTGATGAGTCGCTTATTCCCACAGCCCGGCATTTGCGCTCTGCGCTGAAAGCAGCATCGGCTTCGCTGAATTCATATTCTCTTCCTCCCTGTCTGTCCCTTCATTGTAAAAAAGGACAAGACAGCATAAAGATTATTCTTCCCATTCCAGTTTTAGGGCCCTAGAGATCTTCTGTCGTTGGTGCGAGGATTGTAGAAGCCTACCCAAGTATCTAGTTTGTTGGTATCATCAGTAGCGGTATCCTCACGGGAAAAGCTCAGTCCAAAATTTTCGCTGACGCCCTTCCTGTGACTTTTTATCGTATTGCTCTGCCTAGAGGTCCGATCCATCAGGTCCAAAATCGTATTTATGGATGGCTGCTCAATATGATCTGCTGTTGTGACCGGTCTCGGTCGGTAATCTGCAGATGGACCGTTGGTGACGCCGAGTCGCTCAAGGAGATTCTTCCGCCGAGAGGGGCTCTCTTCAGTCTTCTCGCGCCGTCTTTTGCCGGGACTCGTCTAAACTCCCCGCAATGAAGCGTGGCCTACCAAGGGACTGCCAATCTCACCAGGGGCCCCAACAGCCCGAAAGTGAGGATTCAGGCCTTCATCTGTGTCGGGAACCCATCGTACCCTCCTCAGCCCGAGCATGTCTTGCTTGACGTCAAAGGACCCTCCTCCATTGGATGAACTGCCCATCGTATCACAGAGGTTCAATAGATCTTGCTCCGAGATGCTCGAATCGCCCGACACCATTTCCACGTGCGATTTGATGCTGACCAGATCAACATATCCCTCCTTGTCTGCGGAAGGCGTGTTTATCAAGTCTTTGCATGCCTGGGAGAGTAGTAGGCGGACAGTTACATGGCGAGGTTGCGCATGCGATCGGATAGACCCCATCCCATTAGGTGAACCAACATGGAATCCAGGGGGGCCGCTTGGAGGGCCCCATCCGGGGCTTCCAAATCCCGGCAGAGGAAACGGCTGTGCAGCAGTGCTGGGAGGAAAAGGCTGCGGGGGGCTGTTGATCGGAGCCCAAGGGTTGTGACCCATTGGGAATCCCGAGTCGATAAAGGGGCCCGCAGCGAAACCGGTTCGTGGCCCTGGTGGGTGGTTGCGCAAGCCGCCGCCATTAGCATCAGAGCCCAGTGGCTCATCATCCTCAACAAGAACACGGCTTCCCAGATGTTGCGTATCTTCATCCTTGTCGTGCGAATACCCTTGGCCAATGCTACCTGGCCTACCTATTGGCGCCGGTCGTCCAAAGCCTTGCAGAGGAGTGCTGGGTGAGCTATCAAAACCTATAGAGCCCTGACGTCCGTTGGTTAAAACAGATCCGTCTCTAGCAGGCATGGGGTAGCCTTGGCCACCAATTGGGAAATCGCTTGTTGGCTGAGAGAATCCCGGAGGGGGCATAGTGACAGGTGGATATCCGCGACCAGTGGGACTATTGATGCCGGGCGGCGGAATCATCATGTTATGCCCAGGATTAGGCCTGAACCCGACAGGGAATATTGGATCATGATTTGGTCGACCAGGGAATCCAGGTGGAGGTTGATGACCAGTTAAACCTGGAGGGGGCTGCATGCCCATCATGGGCATTTGGAACTGGGCTGAAGGGCTTGGTCCTTTGAGTGGTGGCAGCCCAGGCGGCGTAACCGACATCCCAGTTGGCAGTATTGTGACGGGAGTGCTTCCGCTGATTCGTCTCTCTGTTGAGCTAGGACTGGTATACGCCGGCGTCGTTGAATGTGGAGACGCGCTCTGGCTAGGAGCAGATGCCCCTTGAGAGTCTGATGAGCTGGCCGGACCCGTACCGTGCTGTTGAGATGCCGTTCTCAGCCGTATAGGTGTTGGCGCTTTGGGAATTACCGGAGTTGCCACCGCGATTTTGGGTGAAACGAAGCTGGCTGGATTAGGAGGATGTTGGGGTAAGACGGCGGGCAGCGAAACAGGATGCTGTTGCTGAGGCTGTTGCTGTTGGCTACTTCCACGCTTGGCAGGCTGTGAAGGCTGTGTCTGGGATACCTGGACAGAGGAAGCTTTTGGAGCTGCCTTTTCTTCCTTGGCCTGCTGAAGCTGCTGCAGCAATTGTTGTTGATGCTGTTTGCTGGCAGCCTCTGCCGCCTCTTGAGCTTCCTTCTTGGCCTTGGCGGCCCTGGCCTCCTTTTCTCGCTTATCGCGTTCTTGTTTCTCTTTACGCTCTTTGGCTTCCCGCTCTTTTTGCTCACGAGCCTCTTGCTCCTTTAGGCGCTGCTCCTCCTTGAGCTTCTTTTCTCGCTCTTTGGCTTCGCGCGCTTTTCGCTCTTGCTCGGCTTGTTTTTCCTTCTGCTCGTGTATCCGCCGTAGTCGTTCGGCTTCTTTCTTTAGTCGTGCCTCTTCTTCGGCCTTCTTTTGGGCTTCCTTTTGTTTTCGTTTCTCTTCGGCCTTCTGTTTCTGCTCAGCAATCTTCTTCTTCTCGGCTTCGATTCGGGCAGTTTCCTCGGCGGCCTTTTCGGCCTCTTTACGAGCCTTCTCTTCAGCAAGCGCTTGCTTCCTTTGAGCAGCCTTGTCCTTCTTTTTCTGAGCGCTCTTGGCCTTTTTGGCTTTTTGCTCATCCACCGCTCGACTCTCCTCCTCCAGCTCTTCTAGTAGCTTTTCTTGCCTCTCTTTGGCCACTTTCTCTTTGTACGCGGATAGTACTCGTTGTTCGAACATGCGGGCTGCGAAGATCTGGAACATGCGTCGTCCTTCTTCCATTCGCTGCTCTTCTGTCATCGGGTCCTGGCAACAGCACTCAGTATGGAACTTGGACGGCATCATAGACGGGTTGTAGTATACCTCTTCGTCCTCATACTCCTCATCTTGACTATCGTCATAGTCTTCTTCCTCCTCCTCCTCTTCGTCCTCGTAGTCATCGTCTTCGGGAGGAGGGTGATTGTGAGGAGTGGAGTATGAGCCGTTCGGATGACCGTAGCCGCGGGCGAAGTCTCTCGCGTCTTCTTCTCGGGCCATTCGACGTTCCGCAAGTTGCTCCATCATTTCGATGAAGCGTCTGCCGTCGTTTTTGAGTAGGTCATCCGCAACGGTGAGAATGCCGCCTAAGTCCATGTTACCATATCTGTGCAGAAGAGAATCAAGAAGTTGCGTACCCTTGACTTGGAGGCTGTTACCAAACGTCAAGAAATCAGCTACGTCTCGGTCAGGAGAGCCGTGAAATTCTTCCGGTGGTTCATCGTCGCTATACTCGTCGTCCTCCGCTTCGTCGTCACTGTAGGCTTCCTCTAATTCTTCGTCGTCGTCGCCGACGTGCTCTACTATTCGCCCGCGGGCTGGGGGATGCCGCGTATATGCCCCCGGCATACCTCGTGGTGGGCGGATTGAGAAGTCTCGGGGTGGAGGAGGTAGCATGGCGGGGCCCTCTCCTTGGTTTGCAAACTGCTCCAATTCGAGATAATATGCATCATACAGACCTTCCAGCTCCTCCTCGATGGCGGTGCGCTTCCTTCCGCAAACGGTACAGCTACACGTGTGTTTTTGCTGTTCCTTCATCTTCTTCAGTACGGCGTCTTTCTCGACCTTGACCAAGGATTTCCGGTCATCCTCGCCCAAGCCTAGCCAAAACTCTTTAATACGCTCGCGCTCCTCGTGATTGCTAGTGCTCCATATCTTATCCTTAGACATTCCAGAGCCTCGCGGCACTTGAGTCGCTGGCGCAGGGCCATCATTGTGGTAAATATGGGGGCGATGGTGATGGTGGTGGTGGTGATTGTGCTGCTGGTGTTGGTGTTTTGACGTCAAAGCCTCCTCGGCCTCAACGCTAGCACCGTTATTTTTCTTCTTTTTCTTGTTCTTTTTACTAGGTTTAGTTTCTATCGCGTGACCGTTCGCTGTAGGTGTAGGCTCGACGTCCTCAGCTAGATAACAAACATCATCATCCTCGTCACTTGCGACAAGCTCGTATTCTGCGGGCGTCGGTTTATCGGAGCTGAGAGCGGGGCTGGTATGGCCGTTGACGGCTTGTGCAGCAGCAGCCTTCGCCGCGGCCTTTTGCCGTCGCTTCTGCTTCTTACGGTTAACAGTCGGCGCCGACGTATCGAGGCCTGTGGAATCCGGAGGCGGCAGGGCGCTGTTGGGTTTCGCGATGGTGGGTGTCGATGGCTGAGAAGATGAGTCTGACGGGCTGCCCTTGGGGACGGTGATGAACTTGGAGCCGTCCTTGTTAGTATATTTGGCAGTATTTCGAGGCGATGCCGGCACGAGGGGAGCCGGTTTCTGATGATGGGCCGGCATCGTAAATCTACGGCAGCGAGGCAGTCGAGAGCATCAAGGGTCTCGGGACACAGGGCCCAGGGCGGCTCAAAACGACGCAGCCTGCAGCAGAGAAAGAGAAAGAGAGTCAGTCGTCGAAGTACTTGGGCCGAGAAGCAGAGAACACGAGGCCGATCAAGAGCTGCGGGCAAGCACGAGGGCGGGCGGGCGAGAGGGTGGGTGTTTGCCGTGAAATTGTTGCGGCTGGCCTGTTTGGTGGAGATATCCCGGCGGTTCAAAATGAGGCACTCACAATCCGCAATTCAGGGTTAGGTCAGCAATGACGCCAGTGGGGGTATTCAAAGGCCCCGGCTCGAGTGCCTGTGCAAGAGATTGAGATGCGGCGCGTCGGGGGGCTCGCGTCGAATGCGTGGCGATGGGGTATGGGGAGGAGCAGGCGATGCTTTGGACGGCCTGAGTTCGATGGAAGTCACCGTGGTGTAGTTACATAGCGGCATGTACTTTTGTTATGCAAGAGTGGTTGTCCCTGTTGAGGCTGGCGAAAACCGGGGCTGACAGCCGTCCTTCAGTTTTCGCGCTGGTTTAGGTCGTGCAGAGGCACGTGACGCCCAATTCAAGGCCGGAATCTGCCAGTTTGTGCCTGAGGCGCTGGGGCTAGCGGGCTTACAGGGCGCTTGTTGCGCAAACACTGCCTGAAAGGTGGCGGGCAGGGAACCTTTATGGCCAGCTGCAGTACAAAGAACAAGGGAGCGGTACGTTGTGATGTGCATTGATGAGCAGCGCAGCCTTTGTCTCTGGAATGCGCGTGTCTGTACCCCGTAGTCCGCATTGGTACCCCCAGCGCAGGGACAGCGCGCTGGCTTGGCACAAACAAATAATGTGCCTAGTATTGCTGTCGCTTTGCCCTGCTTTGGCTAATAAAACATGGATCGAGGCTCCGGACTGCCGCATGACTTACATAAAGCAATCTCATGCTCTTACTCACTACATCATCATTGTTGGCAAGTGGCGTCTATCTACGCAGGATATACATCGGGGGCAGAGCACGGTAAACATTGCTATCTATAACAGCGGGTGGTGAAATTCACCCTCGGCTGGGCAACGCTCTTACTATTGCCTCTTCGTTCCAGCCTCCCGTGCATGTACGACAAGTATCAAGAAAGCTGGACGCAAGGGGTAGCGGAGCTGTCGGGCACCAAAGCCATATACTACATACTTGTTGCTTATAGGCCCATTGTGACTGAGTGGGCACACCGATGACGGACATTATACGGTAATCCTGCCATAAATACGGCCCGGACGCAGTGACTGAAAACATTCTTCCGGCATCATTAAATGTAAGTGATGTGACTAAATAGGCACTGGGTAGGTCAGCTTGCATGCACCTTGATGGCGTTGGATTCATGCTTGATTACCGTACCGTCTAGGTATACACACAAAGTGAAACGCCTTAAAGAATGATACCGTCTTCTTTGTAATAGACGGCGCATGATTTTCTGAATAAGGGCAGATGCTTGGGCTTTTTGTACGATGACATGCAACATATGTCGTAATAAATCGGATATCACTTAGTAAATTGTGTTCTAAGGTACATATTACTCGCGAGCCGCAATCGAGATACTACAGTACATACTACAGCGCTTTCCGTATCGAGAAGAGATCCTCGTGCTCTACGTCAGGCTACCCTCGCTGCAGCGGCGCCACTTTGGGACAAGATCATTCAGTTGAGCAGCTGATATGGGTCAGCATGCATCGACGGTATTTCGAGAATGGTTCTGTACGGTGCCCTTCAAGGCTCGAGAAGCCTTGGGACGGTTCTGTTTCTGCCTTGCGCCATCCCAAGACCTCGGGGTAAGCTCACCTTTCACCCAAAGTTCTCGTACTCTGTTTGCGCGTGTGCATAAGAAGAATGGTGAGAAATCCTGCAGAGGCCGCCAAACCCCACCATTTGCATCGTCTCGCAGCGAACACGGCCCAGACCGATAACTTACCTTTTGCGTCTAGTAGGCGAAGTGCGTGATGTAGGCCGGGAATCAGGCAGAGTGGATCGGGCAAAGAGTGGCTACGATTCGCGGGAATGCCCCGAGAAGCTTTGCTCCTGCAGAGTTTTAAGCCGTTTTGACTCTGGCTGGCCTGCAGTGAGTCCTTTCTTGGTTATAATCTGCTTTAGGTTTCTTGGGTTTAGACGATGGATAAGATAGGCACTCGATACAGGCATGTTTAATTGTCTAAGAAGAAAAAAATCCTCCGAATGGGGGACCCCGTATTATTAGGCCACCTGCAGTTCCTTTTCAGGGTCTTGATATCATCCTGAGGGTCTGGAGCCCAAGCGAGGATACGGGACGCGTTACGGGTGCATATTGGCGCATGTACTCCATATGCGTGTCCAATAGCCTTGCAAATGCAGAGTTTGTTTACTTTGCTAGCGCTTCCCTCTTATGCGTGCCGTTGCACCATGGCTTGGAGCCGGTCGTTGATTCGCTTGAGCACAGCCTCACCGGACGATCGGTACTGTCCAGCCGAAAAAGAGTGCTGTGTAATGGACTTGCTGTGCGAGGAAACAGGGAGATAGAGATAGAGCAAATCGGCGGCTGCAAGATTGATTGCCAGATTTGACACAGCACGAGGCACGAATAGCAGCCGCCGATTTCCTCTTCTTTATAAATATCACTGCATACGTAATGAAGCACTACTGCTGGTGCTACCGCCCTTCCGGCAACCGTTTCTTCGGCCAGTTTCCATTGGCGCATGTACCATACTGGTAAGCGGCCCCGTTGCCGTCCCAATCAAGACATATTTTGAGTGACGGCCGAGCTGCTGGTTGGTCAACTCGCCCTTTAGGTAAGCCAGATAGTGCGAACTCCTCCGTGGCAGCGTGCAGTAAGACCACGCCCCAAGCCTCACTCGGGCCTCGATCCACCGCTTTGTGAAACGTCGTGCTAACAGGTGTTGGCTGCTTAGGTACACTTTACGTGCAGCTAGAGCGTTTCCCCTTAACCCGTGCTGCTTGCGCATTCTGGTCTGGTTTTCTGTCGCCGTCGCCGTCGTTTTCTCTCTCTCTCTCGTCAACGTCTCGCCATCAATTGTCATTGTGTGATCCTGCCCCTAGCCTTGATCGAATCCAATTGGCGCGGCCGAGTCCCTCTGCAGCCGACCGACCACTCGCAGGGAATTAACTGGAGCCTCTTCAGCTCGTATTCCGACAGAATCGCCTGGCGACCAACCAGTCCGTTCCACCGCCCTGGTCGACCCGTATCCCCTAGACGCGACAGCACGATTTTGCGAGGCAGCACAGCAGCGGCGTTGCCGAAGCCAAGATACAAAAAGCCGGCAATCGAGCAGCATTTCCCCGGGGAACCGCTGCTTTAACTGGTCCTGCCATCCACAGATCTTCGGCAAACAGGCCGTAGGACTGGGGGAAGCTCCATTTGGCACAAGAATCAGCGCCTGGCCCTGTCTGCTGTCCATCCAACTGCCCATCCAGCTGCGTATCATCATAGCTCTTCAACATGTCGAATGGGAGTGCGCAAAACGTCATTCGCAGGTGCGATCAAGGCCAACCACTTCTATGCCGCAGCCCAGCGCTCGACTTTGCTACAGCGACTGTCGAGCCTGGAGCGCCGGCAACTCTGCATAAGGACCGGCTTACTGACCATCGCAACGTGTAGGAAGCTCGTCATTATTGGAGACGGCGCCTGCGGTAAAACAAGTCTGCTCAGCGTCTTCACACTTGGCTATTTCCCTACAGTATGTTTCCTATCCCCAGGTCTTGGGTCAGCCCCAGCATAGATGGCATGTGCGGTCGCTAATAATTCGTATAGCATTATGTGAGTTCCAACTGCGCCTGCAGGACCTGCAGAGCCGAGATTAACAAGCTGGTTTAGATCCCAACCGTCTTCGAAAACTACGTAACCGACTGTAGAGTAGATGGCAAGTCTGTGCAGCTTGCCCTATGGGATACGGCCGGTCAAGAGGACTACGAGCGGTTACGGCCCTTGGCTTACTCCAAAGCGCACGTCATCCTAATAGGCTTTTCTGTTGATACACCCGATTCCCTTGACAATGTCAAGCACAAGGTTCGACGACACCAGATGTCATATTGATAGGACTTTTTTGGGGGCTGATACGTTATTGTTATAGTGGATCGAAGAGGCTACCCGTCTTTGCGAAGGTGTACCCATCATTCTCGTCGGGCTGAAGAAAGATCTGCGGGATGATCCTGTTGCCATTGAGGAGATGCGCAAGAAATCCCAACGATTCGTTACTGCCCACGATGGCGAAGGCGTTGCACGAGAAATTGGAGCCAAGCGATACCTGGAATGTTCCAGTTTGAGCGGAGAGGGCGTCGACGATGTGTTTGAAGCCGCCACCAGAGCTGCTCTTCTTACATTCGAGAAGGGGGAAAGCACCGGTTGCTGTGTCGTTCTATAAAACGACATGCCAACCCGCTCTCATGAATCGACCCGAATTCGGTATAACTGTCTGGCACAAAGGCAGTGACCAAATACACATTACAGGCCCATATGTTGCGGAATGAGATTATGACACAATGTTTGAGTCTTCACAGCTTGCTCTTGCTTGCTTATCCGAGCACTTATACTCCAATCTCATCTCTATCGCGAAGTGTGTCAGCATATTACACTTTACCATCTCACAGCATCTAAACCAGCTTGATTGGATACTCTTTGGTGATACGGCTGATTCTCATCATATGAGGCAACGCATAAAAGCATACAACTATCCGAGAACATAATTTCAACTCCAGAGTTGAGATGTCTACATTTTTTTACTTCACTGTTCTTGTTAGCTTTATCAGTTGGAAATTTGTCTCTTGTTTTTTTTTTATCCTGTATTCTCGCGATGTTTTGGCAAGCGTATTTTGTTGCAGCGGAGAAAAAGCGCTCTAACTCGAAGCGACTTCAACCTCTATACTAATACGGTTGATCGCATAGATCAATAACTGGTTTTCTTTTTTTTTTTCCTCTCTGGGGTATATTGGGGGGGGTTTTTTTTTGGACGGAAAAGGGTGAATGATGGGGAAGGGATTTTTATACTCTACTATTGGCAATAAAATTGTCGAGCCTCCCAACTGCGTGCCTATGTTACTAATTGTTGAATTGTATATCCATTGTGCTCACTTTACAGGTTCCTTACGTCAGTGTTATCAAGATACCAGTAAAGGTTTTCTTATGTGCTGTAATACTATACAATGCTTAATATTCGTACATAACGTGTCTATCTCGTTTCTCTTTTTTTTATGTTCAATCTTTCCTCCTCTCCCGTTTATCCACTTCGTACTCTCTACCTCTTCCAGTCGTGGTTCCACGCCTCTTTCGCCGGACTGTCCGTCTGGAATCGAGCATACTCTATCGGCACACCCTCAAGTCCATAAACGCCCTTCTTCTCCATCGCAACTCGGTACAAGTACCCCTCTCCCCTCGATCCAGGCCCAACCGTCTTCCGCAGCTCCTCGCAGGCGTTGTACATGCCGGCGTGCATCCTGCTCCTCTCCTTCTCAATGGCCTCGTGTTGCTTCCGGCGGAAGAGCTGCCAGGCGCGGTGGATGGTCCAGTGGCGCAGGTATCGCAGGCGAGCCATGCGCAGCGGGGGAGGTGCCGGCGAGAACATGTTGCGGCGCAGCGTGCGGATGCGGAAGAAGTTTTCGGATTTCGGGGCCTGGCGGCTGCGGCGGGCGGCTTTGGGGGCAGAGCCGCCGGCTGCTGGGGGAGGAGCCTTGCGGGCGAGAGAGGTTGAGGTTGTCGAGAAGAGGCGTGGGGTTGTTGTTGTTGTCATGGTTGCGGTGGTGGTGGTGTTTCGTGAGAGGAGGGAGAGGCGGCTGAAGAGCCCGGTGATGGAAGCAGAAGAGGCCATTTTGGATGAATTGGAGATGCAAGATGCGTAGGCTGGCTGCTTTTTGCTTCCCCAGCAGCGAAGTGCAATCGAGATGTCGCCTTGGTCGTCTGAGCTTTCGCAGTGCGGTCTGAGTTTTATATGCGATGGTGGTCGCTCTTCAATGTCAGAATTGAGCTCGAATCCAGAGTGTGGCCCAATTGATGCCCCCTCCCAGGAGTAATATGTCGAATTGATGCGGGCAAGGGTATAGAAGATGGGGGGGTATTTGCCGTTTGCCGGAGGGATCTGCCAACTCTTTTGCTTGATTCTTGAGAAAATGGCGACGATAGTGCCATTAGAACCTGTGGGCGGATAAACGTAAGCCCGGCCGAGTCCGCATCGCTTTCTGGGCAGCACGATATAAATGTGTGACTGCAGCAGCTTGTCTCAATCGTAAAATTACATTAATGTTATTTCTTGTGAATTTGTAGTTTATTTTTGTCTCTTTCTTATTGTTATAATTTTCCTCTTACAAAATACCTCGTAAGGGGTGATGATGGTGCATACATGTAATCCAGCCCACCTTTGCCTCTATCTAGTACCGACCGCCTCTACTGGCCATATCACGCAGCGGCCAACCAAAGTCTCTAGACAGAGAAAGTTACGAGAGTTGCAATATTTTGATCGTGGTATATTTTTGGTACTCATCTTTGCTCTAATCACCCACTGCTAGATACAAATAAGCTCTCCAATATAATTGGATTGATACTTTGCAACCACAAAGTATCCTTCATATAATCAATCGCTTGATCAGAAGAGCAGATGCCGACCTCACTCATGGATTGCCTCGCTTCGACAAGCAATGAGTCTCGAATTTCAAGCCGCGCCAAGGAGTATGCCGTCACAATTGCCCAAGATCGCAGTTTTTTGAGCTCCATAGGAATCTCGCAAGTAGATTCCTGCAGTAGGATTATGAAGCGATCACCCAGAGGGCCTATGTCTGCCCAGTGGAAGGATGCTACTCGTTTGAGCTCTGACATGATCATCAAACACGCAAGTTGTACCATCCTCTGCACCATGAAGACCGGATAATCTGTTTGTGTATCATCTTCCGGACATTTAGGCACTGACAGCACAAAATGACTAGCAACGCCAAGTATTTCGATCAAAACCGCCGGTTCGGTCCAGAATAGGGCATCATAAGTATTGCGGTTCACTATAGCAACAACTGGTGCCATCATGCGTAACATAGCGTATATCTGCCCGCCTTGAGGAGTGACTTTCTCAGCATGATGAAGCAAAGTGCGCAGCGTTTGGGGAATGTCGTCCTTATTTATCCTCTGAGAATTCATCAGCTGCTTTGGGATGGGAAATCTTGGGTAGCGATTGAGCATGGATGCACCCATTAAATCAACCCTGCTTATTTGTTAACTGCTGTAAGGATGCCGGGATTATGAGATTTATTGAGCTCACCAAAATGCCATTAGTGGGATCTCACCATCTAAAGTGTCAAATCCATGACGAAGATGGTATATTCGCTCCAGGCCATCCATATGCACGGTATATCGATCCCAATTTCCGACACGAGTCTGAGTCTATGTTAGGCTGATTCATTCCTCGCGAGATGATGGCCAGCAAAAGAATATCTTACATCAACGCATATAAATCCCATGATAGTCGCTATAACACCATCGCTTACACAATCTTCGCGATTGTTGAGTCGAGTAGCCAGCTGTTGCAAGGACTTGCAGTAATATCTATTTGCTTCAGATGTATCCGAATATTCTTCATCATAGTTGACTGCATCTTTTTGATGGGATAAACTATCGCGAATTACCACTGCTTGCGCAAGCCATAAGTCGAATGCGGCTGTATCAGAGAGACCGATCCGAAACCACGATGCCCGAAACGGACGGTACACGTAGTCAGCTTCAGACGTCACTATAGCTTGTGGTTAAAATATAATTTCAGGGATAAGTATCTATCATAAAGACTACTTACTGAAAGTAATAAGTTCTGAAGCACGAGCATCACCACCGGTGAGAAAAGTTTGAAACGACGGCGGCATCCTCACGAGAGGGAGTGATTCAGCTGCTTCGGCGTTTACTGGTACAACGTCTGATGAAGTAATTGTGGCGGCAACTTGGAGGGGTATAATCTTGTATTTCGCCTTTTTACGCCTTGAACGGCCAACATCTGCCATAACATGCCGACGTACCAATGCCTTGGTACGCTTACTCTGGCCCTCATCAGGACGAGAGATGTTGATAAAAGATAGATGCTTGGCACCCATGACCAGAAACAGAGAGCTTGATGTGATGTCACAGAAAATGGAATATAAGAGTATTAATATTATGCAATAAAAGAGATGATGTCTAAAAGGATCGGAAAGACAAGAAGCTCGCACAAGTTTAGAAAGGAGCGTGGTATTCTTATATGCCCGACTGGCCGGAAACTTCCCTTTATTAGCTAGCCTTGACACTAACTAGCATGGGGGGGCTTGCTTCTCCACTCATCGTGGCAGTCAGCCGAACTAGTACGAGGTAATCGCCACGAGAAACAGTATCTACTATCGAGGCAAAATCTTAGAGCTAATTGGGGTAAATAATGAAGTGATGCCATCATTTATTTCTCAGATCAGTGGTAAATTCTTTTATAGGATTATTTCAATTGATCTCATAGAAGTATAAAGTGACTTCATGTAATTAGTTACCCACGATACCGCCGCTAACAGAAATGCTCTCTCCAGTAATCCACCGGCTCTTCTCATTTGCAAGAAGCAGCACTGAGTCTGCAATATCCTCCACAGTCCCAAATCTCCTCTCAGCTCTAGTCATATTCAATAGGCCGTCTTTTAGCATTTCGAACTCGGGAGTCGGCGGCAAGCTGTCAGTAAGCACAGGACCTGGCATGACAGTGTTGATCGTAATGCGCTTGCCATCGCTTCCCAGCTAGACGTGACTATTAGCTTTTGTCAATAAAAGAGGAGATATTATTTCACTTACATCTCTTGCGAGACTAAAAGTCAGAGCATCCATGGCTGCCTTTGCGGCACCATAAACGGGCTCAATGCCAAGTTTTGAAGCTACGCTCCCGACATTTATGATCCTTCCACCCTGCGGCATGTAGGGTACTGTAGCTTGAATGAGGTACAGCGGGCCTAAAACACATGTATCAAAAGTTCGTTGGACATTTTCCTGTGTCGTAGTCAAGACAGGCTCCCTTGCAGCCCAGGCGGCATTGTTTACTACAAGAGCAGAATTCATTAGTGAAATGCTTTCGTTTCTGGCGAAAAGGTTAGATGGTCGATGTTTACCAAGGATATCAATTCGATCGACTCCGAAAGCCTTGATAGTTTCAGCAACCAGCTTTTTTGTCCCCTCTGGCGTGGTGACGTCTTGTTGAATAATTGCAGCGCTGCCCTTGCCTCCAACTGCCTCAATACTGGCTGCGACTTTTGCTGCTCGAGGAGCGGTTGCTTCTGAAACGTAGTTGATGGCAACACGCGCGCCGTTGCGAGCGAGAGCAAGAGCAATGGCAGCCCCGATACCGTTCTCTTTGCCGGAACCTGTGACGATGGCAGTCTTGCCGGCCAGAGAGAGGGAGTCTACAGTGGACATTTTAGGCGTTTCAAGGTAAGTTAACTTGAATATTGGAAAAGGAAGTGTTATGATGTTGTTAAATGTAGAGATTGGATCAGAACTTTTCAGAGGTATGGTCTTGTTTATATAGATGCATACAGCGAAAACCCACCTGCTCCATATGCAGGAGATTCCATCTCTCCTGGTTGCCTGATTCACTAAGCTAGACTTTTGCATTTGTCATATGAGCAATAAATGAATACTAGTGTCATATTTAGCCATTTCCGAGGCGAAATTTCATCAATTGACGTATATATTAGACGGTCTTCGCAACTATTCACATGCCGTTGATGGCATCTAGTATATAAAAAGTGGGTGATTTAGTGGCACTGCTGGACAGAAAAGGAAATAAGAGAACCTTGCCTGCACTAGCATTAGGTGGAACCGATGCTCGATGTCAGATCAAGAGACTATTCCAGGAAAGGAAAAAGGACATCCCTGTCTGCATGAAGCTTTAAATACCAAGGCAATCCAAGCTGTTCTCATTTGTAACAGAACAGAAGGGATATCAAACGAAACTGAGTTATATGCTCCAAATTGAATTGAGTCTTCAAATTCGCCATAAATTCTTTTTTTTTTTTTGTTAATATGGCTCACTATTACAATAACGTAAAAATTGGTACTCCGTGGGGGCCGTGTTGCCTCGGCTAGCTAACCTGTTGTTACTTATGAGTGAGAGTGGAAATTTATCCACGCGCCTATGAGGAAAGCATGCTCGATCGGCCTACAAGAAGTACTCCTATTCAAATAGCCGTATGCGCTGTATCTATAAACAATTAATAATCTCCGGTCAGATATCAGATCTATAGAATCTTAACTAATGTCGCAAACAAATGCAATACATACAGTAGTCCGGCACCAGTCTAACAATACGTAAAATCCAGCCCGAAGGCGATCTTGCCCAAAATTCCCATCGCTGTTATACCACATTAGGCAAAGTTTCCCTACATATAGTATCTGACTGAAGTGTATTACCAATATGCAAACACAGTCTCGACGTCGATATATCAATACAACCACTCATGTCTCTCCAAATATTTTGCACTCCGATATGACAGATATACTTGCAGGACACCCTCAATAATCAGTAAATACCCAGACACGCAGAAACAATAAAAGCAAGTATTGTTACCCAGAAGGTATTCCATTGAACACCATCTCTCGTGTCAAACCACCACTGAAAATGGTTCTGGGGCTGGATTCATCGAATGCCTGTTTCAAGATGACAAGGTGATCATCCCAATAGTTAAACCCTCGAACTTTCGTTCACAAGTGCAAATATGGCTATATGCTGACAGCCGCGAGTCGATTTTGTTAAACTTCTGAGCCACCTTGTAGTCTCGGTGTCGATGGAAAGAAGAGAAGCGCCATAGTGTCCAGCGTTTCTTGAAGAAAGTATTCTGTATAAGGGCTGTTATATCTCTGTATTTCTCTTCTCTCGCGGCTCCTGAAAGTATTTTCCTAGCAATTATTATAACATATTCTACTCCAAGTTCATCATTGGCCTCTAGCAATAAACGTTGGATGTGCTTGGAGTAATACTCAAAATACGTCCAAGTCATGGTTTGTGAGCTCCCATGATGTCTGAACCAGCTCCCTCTGTCCAGATGTTGAAGTAGGATCTTTTCGTAGTGGTTCGTCCGAAGCCTCAGGCCCTGAGGCCTGAGAAGTGCCGTCACTTACCGTTAAGAATATTGGTAGATGATTTGTATTATGTAAAGCAGAGGAAGTAGTGAAAATAGGTGCTTCATGAAACGGTTCGACGAGCGCAGCGTATTTTGCACATTTGCATTGCTTAATCATTAACAATGGATCTAATAACATAACTCCAAACTACTATTAACTGACAATGAAAGGATGGAGACACTGGCCTATTTCCAATGATCGGGAATGAACAATTGGGAATAGGCAGCTGCAAAGCGAAAATGATATCGGCTGGTAGTGAAATTACGTTACTATTTCTTCTTTAACACTTTATTACAAGTTGCCAAAAGAAAACTACCCGTGTAAAAGATAAAAGATAGTATTCTAGGGTATTGTGTAGATAGCAGCGCAAATTTGAACAGCTCTTTATGAGTGTTGTTGTCCAGTCTTTATTAAAAATAATGATAAAGAGATATGGAGTTCTCTTATGACGAGGAGTCGATCATTTGTGATCAGAGCTACTGTATCACTGGATTCTGGGATGCTTTACCAAGATCCAAGTGTCATAACTCCCATCGCGGCCCCATTTAGTCATATCCTGTTTTAGACTATCCAGCTCCTCGAAACCCAGCTTCGTATACATGTCGACTGCTTTCTGCCCCATGGCAATCATATACAAATATACACCTAATTGATCACCTTGTTCTACACCAGACTTAACAAGCATGCTACCGATTCCTCGGCGATGATGGTCAGGATGCACTCCCAGGTAATCGAGCTCTATATTGCTTATCAGTGACAAAAGTTTGAAGAAAGAATGGGTAATACTTACTCATGTACGGCCCTTTAGGGGTATGCTTATGAAATTGCTCCAGAACAAGATCATCTGAATCGTGAACTTCGGGTCGGATGGCCCAGTCTGCTGCCTCGAAGGCTGTCTGGAAGCGAGCCTTGTCCTGCTCACTTACGTCTGGGACTTGGGCATCGAGCCAGGAATCTGCATGCGACTCCGGTAATATCCATCTAGCATAGCCGACAATTTGTCCGGTTGACGTATCTATGACTTTCTGATGCCGTCTTACATTTCTGTCTTTGAGGAGATTGGTTGGCATTCTGGCCGAAGCAGACTCGATGATCGCAGCGAGAGGCTTGTCCCAATTCATGTTCCACCAAGGCTCGCCCCAAAAAGCTGTCATGTTGGAGTTGGCAAGACCTACGGCATCGTCTACCGTGCAATTGGGCACAAGCTTGTATGTAGCCATTTCTTTCGAAGTTGATCTTAGACTTGCCTATGAGGCGGGAGGAGACAATGGTGGGGGATGAAATAAGTAGACGCCCGTTGATGAGCTTGCAATCCGATCAAGTTCCACTTCCACTCAGAAGTGACATGTATGGCCCATAAATACTATTGCCAAAGCTCATAAAAAAGCTTCTGATATTATTCAGGACACTGTGTTCTTCACTACTTTGTAGACATTGGCCTCGGCATCACGGCGTCTTCAATTGAGCGAAGCCGCATGTTGAGCTGTAGCTAACGACGCTAAAATCCTAGAGGGACTTTCTTGACAGCTAACGGGGAAACAAAAGAAAGTGCTGCCTAATCACCCATGCCGAGCCACGTAACCTGTAATTGTTTCGGAGCTCAAGTAAACCAAGCTCTCGTAGTCTATACAATTAGAAGTCAAAGCGAATAAAGACACATTTCGCCTGTACACAAGCCCCAGATACAGCCATGAATTTTACTAAGTCCGTAAACTAACGAGTCCAGATTAGTGAAACAATCCAATTTATGCAGTGAAGAAGAGGATAGCTCAATAGTAGACATGACTCAGCCTTACGAGGAGTGGATATTATTTACATGTATTTTGAGTTGTTGACGAATGCACTGCATCACTTGTTAGGAGTCCAGTTTACAGCATTATCGCTATCATAGTCGTAACGAGAATGGCCGCGGGGCAAGCGGACTATGAAGAACTACCATCTACAATTCAAATACCAGTAATGCAAATAGCATGTAGCACTCATTGTCTTGCAGTCAATCGGAAAGCTAGCCGGAGCATTTCATTTTAACATGATTTATCAAGACATCTGCTTTCAATTATACTTATAGCTTTAATGCTCGTAGAAGCTCTAATCTCTTCTTCGGATGTATATAAGGCCTCTCAAACTCTGGATCAAATGCATCTCTCATAACTCCCATGTCATAGCATACTTCATCGTTTATCTCAAGAGGATTCTCGCCACCATGATACAAAAAATTCTCAACTTCTTCGTCAATCCAAATTGCGCGTCCCTGAATATAATGATCGATGGGTACAGCAAACTTGACTTTGGGCCGCGTGTTTCGTTCATGCCAAAGCAGAGAGTCACGCATTTCCTCTAGTAACTCACGCTGGGTGCCAGATTGTAAAAATAAGAACCCCAGTTCAAGTAACTGCAATGCAGGAAGCTGTAAGAGTGTTAATATCAAATCAGCGGAATCCACTGGAATGTTCCATAACCGAAAATATTGTAGCCTTGTCCAGCGATCAACAGGAAGAAATGTTTGCAGCGCTGGTGGGATCTCATGGTGGCTATAATACATGGGGGCGTAGCTGAATATGTCCATGCCTGTTTCCAAGCTGAAATACTCTAGCTGTGACGATTTTGCTAAGGCGTTCCGCAAGAGATTACGGCGAAAAGCTGTCCAACTAAACTCCACCATAAGGGATAGATGCAATTTCTTTAGGTTAGGGTGCTGAAGGCAGGAAACAAAGTCTAAATACTCCTCGGATGGCTGCTCGAAGATGCGACAATTGAGGCCATTACGTAGATTGTGGGAGTCAATTCGAAGCTCAGAGACGCGATGATGCTGTCGCTCTTGAGCCAAAACCTTTACAACTAAACAATAGCCGCGCCATCGCGCTTTTGAATCTTCCCAAGGTGCGGGTTCTTCGCCAGTGTCGTAACAACGTTCAGTTGGCCAGCCGCGAGGAAGTGGATAATTGAATCCATAGGGGAAAGCTCGAATCATAGGAGTCTCGTATAGAGGGGTGAATAGCCATCCATGAGCAGCAGGTGTAACAGTGACTGTTCGCAGGGCGGGAAACCGCTGCAAAGCATATCGAAAAGCCTGGACATCAGCCCCATGAGCGATCACGTCATCTTGCTGGTGTAGGAGATCATGGTAATATGACCATGATTCTGCCAACGGCAACTCGGCATTTGCTTGCCGGTATATTCTAAGGTCTGTAGGATGGCCTGACTCATCGTGCCTTTCGCGTGACTGTAATTCCTCAAGGTTCGCATCCCGTTCCGTCTGAAACCATTCCATATCCGTCATTGGCCTATCGTATAATATCTCGAGAGGTATTGGCCGGACGGTATCCGGATGTTGATTGTTGGAATGATCAGCACGAGAGTGGCATAAACGCGCATCGTCATAAATAAGCTCGATAATTTCCTGGCGATATACATCGTGATCGGCAATAGAATGAACGACGCGAATATTGAGTGGATTGGCAGAGAGAAAGACTCGATTAATACGTAACTTAATAGTACAAAAGAGTCTGCAAGTCAAGCGTAGATTCTTAATTGAGCGATTGTCTAGATAGCTCACTAGCTCTTCAATGAGCTCGGGAGGCAGTGTGGTTAAGAGAGGAGGAGAATCTAAAGATTGTCATTAGACTTTGAAGGCCGAGGGAATAGACATCGTACCTGGCGAGATGAAGGCCGTGTACTCGCATGGGATAGCTTCGTCGACTGGGGACTCAATCGGAAACCGGCTGCGTATGTCCTCGGCTCTTCTGGCAAAGGCGGCCTCTGTCAAAATGTCATCTTCATCATCTTCTTCTATCGCGTCCTGGTCGCGAACAGGTGTTGATGAGCTATTTCCCATCGTTGTGCCAGCGACAAGAGCCAGAGGAATTTTCGATCTGCTAGTGGGATGTCGGTATATAATACACACGTAGTATTGAGTCTGGTGCTGAAATGTCAATGGCGGGAATGATGGTTAAATAAAATTACCGTTGGCCGTGACATTTTGGGGATTCTAACATGACGCGCTAAGGCTAATCCTTCATGTGTGTTGGTCGAGAGGTTTTGTGCAACACGGCCGAAAATTATTCGAATACTCGAGTCTGATGAAGCATAAAAAAGCCTAGCTCTACCCCCCTGTCGGGAGTAAAGAGATTAATGCAGCACATCTTGATTAACATACAGCAGAGCATTACAGAGTATATGTGCCTAAGTCACAGCTTGTTTGTATTATTTACAAAGCCAGAAGAGCGTGATTCATGTATCACTACTTTCCAATAACCTCGCCGATGCCAGCCAAAGTCATACCGCTCTTCAGTATAGACTTCTCAGATTTTTCAGGATCATAGCCAACGGATCTCATCCATTCTTCGACACTTTTGATACGGTCTGGCTTGATCTTATCCAGACGCTGGTAGTCCCTTGTCCACAATCCCGTGTTACCGACGCTATTCGTCCAGACCGTAAACCAGTTATAAAACATGCTCTGCGGAGTCCACAGCGTAGGGTCATCGTATCCCGGCGAATGGGCTACTCCCATTTTTATAAGCGGATAGCCCTGACGAAACTCCTCTTCTGTCATTGGAACGTATCTTGACGGCTTGCCTGTGACCGCTGTAAGTGCCGAAGCGAGCTCTGCCCCTGAAGTGTGCTTGATGCCCACGCTTAAGAGATCTCCGCGAAACTCTTCTGGGTTTTCAAACATGTATCGCGCAAACCAGGCAAGATCCCTCAGAGATACGAGCGCCATACAGCCGCTCTCGCCTAGGAATAACTTCCAGATCCACTCGCCCGTCGCTTCGTCAAGCTTAGGAGCCCGTCGATGAAGGCTATCTTCGGCGTACGGACCACTTTCCAATAGGCTCCAATTCATAACATCTGTCGGCTGAGACTTGAGGTACTCTAGTACATGCACTTAGTAGAAACTCTGCTAATGAAAGGGGCATGGCTCTATACCTCCGAATTTGGCCTTTCCATCTGCAAACGGGACGCGGAATTTAGGATTAAAGCCGCTCTTCTTGGACACATATGGTAGCGTGCTATAGATGAAGTGCTTTACTCCGGCACAGAGAGCCAGTTCGTAAATGCGAATACTCCAGTATATTTCGCTTTTCTCTCCAATTGCAAAGCCATTCGTATTCACAAAGACAGACTCGATGTTGTTGAAAGCAGACACCAGCACTTCTTCGTCATAAGTATCGCCTTTTACGACTTCAATGCCGGGTAAAGCTGCCAACTTCTTGGGCTCTTCCTTTTCTGTATCTCGACTGAGGATACGCACTTTATGGCCCGCTTTGGCAAGTTCTTGGGCAACATAGGAGTTTTGTGCTCCCACGCCACCAAGAATCAGGATGTTTAACGAATGTGACATTTCTAGAAAACTGATTTGAGCAAAGTAAAGTAAGTAGTATCTCATTTGTGAGATCAGCGCATATTATCTGAAGGACATCCTCCAATATTAATAGGACCCCTTATCTTTTGCGACTGACGTTTAACCCTTTGGGTCTGAGGTAAACTCAATCATCATTAATAATGTGGATATTGTAAGTCATCTTTGCTGTTTTTATAATACTCTGCTCGTGCTCCAGTTTCTTTCTGACACGAGTGAGTCTGACACTGGACTGACACTCGATTAGTAATAGCGAGGATATATCGGTCTATGTAATCTCAGCATATATTGGACTGCAATGGTAGCTGAATTCTGATATCTCTTGGTTATTTACGACACAAGATTGATTCTCTATTGTCCGGAACAGTTATATAGTGACTAAATATGACAATCATGCTGACGAGAAGAGGAGGACACTCGCGGAGAAAACAACTAGCCCCGGCATATTCGAGGGAGATATTGCTATAGTATGGCTTTCTCTTCAATTACTTACCTACTGTGTTACTATTACCTACTTATCGAGATTGGAAATATGATATTTTACACGTTTTCTTCATAATATCGAACATGAAGTGTTTCGGATCCCATTTCCATGCGTTGGTCAGGAAGGAAGTATTTAGTTACATACTTACCTACCAGTAAGTAAATGGGCTCAAAAAGCCAAATCTCATCTGAAAGCAATACTCTCCTCTCATAGCAGGCTTAGCTTAATTCTAAAATTGCTACTTTTGGCTGCCGATGTACAGATAGCTTCCTATTATTGCCAGGCACCCTCTTATTTAACCAAATTGGCTTTCTTCAGACTTGCATCGTCTCAGGGGATGCTGCTACGAATCAGACACTAATGCGGGGCATCGACAGATACATAAAGGCGCACCTAGCCGGGGTACAAAATCAAGTACCCGCTCCACGTTGCTGCTAAGGCCGCGCTATGGATCCGCGGATTGGACCCCTGAGCGCCAATCCACTAAATTATCTGCAGTACGTACCATCGTGTCTTGAGGCCGTCACAAACTCTAGCCTGGTCAGCATCTCTTCTTCTTCTACTTACTATTTTTAATTCTCTTTTTTCTCTTCTCTCTTGCCACCACCTTACTCGTCTCTTTTGCATATGCGGCTGGCTACATGTTAGTCGCGGCGTTTCTCCGCAATGGCTTGGGCCTTCTGGTGCCTCTGGCGATAGCCTGCACCGTCTATCTCTATCTCTATCCCCTTTTCGGTGGCTGCGCGTTTCCTCTGCCATCGAGAGACTCCAAGGAGGCCCTGGAAGCCACCAAACGGCTGCATTGGCCGTACACCGAGCTCGAGCTCGAAGCCGACTATGTGCCGACCCAGCTGGCTCCCTTCCGACTTCTTGCTCTGGGCGATCCTCAGCTCGAGGGCGATACGTCGATCCCAACCGTCATCTTGGGCACCTTTCCCCACGTATTCAGCATCTTCGATCATGTCACGTTTCGCACCGAGCACTGGTGCTTTCGCGAACGCGTCCGGCAGATCGTGCACGACATTGTCGACATCTTTTTCGAAGACATCCCGTGGTTCCTCGAGTCGCTGCGCAAGCGCTTCGACCACTTCGGCAACGACTTCTACCTCGCCCACATCTACAGAACGCTGCATTGGTGGTCGCGCCCGACTCACGTTACGGTCCTCGGAGACCTGTTGGGCAGCCAATGGATCGAAGACGACGAGTTTGACATAAGGGGGCGCAGATTCTGGGAGCGAGCTTTCCGCGGCGGAGAAAGAGTGCCGGACGATGTCGCCGCGTGGCCAGAGCACGAGTATGAGCTCTCGGGCATGCTGGATGGATCCGAGGCGGAAGAGATTTGGACAAAAAGAATAATGAACGTTGCTGGCAACCACGATATCGGTTATGCGGGTGACCTGACGCCTGAACGACTGGAACGATTCGAGCGTGTCTTTGGCAAGGTCAACTATGAGCTTCGATTCGGAATCCCCATTAACGACACCGATACGTTAGCGACTTTGCACGACGATGCGACGAATCCCGAGTCGATTCGACTCGAGCCTGAGATTCGCATTGTTATTCTCAATGACATGAATTTGGATACCCCCGCCTTGAACACATCTCTGCAGGACGCGACATACAGTTTTATCAACAAGGTTATCGGTACATCGGCTGCTGTCGAGTACTCGGGTATCTTCACCCTCGTTCTAACCCACATTCCTCTTTATAAACCCGAAGGCGTCTGTGTCGACGCGCCCTTTTTCGACTTCCACACGGAGGAAGACGGCGGTGGCGTCAAGGAGCAGTATCTGCTAAGTGCAGATGCCAGCAAAGGCTTCCTCGAAGGATTCTACGGCATGAACAAAGACCCTAATGCTGCTGCTGGTGGAAGGGGTCGCAAGGGTCTGATTCTCAACGGCCACGATCACGAAGGTTGTGACACGTACCATTTCATTAACCAGACAAACGGCACAGATCCAGCTGAGCGCTTCTGGGAAGTGGCGAGATGGCGTGATGCTCAGGCTCAAGGCCTGCCCGACCTGACCTCTTCAGGAGTTCCAGGTCGCCGAGAGATTACCGTCCGTAGCATGATGGGCGACTTCAGCGGCAACGCCGGCCTACTCAGCATGTGGTTCAACCAGGAGACTTGGGAGTGGGAGTACGAGTTTGTCAACTGTCGCCTTGGCACGCAGCACTTTTGGTGGTTTGTCCATTTTCTGGATTTCGGAGTGGTTGTCGCCTTCTTAGTGTATATCGCGGTGACCATTATGGGCGCAGCAGGTGTCGATGTGGACGCGCGATTCTTTGCAGCGGTTGACTGGGGGAAACGCAGATTATCTGAGTGGTGGAATAAGAAGAGTAATAAAGAGGTGGCCGCGACACAGAACGGACATGCTAAGATAAAAGGGTGATTGGACATTAGCAGCGGAATACCCAAAACTTTTTTTTCTTGTACAATACAATAGACACGTTTTAATGTAGCATACTTGGGATTAAGGGAGGCAAAGGCACTTGTTACGTTTGTTTGCTTGGGTTCTTTTGTAAAAGGCAATGGGCACATGCCGGCAAATGCATGATTGGTGTTGTTGCTTTCTTGACGTTTTGGAGATGACACAGATTTACGAACACGAAGTTTTTTTTTTTTTTTTTTTTTTTTTTTTTTTTTTTTTTGGCTCCAAGTTTCAATGTATGGATTGACAGAGGAGGAGATGTTTGTCTTGGTGGATGATGAGCTTTTGTATTCCTCTCGCTATAACTCATCATCACTCCACCTACATATTTATGGCATATTTTCTAGAATGTTTAGCTTAAAACGCATGATGAGCGTGTGACATGACTTGCAGGACTCATGCAAAAGATCCCATTGCCGAGTGATAACTTGAGCTATGTGTTACATGAACCGAGAGCTCTGTGGATGTAGCACATTTGTGTATCGAGTGTGCCGAGCCTTGAAGATTTAACAGCCTTGATGTATGGCCACACATTGAGCACAGATCTCTGCTCGACAATGACGATGCATGAGCAAAAGAGATTACACTGACTCTTGAAGCGACGCAGGACAAGTGGTTTGACAGATCTTGCAGAAATGCATGGTAACCTTGCCGTGCACTTAGCTGTGATGGCCCATGTATATATGTGGCACTAGAATTGCAGTCAAAATCTCAGCATATAGGTTTAACAAACAAACAAACATCTGAATATAGTTCCCGAGAAGCTTTGCGGCGAAGATCTTGTGTAGCAAACTCAAATAACCGCTCTGTGGCAGCCATCTGGTCATTGTCTTACAAAGAACTTATTACAGAAATAAACACAAGATATTGCCCTCCTATTATATATATGTCCCCCTTCCGCCAAAAACTGTCATTGTTGCAAAAACGGCCTTTGATCACGATTTCATTTTCATACATCAGCAAATGGATGCTCTAATACCGACAATCTACACCTACCGAACCTTTGTCTCAATCAAAATGCTGCTCCTCCGTCTTCTCGTGGCAGTCCTCTTCCATCTGCCAGTCGTGCTCTCAATGCCCTACTTTCCTACGCATCATCTTGGTCTTCGTGATGGAAATATGGCGATCAATCCTCCTGTGCCTCCAACCACTATCCCCCCTTCGATTCCACCGTCATTACCTCCACCGTCAACTACACCGATTCCAATCCCGACAACAACTGGAGATTATTGGAGGGAAATGTGCAAACCGGGTGCTGAATGCGACTGCACTCGCATCAAGGACAAAAACGGCGAAGAGTAATGAATAACCTTTCTCTTTCTCTCTATTCTCTACAAAAGAACTATTCCTTGCTACTAAATGACGGTATTATATGCAGATACTTCCAATGTGTCACCAACCCTCGTTGCGATCACTGCTGGATCAATCTAACCGCTACTACAACGACTACAACTCGCCCCCTCCCATTTACATCTGTTACTCCCGTAACGAACTTTCTCAGAACGGATTATCAGACTCTCTTGCCGGGCACTTATACTAGCTCTTCTGGCGGGACAGCCCATGTAGTGATAGTGCAGCAGCCCTCTCAGTCGATTTCTATAAGCGTCGTGACGGCAACTGTGACTGATTTGGTGACGATTTCTGTGACCCCTTTCTGTGGTCCCTCTTTTGGCGGTTCAACAGCGACGGCGTCTCCGTCTGTGGATTTTCAACCGGGTGTGGAATGGAAGAGATGAATTGGGTGGTATAGGCTAATATGGGAGAATGAGAATGAAGATTGTGTAAGAAGAAAATTGAAAAAAATTGATTATTCAAAATCGATGATTTGAAGGTGTTAATCATGGTGGTTTCCTTCACTGCTAGATGTCTTTTAGATACAATAGCCAAGAAAAGGCGTCTTTAATGGGTTTAAGAAGCGACTTATTCTTTACAAATCCTGTTTGCTCGACTTACAACATGAGAGATTCAAAGCGAAAGAACACAGACACAAGCCAAAGCACCTCATTATCATCCGCAGCCATATTCAACCTTCACGTCACTTCACTGAACAAAATCTCCATACATCTCTTCTCGATATAATCCATCATCATCTCGTACATCCTCTAGTATACAAGTCGATTTACACAGAAGTACATTTTTCATCCTTCTTGTCGCAGCAAATACACAAATAAAAGTTTGGCGACCGTCAAAAGACCGCCTCGCGCACCGCGCCCTTCCCTGTTCCCCTTCTCCATTCGAGCATAAAGGCTTGACTTGCCCATGCCATGATGCCGAAAATATTTCTATATGCAAATAATCCTGTCCTCGATCGACAAACGCGAGAACCATAACCTGCCCTTTGTTTTTCCTGCTTCTTCTCGCGTTCCTTTTTTCTCGCCCCTTTTGATGTTTTTACAATTATTACAAAGCTGAAACCATTATGTAGCGGAGAGATAGTGAAACGCCATATCCATCACCTTTTTTTTGTGCGTCGTCATTTTTAAGATTGTTGAAAGGGTCTGCCTTAAGCCTTGGGAGCCTCGCCACCCTCCTTCTTAGATCCAAACATGCCTGAGAAGTTGCCCATCATGCTGTTCATCATCTCCTGCTGGGCCTTCTCCATAGCCTGCTGCTCCTCCTTGAGCCACTTCTCGCCGTTCTCACGAATCTCCTTCTCCAGAGCCTGGTAGTTTCGCTGGCCGCGCTCGCGAGCAAGGTCTTGAATCATCTTGCCCTGCGCATAAGCCTCGCTGGGATCCTGCTCTCCGTCAACGGGCACAGTCATGCTCATCTTGCTTGGCTTCAGACCCAGCAGGTTGCCGAGCGCACCCATGCCAGACGGCTTTCCGTGGCCCTTCTTTTCAGCAAGCTTCTTGTTGAATTCTTTTCGAGCAATGGCTTCTCGGCGGGCAAATTCGGTAGGGATGTGCTTTCCTTCGAAAGACTTGAGGATCTTTCGCACGTCGGAGTACTGCATGGTGTGGATATATTCGAGGAAGGGAATCAGAGCAACGAGCTCCTTGTCGCTCGCATCGCCCTTCCAAGGCTCCAAAACGATAGCGTTCTCGGGCTGCTTGCGGACATGTGAGGCTTTGGTATCGAGGATGATGACCTTGGAAAGGTCACGGTTGAGGTATGAAAGATCCTATTTGGGTTATTAAGTCAGTTTGGTTCAAAGCTACTACATTGGAACTAGAAAAAGGGTAGAAACTTACCTTGACAATCTCTCCGTCCTCGTATTTGGTCGCCTCGCGATAGAGAGGCCACATGATGAAGCGGAAAGGATCCAGCTTTCGGACAACGGGTTCCGCCATGCCAAAGGGCTGTGTGGTAAACAGAACTAGTTCATAGTACTGACTCAGATATCGGATAAAGTAGTCCATGCCAGGGCGCTTGGCCACTCTCCAGCCGTGCTCACGGGTCCATTCGCTGTGAATGAGCATGTCGTCCAGACTGAGGCAGAGGGTGTAGGGTCGCTCGAAGCTGGGGTCGGGATCGGGCAGCAGCTTCTCGAACGCAGGATCCTGGTAGTAAGATACAGACTCAGACCATCGAGCCTTGGTGCGTTGCCACCACAGAAGAGGGCTCCAGCCGTTGGGAATATCCGGGTGACGGTCGGCTTCGATGGAGTCCTCCCAGTTGCGTCCCATGTATGCGACACTAACAACCGATCCCGTGCCAGCAACGGCCAGCATAAAGCGAGTCCACCACTTGCGATTGCGCTCGCTGGTAGAGACATATTCCTCTTTTCCTCCACGGCCTCGGCCACCACCACTGGCAGTTTCCTCCTCGGCGCCGACCTCCAGCGCTGACGGCGACTTGCCCGCTCTCTGCTCCAGTTCGGCCTCTAGTGTTGACGGAATACCCTGGGTAAGATCGGGGAGCTTGTGGAAAGGAATGGGCTCAGGCTCGACAGACTCGGCGGGCTTCTGCGCAACATTGTCCTCTGGCGCTGCTGAGCTCTCTGCGGCGGGGTCTTTCGGCGTTGGTGAGGCCTGCTTCTGGGTGTCTTTGGGCGGCTGCGCAGAGTTCGGCTTGTTGCTCGCATAGGCTCGAAGGAATTGAGAAGCTGGAGCTGCTGTCGCCGGGCGAATTCGCAGAGGCTGCAGCGCTGCAGCTCGTGGCAGCCGGCCGGCCGTCAGCCCCAGCCGCGAGGCTTGAGCTACTCTGGAAAGCATCGTGATGAGAGACGTCGTTGAAGGATGCTGCGGGATAGTGGAAAGGCGAGAAGAATCAATTGCGCATGTCCAGGCCGCTGGACGTTGATCTCGATGCCGCCGGGTCCAATGCTCGTGGCTGGTTGCTGCGGGCGTTGGATGGTCGTGGAGGATGGAAGCTTCCTGCTCGGTAGTGACTCTCGCTCCTCTTGCGTACTGGCCCGCCGCCGTCATCCAAGAGATTTTTTTTGTCGGGCAGGCGTCAGCCGGGGTTTAAGCGATTCTGGCATGTTCTGCTCGAGGTGGGGGTTTCTGCATTTGCCCCGTTTGGGCCCCTCACTGCCGCGTCCGGCCTAGCGCGCTCGCATCTGGCTCACGTGCAAGGCGCTGCTAGCAGTTGGAGAACTCTCGGCCTTTCCGCTTTCTTCCCCAAAACCTCCGATCGGTACTGGGTACTTTGTCTGATATTCCCGGTTTGTCATAAGACAAAAATCGGCCTTCCCCAGCTTCCGTCTTTTGTCTTCCCCTCACTCGAGCAAAACCCTTGTTTTGGTCGTGTCTCTGTTCCTAATACGACGCTCATCTCAGATATTACTGCATATTGGTAGTGATATTACTGGCGACTCTCGCTCCAAGTCCCTTGTCTCAGCGCTGCTCTGGAACACCCGCCATTCCTTGACCATCGGGTGATCTCTCGTCCTCCGCCAATCAGTCAGACCCCTATCATGGCTTTTGCGTTCGGTGCAATTTAGAGGGTGGTTCATCTCGAGTCTTGTCATCTCGCCATGGAACCACTCTCGACGAGGCACCTCGTTCCCTGCGATTGATTGACTGACTTTATTCCGCCCTATTTAACCGCCGGTGTGGCAGGCCAGCTGGACCCCAGATTGCGAATACCACTGGCTACATGCAGATTGCGTTTTCACCATAATTCGCCACATCTCGAAATTGGAAACAAGCTATATTCCATTTCCCGCTCGACCACCTCATCATGTCTGAACATCCCTCCAAGAGCACTGGCCGCCGGCCTTCAATGACCAAGCCTGTGCCGCCACCAGCCCCAAGAAAGGCGCAAGCCACGGCCAAGAAGTCGCAAGCCGGGGCGCATAAACCACACGCCTCAGGAAACAAGGCGCATACGACCGCAATACAGAAGCCTCAGGCGGCTTCAACCACGGTTGCGGTCGAGCTCGAGGCTCCAGAGCAGGAGTCTCAAGCCTTGGCGGCCACCAATGACAAGCCGGAAACTACATCTATCGATTCTCTGGCTGTTGATATCGCTTCTCTGACTCTCGATACTCCCATCATCGAACTCCGAAAGAAACCACCGCGCGTCCCGGCAACGCCGTTTCACTTTCTTTCTCTGCCCTCGGAACTGCGCGTCAAGATTTACGAATACTACTTTGAAGAAAACGAAGACGTCCTAGACTTATCTCCAGAAAACTACAAGCGCTACCACAAGAGGCTCGGCCTCATGCGCGTCTGCAGGCTACTCCGCGACGAAGCAACCTACTTCTTCTACGGCACCCGAACCTTTCGCATCTTCCCGACATATCCCGGCAAATACTTTAAGAGCAAGCGACCGCTCCTCGCCCGTCTCAAACCCCGCCAACGCGAATGCCTCACCTCTTTGGAATTGCGCCTCGGTCCGGGGTGGAATGCGCCACCTAAAGGGTGGGCTGTCAACGATGCGCTGGGGCTAAAGGACTGCGTCAATGTGCACAAGCTCAAGGTCCTTGTGGAATGCGACCCCAGCGACAATATCTTCAAAGGCTTCCGTCGCTCGGAGGGCTTTTACGAGAAATTCAGCCGCCAACTACTTGCCAGCGTCCTTGAGGCGCTGCCCGCGGTAAATGCCGTCGAGTTCGACGCCTGGTCTAGCGTCAAGAAATCGGGCGCCATGATGACTGGCCTTTTCAAGGTAGTGACCGAACAGGAGGGCTTGTCGATCCAATGGGGGCCAGATCGCGGCTGGACTGATGCAGACGACGAAGAAGAACCGGTGGCGACGGTTGGACCAGATCCCAATAGGCCAATCGAGACCGTTCCGATCCAAGGGTTCGGAAACGCACACAACATAGGTTTAATGGTTGTGGCGTAATGGCATGGGGCAAATGGGTATTGAGATTCTGTTTGGAACTTGTTGGAATGATTATTATGATGGATGCAACCTATTATATGAACAGGCGCTTTGTTTGAACCTTTTATTACTCCCTTTATACTCACCTTTAACTTCTCAAGGCGTCTGTCTTTTTGTTTACGGCGTCAAAGACTCCCGATGAGGGTGTGCGCTCTCTTTGCATAGGTAGTTCAAATATACCACTCTTTCTATAGGCTATTACTACTCCTAAAACTATTTCATAAACTTGAAAATCTCGTGCATTTCGCTTCGTTTGGTATCTCATACAGATTCAATTTCCCAATACTGCTACTTTCTCTTTCTTCTTCATCATCTTCATCCCCATCCTCTTCCTTCCTTAGAGTGCCCCAAGCGTAGCCAGCGCATTCTGCAGCTCCTTCACCGCAGTCGGCACATCATCGAAATTCAGAGCAGATATCGCAAACTTGGCATGTTTCTGCGCCTGCGCCATGCTCTTCTGATCCACCGCCGCTCGCGGGCTGCCTCCTAGCTTAGGAATCGGCGGCGGCGCTATAGGAGCCGGTGCGTGGATGGGAGAAGCGACGGCCGGCGGGACGGGAGCCGTAGGGGCCGTCCAGGCAGGTGGAACGGACGGGTTAACGGGTTGAGGAGGCTGGGGAGGAGGCGCAAAGGATGTGAATTGCGGAGGAAGCTGGGGCGTGATCGCAGGTGTAGGCTGAGGCGTGAAATGCGGAGGCTGGGTAGGGAAGAGAGGTTCTGCGGGCGGAGGAGGGCTGGTGCTCATTGGCGATGGGACGAATGGTTCGCTCTGGTGCTGTTCGGCGGGGGCCTGCGGTGGGAAATATCCGTCTTGAACATGCTCTGCTCGCGAGGGCTCCCCGCCATCAGAAGCGTCTTCCACATATGCGGCCTGTGGCGGCGGCGAAGTAGCAGCAGCAGCAGCTGTGAGTTCCTGAACATCGGGATCTAAGGGGTCGAGCGCGGGCTCTTCCTCTTCTTCTCGGGGCTTGGGGTTTGACTCGTTGGGGTCCTTTCCTTCGCGGATGGCCTTGAGGATGCGGGCGGCGTTCCACTTTGCGAACTTGATCTTCTGGAGGACTTCTGGTTCGGGGGTGCCCCATTCATGGGTGAGATCGAAAAAGGTTGCGGCTGCGTCGAAGGTATCGGCGGTTTGTCTAATAAAAGCAGTCAGAATCGGGCGTAACGCTGAGTTGTTTTTTTCCTTCATACGGTCTCACCTCGTCACCTTATTCGCCTTCATTGTGCGTTCCGCACGATCAAACGTCTCCTGCGCAAACTGCTCGACATAGGCCTGGCCTGCTGTATTGTCCATGATCGCATCGTCGTCTGGGCGCTCTGACTTTGTGGCCTCGAGGCGCTCCAGCAGCGTCTTGGTGAAGTTGAAGCAGTCATCGTCCGTGGTGTGCAGGCTCTTTCCTACAATCTGATTGACGGCATGGTATTCGCCTGTTTTTTACATGTGAGAATACGTTATTTAATGCATAGAGGTTCGAGATGAATGAATGAAGCGCACATACACCAGTACGAAATCGCAGGCTTAAAGGAGCGCAGCTGGTTTGCTCGGTTGAGAAACCGACTGACCTCGGGGATCTTGAGCGGCGGGGGGATTGGCTCAGCCATTGCGGTTTGCGCTCGTCTCTCTGGTATACTCGGTGTAAGTAGCAAAACGAATAGAAAGCAAAGCACAACAAAGCGCCAGAGGGAAGAGAAGGGGTTCAAAAAGCGACGGAGCAGGGATGGAGATGGGACTGATGAGAGTTGCCTTGCCGGCGACGTAATATAAGGTGACGATGCTGCTCCCCCACATTTGCCCACATGGCAAAGGCAACTTATTAGAGCTGAATGTACAGTAGGTGTTCAGCACCAGCCACAGCGGTTGCCCCGCCCGAGGTCGCGCCACACCAAGTACAGATATGGAAGCTGCCAAAAATGGAACGGCTTGGCTAAATGACACTGTGTTGTGAATAAGATGCACGTATTCAGACATTTTGACGCCAAAACGCTACTATTTCAAGAATTAGTGGTTAAAAAACTTCATTAAAATATTATCTATATTAGTCAAAGATGTCAAAGCTACTCTATATACTACTTATATCTAGTGCAAAAGCATATCCAACAGCCTAACGCTTCTATACATCTGACATAGGCTCCGTGCTAAAACCGCCCTGTCACATTGGTAAGCCATACCTCGCACTGTGCATCCTCCAGCGTGGCCTTTTCTGAAATCTCATCCCAATTGCACCAAAGCCAGCCACTATAAATTCAAGTGCTGTGACATCGTTGCCGCATTGATGTCGCATTTCCCATTTTCCATCTCCTCATTCACTTATTCGCTTCATCGAAAGGTGGAAAGAGGGGCTTTTATGAACAGCATCGCTCGCTAGCTTATTATAAGAGAGAGAGCGCTGCGATATTGCAAATCGACTTCTCACATCTCACTTACTGACAAACTTACACGTTCTTTTCGCATAAACCCACAGCCATGCATCAGCAAACTCTCCTCGCCACTCTGGCGGCGAGTCTGGCAGCTCTGCCCTTTGCCCAGGCTGGCTTGTACTCCAAGAGCTCTCCCGTTCTGCAGGTAGACGGCAAGTCATACGACCGTCTCATTGCGCAGTCCAATTACACGTCTGTAAGTGCCAAGACACATTCTCTCATGTATTTCATATAAACACGCATGCATAAACTCTATATAAACACAACAGCAGCTAACACATCCAGATCGTCGAATTCTACGCCCCCTGGTGCGGCCACTGCAAAAACCTCCAGCCCGCCTACGAAAAAGCCGCCAAGAACCTCCAGGGCCTGGCCAAAGTCGCCGCCGTCGACTGCGACGACGAGTCCAACAAGCCCTTCTGCGGCTCCATGGGCATCCAAGGCTTCCCCACCCTCAAGATCGTCCGTCCTGGAAAGAAGGCCGGCCGCCCTGTCGTGGAGGATTACCAGGGCCCGCGCACTGCGAGTGGCATCGTCGACGCTGTGGTGTCTAAGATTAACAACCACGTTACCAAGTTGACGGATAAGGAGATTGACGGATTTTTGGAAAAGGACGAGGAGAAGCCAAAGGCTATTTTGTTCACGGAGAAGGGAACTACGAGTGCGCTGCTAAGGAGTATTGCCATTGATTTCCTGGATGTCATCTCGGTGGGACAGGTCAGGAACAAGGAAAAGGCCGCTGTCGACAAGTTCGGCATCTCTTCATTCCCGTCCTTCGTCCTCATCCCCGGAGGCGGCAAAGAGCCCATTACCTATGACGGAGAGCTCAACAAGAAGGACATGGTCGAGTTCCTCAAGCAAGTCGGCTCTCCCAACCCCGATCCAGCTCCGGCCAAAGCCAAGTCTGGCAAGAAGTCAGCAACCTCCAACAAGGCCAAGGAAGCCAAGGAAGCATCATCATCATCATCATCCACCGCATCCTCCGAAACCTCTACAGCCGCCGCGCCCGAGACCACCCTCATTGAAATCCCTGCTCTTAAATCCAAGGTCGAGCTCGAAGAGCACTGCCTCCAGTCCAAGTCTCAGACATGTGTCCTGGCCTTCGTCCCCGCATCCACCTCTGAGATGCGCAACAAGATCATTTCGTCCGTCTCCCAGCTCCATACCAAGTACGTTCACGGAAAACGCCACTTCCCCTTCTTCTCTCTGGACAGCGACGTCGAGGGCTCTGCTGCTCTGAAGGAAGCTCTCGGTCTTGAGGGCAAGATCGAGCTCATCGCCCTCAACGCCCGCCGTGGTTGGTGGAGGCGCTACGAGGACGGCGAGTTCAGCGTCCACAGCGTGGAGTCCTGGATCGACACTGTCCGAATGGGCGAGGGCGAGAAGAAGAAGCTCCCCAAGGGCGTTGTCGTTGAGAAGCCAGAGACTACCGAGGAGGCCAAGGTCGAGACGGAAGCCCCAGCAGCCGAGGAGTCTAAGCATGATGAGCTCTGAGAAGAAGCTATATTTTGACAGCTACAATAAGATCTAATGTTAGAAAATAGGAAAAAAAAAATGAACAAGATTGAACATAAAACATTGTCGTAGAGTATTTCCTGTAAAACTCACCTGGTATCATTCAAAAGCATAGCAGTCCAAAAGAAACGCCCCTTAATCATCCAAGCTCACGGCCATCATATCGCTCCTCCGTACTGCTCCTTCTTTAATCATCTTCCTTCCCTTCTGCTTCACAATACCATCCAGCAATCTCCTCACTTGTTTACACCCATCCACTCCGACTACTAGCATGCCCTCCAGCCGGCTCACCTGAACACGGCTCTCACACACCAGCACCGCAACCTTGTCGCTGTCTCCCAGCGTTCCAACCGTCAGATAGGGCAGCTCTTGTTCCTCTTGGGTATTCAGGTCAAGCAGAGGATCGGCTGCATCGTCGCCCGCCGCGTAGGACGAAGTTGAGCCTGCGGTACAGGCCGTGATATAGTCTGTCATGGGGATACCAGCGTCGATGACGGCAAGGGTGGTTGCGTTTATCAGCGCAGCAAGAAGTGAGCCATCCTGGGACAAGACATGCAGAGACACTGTGATAGTCGAGTGTGGGAACAGATGCGTGTGCAAGTTGGCGGCCAGCGCTTTCTGAATCGTAATCTCCATCTCTTGGATGCGCCTATTGTAGATGCCGCGATTAGTATTCTTCTCATTTCGTTTTAACCGCTTTTCTTTCTTCTTACCTATCGTTTCTTCCTCTTCTCTTGCGATCCACGCTCGAAAAGCCAGCCACTACCACATTCACCACGATGCTCGCTCCCTCTTTCTGCCCAGTAGCCTGTGCGCTTCCAACGGTTCCCTTCTTCTGTCCCGCCTGTGGCTCTGCCGGGCCAGTCACCACACACATGACCTTTGTATGGCCCATCTCGAGGTATGATGATCCATCGGCGGCGTCTTGGGTGTGAATCTGGGCATGCAGACGACGGAGGTCGTTCCATCGGCGGCCGTCGATGCGCAGCAGCGCTAGGGAGTACGTTGATGTGTCGAGAGGCATGACAAATGCTCTTAAGTGTGAATTGAACTGTTACAGCCGAAAATAGCGGTCTCTGGGAATATTTTGTTATGCGACAAAACACAATTGCAGATGCCAGTTAAAGATCTGCGAGGCCTAGAAATTTTGGAGCTTTGAAGCGTAGTGGGGTCAATTGGAGCTGCGGGTGTGGCTGACAGCGGAATGTGCTGTGGCGCTGGCTTCTCAGACCAGTTGCTGGGACTAGAATCAGCAGTGGTAGGCCATGATATACAAATGGAAAAGCAAAAGGTATAATAAACTACTTAAATAAAAAAATAAAAATGTAAAATAGTATTCATTAAAGATGCATAATTACATTACATCTGCAGTGGCCACGCACGCTCTCAGCGTGGTCGGGTATAGCAGCTACTATTAACTAAAAGAAGAATCTTACACCTTTGGGGCCAGTGCCGACAGTAGAACAGACAAAACCAACTCGCTCGCTATAATAGCAGTCTATGCTCCTCAAATGGAGCCGCATCAATGTTATCAATAACAATCCGCCCGGATTTGCTCAATTCTGCGCCAAGATCAGATATCGGCGTGGAAAGCCGAGTGTGTGCCACCTCCTGTCTGCTCACCCTCGCCTCGTCTCTTGGGATCCACAGAGTTGGCTTCGGTAGCCAAAGTTCCGGAGGCTCATATGTAGCACGTTTATCTCCTTCTTTGTACGCAATCGGCGGTCGTTCTTCCTGTGGAAGCAGCTTGCGTAATGCCACAAAGTCTTCGTGCTCCTCTGGGTGCAGCCACCTTATAAGAAATCCTGGAGGCTCTTCTCCATCTCCATTTCTAAGAAAAGCAAATGCTCTTCTTAGATATTCGTTAATGCCATATTTGTCTGCCTCGGTCTTGAATTTTTCTATAGCAGCAGATTTCACCCAAGCCGTCAGAGCCATTCGGATGTTGCCAGCGCCTTCAAGACCCCGATTAGAGACCACATGGTGATCGTCTTCGTCAGTGTCCTCTAATTCAGCCTCTTCTTCTTCGTCGCCAAATGCTTGTTCCACATCAAAGTAGCTAGCAGCTGCACCACCAGCATCATTTCCATTCGCTTCTCCACTGTCGTTGTTAGCGGCGAGCTTTATTTTTTCCTCTTCTTGGATCTGCTCTTCCAGTGCCAGTGTTTGTGGCAGATTCCACATGAGGCGCGATATGGCGTCTCTCAGCAGGAAATGAATGAGTCCCGTGAAAAGCAGAAGAGCAATGACCAACCCCATGGGTCCGTACGCCTTATTTAGAATCAATAGGCCAATCAGGCATATTTGTGCCAGGTAAAGGCCGATAATCAGTTGTTGCAGTGCACGTGGATAGAAGAGGCCTTTACTATCCGTCGATGTATCGAAAACATAGATCAAGTTGTATTTCCAAACCAATCCCATAAACGCCATACCCCCAGCGCAAAAGACAAGAATCAAGGGCGCAATGCAGGCATATGAAAGTGCTGATAAAAAATTTCCATGGTCAGTCTATAACTTCCTACATAAGGCCATGAAATAGATGGTTGTATATCATGGATAGAGAAAAAGTAAGAATGCAAAACGTACCAATTACACCCATGTTCGTGAACACGGGAAATATGCCACCCCAACGAGCTGGTCGAAGCTTGTGCCAAGTTTTGAAGCGTGTCCTTGGTACATCGGAAGTTTTCGCTACAATTTGATGGCGAATCAGTGAAAACGCCTGCAGGATGCCAGTTCCGCCAGTAGCCAAGCACTGGATCAAAATATATGACAGGTAGAAATTAGATGCTTTAGGCAGATTCTGTGCGAGAAGCGACTGGATACCAAGGGGATTTTCGATAATGCTTTGAAGTGCTCCCGATGCAGCTGAAGTGATGGTTGTGACCAAAAACACCTGAACGACTTGAAACGCAAAATATGCATTTTGCGTGAAGAGCTCTCCAATAACGAGAGATGGAATTCCAGATTGCGCAGCGCAAACTAAAAAAACAGGGAGAGGTTAATTTTAGTTCACATTTCTTGTTATAGCCGGGAAAGGGTGGAAAAGGGGTTTCTTACTTCTCAAGATGATCGGCACCAGCGCCATAAGTACAGATAAAGCAAAAGGCGGGAGAAAACCACCAATAACACCTTTCACAAAACTGGGTAAATCGTTGACCCAATGAAGAAACGGGACTTCTTTAGTCAGGTAATCAATGTTGGAAACAAGGCCGACAAAGGCCGCAGGAATCGACCAAAATATGATGGCGGCAGTAATGCCACAAAGAATCAAGAGACGCCGAATGATGCGTTCCCACCATTTCATCCTGAGCGATTCCCATATAACCTCCTCTGGGCGAATTCCAAGCAGCCCGGGAGCCATCTGTAATGGCAAATGATGCACCACAACTTGCTGCGCAGCATGAGCAGCCTCCTGGGTATCAAATTCTATGAAAGCGGCGGGCAGAGGGTCGGCTTCGCCTCTCCGGATTCGACGTCGTAATTGAAAGATTTCTTTATTAAGCTCCTTGAGTCTGTTGCGAGTCCACCGAATTGTATCGACTCGACGACCGAAATTACCGATGGGTCGATGGTGTGGTCTGTCTTCAGCCGGTATCCATTGGGCCGCGACAGAGCCTCTAACGTCCGCCAGGTCGGGTCTCAAGCCGTAAGGATGAACATAATCCAAATCCTCAGCTTTGATCTCCTCTTCTTCCTGAGTAGGAATGTTTTTGCCTCCTTCGGCGTCGTTGACGTTGTCTTGAAGTTCGATCTCCGGCAGAAATTGAATATCAGGTAATACCGCTTCCCGCGGCTCATTAGACTGTCGAACAGTCTCACCACTGTCTATAGTGGTCATCTCGTTGTGTGAGGACATATCTTTCCCATTTTCAGTATTTTGATCATTCAGAGTTTGAATTGCACGCCCTGTTGTGAACCAGCGCCGCAGGCCAGCAGACTGTGGGTTTTTGCAATAGTACTTATTGCGGGCAGCATTAGCCTTCTTGATTAAAGCGATCTCGGCTTTCTCTAGTCGCAGGGCAGTTTCCTCCCTTTCTTTGACCAAATTCGCAAGTTCTTTGGTCGTGCGTGGGATGAAAATTCGCTTCGCGGAATCGCCATAGAGCTTTCGAAGTCTAGCTTCATCACGGTAAGGCTTCGGCACACAAAGCAAGAGCATTGTCTTGGACGATAATCGATCAGCATAATAGGGCGACGAAAGGTATGCCTGTCGCAGGCTAACGAAGTAGATGCACTCTCGAACAATTGTAAATAGAGTAAACCCTGTAACTGTATGTTAGTAGAAATCATACAGGCCAATTGCTAACAACTCCTTACCAAAGAATAACCAGGCAACTATAGCATGGGCCCATAGCTTTGCTGATCCGGTGATGACATTACCAATCGTCAAGAGTTCGAGCTGAGTGAGATCGTTGCCGCCTGTGCCATGTATTGGAAAGAGGATTGGCCATACGATGCAGCAGCCAACAAGACTAACATTCCGCAGGACTTTGAGGTAGCGAAGGAAAAAGTAGGCGTCGAGGGAGCCATAGTTGAGAAGATAGGTATCTGGGATCTGGTAAAAGGGCTTGATCCAGTTGAATAGGCCAGAGGGCAGCTCAGGGGTGGGTTTTCTAAGACGAATTTTGTGAGATTTAAACAAACATTGAGGTCCAAATAGCTTTATGAATCAAGAATTGGATGTGGATTGGCACAAGGGAACCGTGAAAAGAGGTCTGAAAGGGCAGGAACAGGAGCTCTTACTCTGGGTATCGAAGGCTAGGAATAGTTTTCGGCGCATAAACCCGCTTGCATCGAGGCCGCAACAGGATGAACGAAAGCAAGCATAGGGTCAGGTATATCGCGATGGGGGCAAAGGTAGCACCAAGTTTAGACAGAGAGGCGGTCTTGTTTCCATTTGCTGTACTCAAAGTACCACCGCTGGATCCATCGCGACCAGACCCAACGCGAGTGTCATTTGGCTGCAGAATAAAAAAGAAGTTAGCTAAAGTCAGCCGACGCACAGCATCATTTGAGTTGTGGCTTGAGTTGGCCCCCAGCCCAGAGTTGCCCGTCCCGCTTCAGCTCCCAAGGTGCAGCGCCAGCTGGCGATACTGTGGATTGCAGACAGAAGCGACATCGCGGCGGCACAATGGCTGCAGCAAAAATACCTAGTTTTGCGTAGAGGGGCGTTTCGCCAAGGCGACAGGACGTACCAGCGTAAGGCTCCTCTCCAGGAGCCCGTGCCATGACATGGCGATGTCGAGAAGCTGGCGATGGGGAAGAAGCTCAGGCTGCAATGGCATCGCACAGGCAAGACATTTTCACCGCTGACAGAGGGAGCCAACAGTCGGAAGCCGTGTATATTTTCCGTGTCCCATCCACGGGGGAGAAAAATCAACGCGAGCAATGTACAGCAGCTGAACCAGATCCAGCAGCCGATTTTTCAGCAAGTCAGGTCGAGCCGACCGCGCACAAAACCAGTCGTGGGCCGTACTTGTAGTGTTCTGCACAACGCCGCCATTGAACAGCCACATCCAGGCATTTAGCCCGATTTGCCAATTGGGCGATGGCTCGGCGCCAGGGTCTGGGTTGACGAGCCGGGGGGCAGGTTGACTGGCAATCTATCAGCGAGAGGGGATGGTTGGCGTCAGCCTTTTTTTTTTCTGCACTATCACTGGCAGGCCGACACAGGAACCCCGTCTCATCTGGGATGATGGTGGATGGCAATCAAAGGGGGCAATAATATTTAGTGCATGTATGGACGCCGTGAGGCTCGCTCGACCCGTTCATACGTATCCACGGCATCAAGGATGATCCCTGTCTGCCATCGCCAATCGGAAACGCAGATTGGAATCAACATCTTGCTGTTGTCTTCTTCGGCAGTCTCGTGCTTCGTCGATACGGGCGGGATCATGTACAAGTAGTAGTAGTATGCACAGGCAGTGGCATGTGCTGTATATGCGCGAGAGCGGGTTCGGATCCTAGACGCACCTCGAGTGGGGAGAGAGGCGAAGCGAGACTCGAACCGTTGATGATGATGATGCTGCTGCTGCTGCTGCTGCTGCTGCTTGCCCGCCAGATGCATGTCTCAAGGAGTCACGGCCGAGCTGATTTGCCGAGTGCAGCGAATTGCAATTGGCGATGCAGCGCTAAAGTGGCAATGTCTCGGCGGGCGCCTTGATGATGTGATGTTGAGACAGGAAATCTCGGGAAGTTGTGCGCTATGGTCGATGCCGTAGGTCGGTACACCCATATACCTGGTCAAGTCGTCTTAGTGCCCTATAGGCGAGGTACCACTTAGTAGAATCTTATGTCCTACCTCAGCTACCAGTGCCGTCACCCGGCTGTTGTCCTTCACGTTGTAAGACGCCGTCCAGGCTGTTTCGATCTAGAACCCGCTGCTGGGATCATCCTCTGGCCTCTCCGAAAGTGACGTGTCAGACTTGGGTCTCTTAGTTCTCGCTCCCTGCATTTACTGTCCATGCTGCCCACTCTATGCCTCTTTGAAGAGTGCTTGCCGCAATATCTCTGCCCTTTTCTTCCCTCTTCCCTCTTTTCTCCTTCTCACATGTTATTGCCTGGTAGAACGACTGCAGGGATGCGAGCCAAGACCGCGTCTCCTCCAACGGTTAGTGAGCTGAGCCGTGAAATAAAACGGCGTTCCTGAGCCGCTCCGAGGCTTGGCCCAAGGCTCTGCTCTATGGGGTTAGCTCAGTGAATAGTTGCGAGCTGAAGGCCCCCAAAAGACCCCAAAAGATCCTGGCGCTCTTAGTGGCAGCACCTGGAGCGTAAGGCTCGGGGTAAACAATGCCGCCATTAATACGGAGCGTGAATCGACAAAATCTCGGCGTAAGAATAGACCTGGGGCGCTTCTTTTGTATTTATTTTGCGGGTGGCCCAACTTCATCATAACAAATCAGCACAAGCAGCATACCCTATGAAATTCAAAAAAAGCCATACTCACTCTACTACTGCAGACAAATATTTTGAAAATACGGAAAATATACGATAAATTTTGGCAAAAAAGGCTATCTAAATTAGACTATCTAAGCTAGATTAATCAATCATTCATCTACCTTGTTTTCTCCATACCCTTGAACCATCTCCAATTTTTATCATAAAAAATCATTTTCGTCTATAGATTGCCAGTGGCGCTGGTTTCGATACTTCAATCAGTAATCCAGCCATTTCTAGTTTTAATTTTACCCGCCCTTTTCGCAAGACTTGTTAACAACCCCCATCGACGGTTCCCACCTCCTCTGGTTATTGTAGGAATTACTGCCTCCATACGTCCGCACCACAGCTCCAAAAAAAGAGAGTATCTACCTCATATTGTACTAGAGTGAGTATATGCGGTGTAAGATTAACTTTACCATTGTCTCTAATAGTATTTATTTCTTTTCAATTCGCAATCTCAGGCCGCTGTATCCTCGCATACTACTGTGAAGACGCCCTAGGTGTCTATTTATAAGTTTTACACGTAATAGCATGTATCACTACGCTCGCCACTGAGGCACTCTATATATCGTTACTCAAAGAACTAATCCAACGATGGCTTCGACAATTGTTAGAAAAGTCAAAAAGCTAGGAGTGCAGGGCTAGAAGCACACGTGGAGGAGACGCGTACGACCATCGTCATCGTCCTTGGATGCATCCACTCGCCATCTACTAAGCGGAATCCTAATCGAGGTCTTATTACAAGCACTCTTACACGTATCCTCAAAGTCTGTGCAGTAAAATCAAGCCTCAATTCAGTTGGCCAAACTTTTTCTAAGCCGTGGAGGCGACAAAAGAGGGGGTATCGCATGCTATCATCATCATATCCATAAGCCTCCACGCTCAGCTTTTTCATATGCTCCGCCCAAAACGCAATGCCATAGCCAAAAACTCGCTTGTAACAAGGAATCTCGCCAGCACCATGAATGGTAGCCGAGCTCTCTCTTAATCGGGCAGTGGACCAACCTCCTCCGTAAAGTCCCACACGTCTATGCCCTCCTTCACCACCATCCAGCCATCTTCCACCTCATGGCAAGGACTTTGCGCCTGTATTTTCTCCGCCTCTTGCTCATAAGCGAGTCTCAACTGTGCCAAAGCGTCGGAAATATCCAAAACCTGGCTTTGCTTGTCCTCTGTCCATTTTCTCCTGCGTTAGCCCCAAAGCCCCTTTTTTCGTAACTCAAACCAGGCCTTGAAGTAGCATTTAGCGGCAAACTTACCAGGCTCAACTTCTCGCCGTTTTTCTGCCTTCCTGGAATTACGACTGCACGTAAACCCCGGGTCTCTATCAACGGCCTTTCCCTTACTGGTCTTCTTTTTCCCCTTGCCGCGAGGCTTCTCTTCGTCACCTTCATAAGGAGTCATAGGCTGCATTTCAAATGTGGTATGCGTAGCCTCTGTCGACTCCTCATAAAAGGACTCCCGGTACAGCAATAATAAATCTTGCTTGCTGCCCCGTGCCTCCTTCTCCCTTTTCTCCAGCAGAGAAGCTCTTTTGGAAGACTCTCCCAGGCGGCAATCTGCCTGGAAGTTTGCTCCCATTGGAAACCCTTGCCCGGGATTAGACATAGCCTCGGCCCAAATAGGGAGCAGTATCGAAGCGAGGTTGAAGGTATTAGGATATTAGGAGCAGTAGCTACCGTGCCAGGGTATGGTAGTTAACGGTTATTAGTTGAAACGAAGAAGAGATAGATAGATGGAATAGGAAGAATCTGAGTAGTAAATAACAAAGGAAAATTTTCAACCACAGGAAGGGGAAACCCGACGTTTATATAGGCTGCTGGGTTACTACGTGGTCCAACTTGTACTTATCAAGCCCATCTGGTTGCCCAAGCAGCTTTCCCCCAACAGACACACAGTTACGCGCTAAATAAATCATCAAGCAACCGAACATCCTAAAGACCTTTAAACATAGACATAGAGCAGATAGACCGGAAACCCAGCCCTCGCGTACAAAGTTTGTCCCCGACTTACCAAATTCGTGTCCTCACTAAGACGCCCGTTTTCAACTTTTTTTTAATCAAAAGTAGCTCTGAATTTCATGTGGTCACACGGCGGGTGGATCGATAAGTACTAGTAGTGGATGTCTACCTATTCAAATCACTCGCATAAAAGGTTCGCTAATAAGCTCTTCGGATGCTCCCGCGTCGAAGTTTCGCTGTGGCTGGCATTTTTCCGCTCTCAACTAAAAAGGGTACTACTACCGCTGGTCATATTAGCCGAATTCATGATTTTCCCCTCAAGGCTTCCTTTTTGGGGATCCTTTCTTTTTTGGGGGGGAGGGGGAGGAGAAGGAGGATGAGGAGATCAAACAGAGGCGTTTATAGACAAACTCCAACTATTAATAGAACAAGGCTTGCTATTCTCGATTGTTTTATGATGCTCCCACTAAATCATCTCTACACAATAGATTCATCACATTATTAAAAGAAGCAGATAGGTAATTCTCATCAGTCAGTACTATTAGATTCACTATAGTCATCTATACTAGTATCTAACCCGGCAGTAATCCTTAACCATCTGCCTAACCCTCCACATCCTCAAAACCTTTTTTTGTTTTGGCTAGCTCGGGATCATTTTACATAACATGATCCCGAACCACATCCATGACCTTGTCGTAAAAATGTTGTCCAGAGCTGGGAACCCACCCCCCTTTTCTCTGTGTATGCTCTACAAGAGATGGAAAGGGGAGATGAATCATACTCCGGTCTTGGCTGAATGCCAAGAGCCTGGGTGGGACAGGTACCGCCTATCCGAAGCTCTTGACAAAAAAAAAGTGCTCAAGAATCATTAGAACAAGCTACTCGTGGAGGTGGGAGGGACCACTCCAACGAGGGGCCGCAGCATCGACCCAATGGTCATCACACGCGCCATGGTGAGGGATCATAGCACCATCACACCAAGACCTGCTTGGTATGCTGTACGATCCGCCCCAGAGGACGCGGTGGGGAGATCTATATAGAAGCAAAAGAGTGTGCTTGTATATGTATTACCACACAACAACATTAAATGTGTGTTACCGAGCTGAGTAGACGTTGCAGGATCATTATGCAGCAGTCATTCAGTCGTAAGGAATCAACATGTTGACCTTTTCTCTTTGGTCGATCTTCTCTTCGATTTTCTCTTATCCCCAGGTGTAGTTTGAGTTTCTCAGCCAACAATGATGCCGTTGCGGCGGGCGTCAGCGGGGTTAACCTCGTACTCGTACTCATCGTCGCTAGCATCACTGGCGCAGGAAGAGCTGTCCTGGTCGTAGCCGCATCGGGCACCGCCACAGTCGATCTTGACACGCTCGCCCTTGCGGGTGATTCCATAGCGCTCGCATGTGCATGAGCTGCAGTCGGAGTTGGGAGTGCTGTAGCCAGAGAGCGAGGAGCTGGGCGAGGAGCTGTCGGAGCGGTAGGAGAGGCTGGAGCCGTTGGATGAAACGGGAGATGTGCTGAAGTCGGTGAGAACATCCTCGAGGCCGGCGCTGCCGAAGCGGGCAGTGAGCTCCTCGAGCTCCTCGTTGTCGTAGTAGTCGGACTCGAGGATGTGCTTGGTGGCATGAGGGGACATGGGCTTGGGGGCCTTGATCTGAGAGATGGAGAGAGGTCGGCCCTTGGGGATGTCGACAGTCAGGGTAGAGCGGTGGCGAGAAGACCTGCTCTCCTTGTCCTTGGAAGAGCTCTTGCTGCTTGACTTGTGTGAAGACTTGGCTGAACCATCCTTGGTGACATCAAGGATGTTGAGCTCTCGGCCGGTGGTGGGCTCAGTGGTGGACTCGACGGAAGGGTTGTGAGCGACGTGGTAGCCGTCGATGATGTAGTAGTACCAGTATCGCTTTCCAGCCTCAAGGGTGGAGTTCTGGAACTTGAAGGTACCCTTCCATGTGCCGGACTTTGAGGTCTTGTCCTTGGCAAGGGGGAGCTGACCGACGTAGTTGTCCCAAGAGCCGAGAAGGTGGACAGTCTTGACGCCAGAGGAGACGCGAAGAGAGAAAGAAAGTTGGACGGAAGACATGTTGATTAGGGTTATTAAGTTGTTGTGACTAGGAAGATGCTCGTTGTAGATAGTCTAGTAATTCTTAGGCAAAATGGTAAAAATGGTGTTGTTCGCCAGCGAGCAAGTGAAATCCACAATTCTGTTATTAGGGGGTATCAATTAAGGTGTCGTGATGCGTTAAAAATCATGCAAAGTAAAAAAAATCAGTGTAAAAAACTATCTCGTCTCAAGCTGACCGGCAACTGAGATGCTTTGGTGTAATTGACAGTTGAAGGTTTTTGGTGTAAGTGAAAACGAGATAGGAGTATTAGAAAGTAAAAAGGGGAGACCAGCTCCAGAACAAAAAACAAAAACAAACAAGGGGGGAAAACAGAAAGGTGGATTTGAGGTTGGCAGAACTTGCTGAGGAACAAGAAAAAAGAAGAATGAATGGGCGGGTGTTGGTCGCCTTGATATATGTTTTGAGAAGCGCGGGCCAGAGGGGGAGGCCGCGATGACAGCGGCCGCTCCAGAGTGGCCAAGTTCATCCTGCCTGTTGGTCTAGGACACAAGAAGCAAGGCAGATGCATAGTGTCTGCAACCTCTTCGCCCTCCACCAAGGGATGTGTCTATCACAGCGGGCCAATAGCGCGGCAAAGAGCCAGACCAAGCATGCATCGCGGACAGGGGTCGGGCGGTTAACCACTTTTTGTGGCGCCCATCCACAGCACCGCCGGCGTCTAAACGCGGCGCTTGATTGGGCTGCCGCCGTCAAGTCTCGTCACCCTGCAGATCGCCCGGATCCAGGGCGCGGGGCGTCTTCTCGCTCCTACTGGCCGGCGGGATGGCTGCAGCCGTAATTGCGCACGCCGGCGCCCTTTTTCGTGTACGGCCGAGCTGTCCGTGATTCGCTGAAGCGCTTGCGGGTGGATTAAGGTAGTATCGACCTAGCCGATGAGTGCATATAGGCGAACAAACAAACATAAACAAGCTATTCTTGATGAGGATTAAGGCTGCAGACGCTGCTTTTTGAATCACATTTTGGCGGTGGAGCCAACGGCGTCAATATTGCGAAGCTTCACTTGGTTCATATGCGTGGTGGCCAGTATGTATATAACGGGGCTGTGTGGTTTGCTCAGTCGTAGCTAGCTGTTAAGAGTCCGTGTAGATCGCCAGCAAAAATTATTGAGGAAGTTTGTAGAGGATAGCGTATTATGGGATCTGAGGCATGACTTCAGACACCCCGTTCAATGATCATTCATAAGACATAATCCATATCATTGGCTTACTCCAGCATAGAGCACTTGGGTGGCCAGTAGAAATGCCGTTGCGATGCCACGGCACGCACACCCAACACTCCAACTCACAACAACCAATTCATCCAAATAAGTATAAAAACTGAAAGATCAGGTCGAGAAATAAAGACCGATGCTGTTTGATGGATAGCTAAATATTTCGAGATGGCGCCTTCAGTAATCGTGGCTTCCCCTATCTTGTCTGCGTATGTCCTGGTATATCATTCTTTTGGTTGCAGGTATCGAAGTCGAACCCGCCTTGATTCGTTCCCATCGTGAAACTTCTCATGAGTAATGTCCTTCCGATGGTGTGTACAGCTTTCCCGTCTCCGCCCAACAGCAAATCAGCCCTCAATGCCATGTTCCAAATGCGTAATGGCGGAAGAGTCTGTTCTCTTGCGTATTCTCTCTTCAGTCCTCCATTCTAGTATCTCCACCGCTTTCCTTCTGGTCGGCTCCGCGGATGTAAAGAACGTTATTGCACCTATCCAAGCTCGTTAGAACCAATGAACAAGGTAGGTAAAGAGATGCGATGTCGCCGCCCACGGCAGCACCTACCGGATGAGAACTTGGCCCAGCTCGCCGGTCAGCTTATCGTTCAGATATTCTTCGGTATTGGATAGCTGCAGGTTCATGTAGCTATCGATGGACTAGGGGTAGCAACGCGCAATTAGCATCATCCTGGGCAGGGGAGCCTCGCCTCGACAGAACTCACCACCAATCTTCCCTTGTACTCCGTCTCTCCCCACTTTAGGCGGACCAGGACCGTCTTGTCGACGAGGTCTTGCAGCATAGGCCGCGGGTTGACAGGTACGAAGCTCATCTTGTCTGTCGTGATCCGATTCGCAGGGTTTGGACAAGGCACGCTATCGCAAGGCTGAAAGTTTCGCGACTGAGGCCAGACAACTTGACCGCCCCACAAAGCTCAGTCCGGTTAAATGTCGGCTCCTCAAGCTTTCATTGTGCATAAGCTATTAAGAGCATATATTGGATATTTGCATATTTACAATATATGCATATACTTTCAAAAGAAGATGATCCTTGTTCCCAGCTCTATGGTCGCTCAGAACTCCATAAAAGCAGCGATGTGAAGAGGACACCACCTCATGGCTCGGCCGCCAAACGGGCCTTGTTGGCCGGCTAATCAGGCCAACCACGGCATCATCCGCATCTCCCCCTCGTGGCCGCATAAGAAGCGACCTAAGCGTGATGAAATATTGATCACTGGGTACTGCCTGTACGGAACATGAGGCTGTTACGGTATTGGTCGCTTGGTTGGATGGATCATTCATGCATTCTCTTCATGGCCGCCGTCGCATCCTCTGCCTGCTTGGCCCGCAGGCAGTACTAGTAAGAAACAAGAAACAAGAAACAAACAACTAGATAGCTGCGTTTATCGGCGTTTAGTTTCCCTACTTCGTACGATATGGGCGAAATCTCCACACCATCCTCACGGACAGAAGGCATGCCATGTATCCATGTATTACCATCGCATCTTCCTGCGGCCCATAATGGCGACCGTGCTACGAGTTATTACGTATTGCCACTGCTCATGCCTACTTAGTAGGTAGTAGTACTACTTCGTAGTTGTAGTCATGCTGTCGGTCTCTTTTTCTTGTGGTCCCATGCATTTCTTCCCTTGTATCTTTCCCCTCTACTGTGTTCTGCCTAGAATGGAGATTTATCATCACAGCTTATAACTCGTAATTAAACTGTCATAGATACTTTTCATTCGCCAGCTGCCTAACAGTATTAAATGTGATTCGACTCTAGCGCCGGCGGGTAAGCATGTCATCAAAGACGTATGCACTATCGCATTCACAAATGTCTCCATATCCTGGTCCAACATATGTCTCCACCCCCCATTCATGCAAGTCCTATTGGAAGGGCACCTACGAATGCCGACATAGACATGTAGAGCATCGAAGGACATATGTCGGCTCAGCAGGGTCCCCAATTACCTCGATATAGCTTCCAAATTCCCTTTGGCAAGCACCATTTCGACAATACTCCCGCTCGCACAATACGCTGACAAGCCTGCCAATATTCTCAATGATGCGGGTAGCTCTTGCTTCTTCGGACTGGCATCTGGCTTGAAGATCGCTTTGCTGCTGCACCCCGGCTTGGCCCTGCTCTTGTCGTGCCGCGTCGAGCAAATGGGCGTGAAAATGCAGAACCGAAGCAGCAAATTCACCTACCAAACTAGCCAACTCGCCAGACTTGAGCAACTCTTTCAAGTTTTGGGCAGTGAGGAGAGCCATCACGCCGTGCAGCGACTTGTCGCCACTGACGCTGATGGCGGCCTTCGCCGAGGCAATAAAGGACTTTGGATCCCACTTGACCGCATAGGCTTGTTGAATCTTTTGATTAGCCAGCAGGCCAAGGCCCTGAATGCCGTAGTAATCCGCAATTGCGTTTACTTGTACATGATGCAGCGTGCCTTTGGCAACTAGAGCAGGCGTTGCTGGGGCTGTGTTTGCTGGGGCCGTGTTTGCTGGGGCTGGGCTGCCTTGGCTCTGCACAGTGTTGGGAGGACTGGGCGTTGCAGCACTGGTAGCGGCAGCAACTGTTTAACCCATGTTAGAATACCTATTCTCGGTGCAACCTCTTTTAATGAAAAAACGAACCGTTGCTGGCTTCTTTAAACTGGTCATAATCTCCCGTGTAGAGATACTCTACCATGCGTCTCACTGTTTCTGCGTCGAAGAGCTCGATGTTGATGACACTGGACTGGGCTTCCTACTTCAAATTCAGGATCTGCCTCACTAAAGCTTGTTGTATTGCATACCTTGAAGTCACCCTTGAGGGCCGTGGCAATGACGGACGATTGTGAACACGCGACCAGCTTGTGAATTTTGAACTCTTTGCCTTGACATGTCAACTTCAAGTCCGAAAACTGGCCGGACGTCATCAAATGAATAAAATCAATTCCGCCTTTCATGATGTCTCACAAGGATAGCGGACCGATCCACACTAAATCGACGATGGCTTGCAAATGGCGGCAGGGGTGGATAACGGTGCAACGGATCGTGATCCCCACCAGAATTCGAAATAGGAGACGTCCTTTTTTTGTGGGCTTTTTTTGTGGATTCCCTTTTGTGGGAATGACTAAGACCCTGGGCCGTGAACTGGCAAATAGCCGATATTCTTCCGATTGCCTGCCTTGGGGCAGCACAGGAGAGTAACATTTCCCTACAGCACAGAAAGAGGCAGCAAAATGTGTTACGTATGGATATGAGTCTATTGACAGGCGCATAGCCTCGCTAAACAGCCTTGCCGATACTTTATTTAGGAGAGAATGTTGGCTTCTACTCCAAGGAGAGGTAGTTTGTGCCACCAACGAGATAGACTAGGATCACGTGAGCACTTACCGGCTGACTCAACCTTTCGGCGAGCCCAAAAAGCATGCACTAGACGAGTCTCTCATGCTATATTGAACGCCAAAAACTATATATACATACCTACCCCAATCGCCCAACTCTCACTGACAGAAACTTCGATTGCGTTTTAGCATTGAGCTGGCAGATATCAGGCGATTAATCGGGCTATAGGCAAATTTGGGCAGATAAACAGGAAATACAGGCTCTAAAACATACAGTCTTGTCATATATTGAAGAACAGAAAAAAAGAAACAAAAAATCTCGTTCACTGCTGCTACTAGCAGAGAGATTTTAAAGCCAAAAGCATTATAGATCTACAATCTTCATCACTTCAAGTGTCATCATGAGCTCTCCCACCGTGGACCCGGCACTCATTGCCAAGGTGACCGACTATATAAAGGTCTACATGTCCAACTATGACCCATCACACGACTACAGTCATATCAAGCGCGTGGTGCATCTTGCACAGACGATTCAAACACATGTCCCCGACACGAACCGCGATATCGTCACTCTTGCGGCACTACTACACGATGTAGGCGATAGAAAGTACCTTAAGCCCGGAGAAGACGCCATGCGCATGATCTTTACAGCATTAACGTCTCTCGGGGCGTCTGAGGCCCTGGCAGAGAAGATACAAATCATTTGCCTTGGAGTCAGCTATTCGAGCGAAATCAAGGACCCGGCGCGTGTTCAAACACTTATTAAAGAATACCCCGAACTCGCTGTTGTGCAAGATGCCGATCGACTGGATGCTATTGGAGCGGTGGGCATTGGTCGCGCTTTTACCTTTGGGGGAGCCAAGGGAAGGGCCTTGGACGATTCTATTGGCCATTTCGAAGAGAAATTGTTCAAGCTGGAATCTATGATGAAGACGGACGTGGGCAGAGCTATGGCCCGAGAGAGGACGGAAAGGATGAGGCTCATGAAGGAGTGGTTCCAGCAGGAGACTGAGGGAGTTGAGTAGAGAGCTAGAGCGTCGGGTTTTATATATAGGCATTGAGCATCAAGACTTAGAATAAATGTCGGTCTTGTACTGTTGGTATATGCTGTAGAGAGTTTGCATTAAGGTAGATAGCAAGAATGATGATGAGTCTAACTCTCCAAAATATATGACGCACCTCAAAATCAACTAATGTACCAGCAATATAGCCAAGTATACGTTAGTAAATTTTGGTAAATTTACCTAGTAGTTATGCCCATCAAGTCAAATATGGCTTTTTCTGCTAATCCATTGACTGCGACGATCTTACATGGAATTGAACTGCCTTGTAGATACCCCGTGTTAGCTAACTGCCTACAGGTATTGGTAGCAGCCTCATGAATGTAGATTTAATTATCACACACATTAAAGAGCTAATGACAAACGTCAATACTCATTTAGGATGTAGAATCGATGTAGGACAGAAGTCGCTATGATTCGCCATAAATGACAGTCACGTGTGACAAATCAGATATGCAGTTGAGCTCAGCAGCACAGCCTTGTCGTCGCCTAATGCCTGGCCTGGTTACATGTATGATCCTACACGCGATTGTGTAAGCAATAATAATAGTATCGCGTCAGTGACATCTGACCATGGAGACTTCGAGTGTAACGGTCGCTGCTGACTTATCTGCTAAAATCATCGTACTATGTTCCAAGTTCGTTATCGACGTTGCTAATGCTCGAGCCGAGATCGAACGCCTCAAAGAACAACTGAAGAATCTGGAGACGACTCTTCGCCATGCCAATCATCTCCTCGAACAGCCAAACAGTCAATTTCTATCTGCATCTCGAGAACTCGATGACCCACTCCAGAGATGCCAAGCCGAACTGCAGCGGCTGCAAGATAAACTTGAGCCAAGTGCGACACGGAAGGCAATGAGGCGGTTTGGTCTTCGCGCGGTGAAATGGCCGTTCAATAAGGGTGAAGTTGAAGTCGTTATTGCTTCTCTTGTCGGTTACCGAGAGGCAATTACAGCCATCTTGCAGATCGATCAGACGTAAGTCACAACTCGCTCACCAGTGAATCCATGCACTATGGTAAAAACAGTAGCTAATAGTCGAATTAGAAAGCTTCTTCTTGATATCAACGAAAGAATCGAGAAATTATCTCTCCAATCGGTCGAGAATGGATCGAGGGATTGTGGACCATATTTCATGATACCTTTTCCCCGTGATCCAGATTTTGTGGATCGGCCAGTCCTTCGGGAGTGGCTCGAGGAGCAGTACAACACAAATCCGGCTCGTCGAATAGCGCTGGTTGGCATGGGTGGATTTGGGTAAGACCATTCACCGCTGGTTCGCTACCTGCAATGATCCAAAGCTAAGAATGCCAAAGGAAGTCCCAGATTGCCATCGAATTTGCCTATAGAGTGCATATCGCTTCACCCGAAACAAGCGTATTTTGGATACATGGCGGTACGGAGGCGAAAGTCGAAGAGTCCTACCGATTGCTTGTAGACACACTCACATTACCTGGCCGCCACGACCCAAATGCCAACGTTCTTGCCCTTGTTCGCGATTGGCTACAAAAAGCAGAGTCGTTCCCCTGGCTGATTATATTGGACAATGCTGATGAAATGGAGACGTTTTTCCCTCCCAGGAGCCAAAATGGAGAAAATCAACGAGAACCTTTAGCATCTTTCTTGCCAAAAACAGGCAATGGGAAAATCGTTATCACGTCGCGCAATAGAAGCGTGGCAGAAAAATTGACTGGCAGCCATAAAACCATCCAAGAGGTCCCCACAATGAGTAGCCTTGAGGCTCTGAAGATTCTTGAAAACAAATTGAGTCAAGGCATTGACCAAGACGCAGCTATAGATCTCGCTCGTGCCCTAGATTTCATTCCGCTTGCCGTGAACCAGGCGGCTGCATATATCAACCGACGTGCACCTCGAGTCTCAATTAGATCATATCTTGATAAATTCCAGAAAAACGAAAAACAAAAAAAGAGTCTATTGAATAGAGATGCTGGTGATCTTCGGCGGCGTGAAGATGTTTCGAATTCTGTTGTGATTACATGGCAAGTTACCTTCGAACAGCTCCGACAAGAGAGGCCAACAGCAGCGAACCTGCTTCTCCTTATGAGCTTCTTCCAACCACAAAATATTCCTGAATTCATGCTATCGGGCTACAATCTTGTTACGTCGGATTGTGAAGATGGCAATAACGATAATGATGAAGATCTGGAGGATGACTTGGATGTTGTCCGGGGCTATTCCCTTATCAGACTATCCACCACATCGGGACTTTGTGATATGCATGCTCTCGTGCAGTTCTGTACTAAAATTTGGCTCTTGGAATCTAATGGGAACAATTTTTCGCGATTAAAATCGCTATTCTTGAGCCTCAGTACTAAGCACTTCCCTGGTGGGGAATTTGAGACATGGGCCAGATGTCAGCTTTTACTGCCTCATATCAAGGCATTATTGGATGAAGAACCTACAGAGCAACCTAGTATTATTAATTGGGGTGGTCTGTTGGTAAAAGTCTCGCGGTATATGCTAAAGATTGGGGATCACTTCGCGGCCGAGAGCATTGCTCGAAAAGCTCTTAACTCAAGAAAGAGGCTACTAAGGGGCGAGAATCATAACACGCTGAATGCCATGCTTATACTAACAGCAACGTACTTTACACAAGGAAGACTTAATGAAGCAGAATTGCTACTTGTGGAGGGGATAGAGATGTGTAAGATGATATGGGGAGACGAGCATCCTAAGACATTGAGCAGAATGTCTAAGCTGGCAAATCTATATCGAGTACAAGGCAGATTCGGAGACGCGGAATTGCTTGAGGTGCGAGTGATAGAGACGTCAAAAAGGATATTAGGAGATGAGCATCCTAAGACATTGAACAGAATGTCCAATCTGGCAAAACTATATCGAGCACAAGGCAGATTTGGAGACGCGGAATTGCTTGGGGTGCGAGTGGTAGAGATTTCAAAAAGGATATTAGGAGATGAGCACCCTGTGACACTGTCCAGCTTGTTTGCCCTGGCATTTATATATTTGAGTCAAGAACAGCTAGCAGAAGCGGAGTTGTTAGTGATGCATGGGATAGAAGTAAGAAAAAAGTGGCTAGGAGACGAGCACCCTAGCATGCTTCGTACTATGGCTATTCTAGCGCATATACTCCAAAAGCAAGGTCGATTAAAAGAGGCAGAGTTGTTAGGTGTGCAGGTGCTAGACATAAGAAAGAGGGTATTGGGGGATGAGAACCCTGACGTGCTTCGTACTATGACTATTCTAGCGCGTATACTCCGAGAGCAAGGACGATTAAAAGAGGCAGAGTCGTTAGGTATGCAGGTATTAGACACAGGCAAGAGGGTATTAGGGGATGATCATCCTGGCGTACTTGGTACTATGTTCGACCTGGCTTTGACATTCCAAAAGCAAGGCCGCTTGGACGATGCACTGGTGATATTACACGACACTGTTTCTCGTATGCAGCGCACCTTGGGCCCTGGTGCCACATCTACTTTGAAAGCACTGGAGATTCTCAGCCAATGGGAACAAGAACAGAAGGTAATTTCACACAGAGCTGTTTGAAGAGGCTTTGACTAAGTTACCAATTACAAGCATCTCATTCTAGAGCCAGTACTAAACTACTGATGTATTGGAATACTAATGATTCTATTCGACAATAGCTAAAAGAAAGGGAATTATGTCTAATGCACATCTCGGTAGGCCGACAAAGCATCAACCTTTGGAGCTGAAGTTAAGTCAAATAAGACATATTATTAAACTCGTATATAGCTCTCCGAAAGCTGTGTTAAGATTCTATCAACCTTGTAACGAAAAGTAACCACGGCATTCTTTGATAGCCACTGCAATAGCCCCTTGCATGATTGCAGTGCAACGAGATTCACACAAAAAGTATCTTGTTCTCTTGTTTCTAGGTCGGGTGAGCGACTTGCATGCTGTTTAACTATTCATCACCTACTTTAATAAATAGTTGTGTAGATGGCCGGTCTGTTCTGGTGGCGACCAGCTGAACTAATGGACTGCAAGCAGCAAGCGAGATAAGCGAGATATCTCGTAGTTTATAAGCACTAACAAAGTATGCTTGTTTATGACTCTTAAAAATATTAATTGAAGCAGGTCCAGCTAGATACAGGTCTGAGATAATACACATATATAAAGAAAGAGAGATACTTACATATGTATGAACATACATATGTAAGTAGCTACATATAGAGAGAGAGATTAATGCATTCAGAAACATTTCTTGTACAACATTGTTACTATTGTGAAGACGCTTCCCCAGGTTTACTTACCATTGTGCCCACTACTTGAATGGATACCTGTTCCCATTGTTCCCGTTCTACTCCGCGGACGAGAGTGGGCCCCACTGTCGTCGGTATCCAGAGTGGCTTTCGCCTCCAACTACAAACAATAGTCATATTCACATGACACGCATCCAACGCAATCTCAATACAGTAAAGCCACTCCAGTCATGCCGATGAATCCAGACGTGGCTGCGTAACTAAGCCCTACATATCACAATTCAGGCTTGGGGATTCCCGACGATACTGACCTGGGGTGTGCTTGACGGGCTTGCATTGTAGCAGGCAGAGCTTGGTGATTTCTCGATTTATACTCTCGTCTTGAGCCCTGTGTGTTTGTTTAATCGTTTAAAGATTGACGACTGTAGTATATGATTAGTCGGAGGACCCATGAGGAAGGGCAGACGCGAGGCAGGCGGCTGGCCCGGGGCCCCTAAGGCTCGTCAGTTGGTTGGCTTGTTGGACGCTGTGTGCCCTGGCGCAGCGGCCGGCTTAGGGGTTTGGACATCTATAGTTGGCTGGCTAACTGGTCTGTTGGCAGCTGTGTCTTCTGACGCGGCGTTCGTTCGAGTCCGTCCTACTACTGGGATCTTCCGTCGGCTAGGTGGTACCGGCTACGGGGGCCCTGGCGTAGGTGTCGGTGCCCACCGGGTGCGATGGGGAGAGGTCGGTCTCGGGGTGGGTCTGGGGGAGCGTTCCTCCGGGGGGTGGGTTCGGGGCCGGGTGAGCTGGGCCGGAGCAGGCGCTACAGGCAGTGTTCGGAGAGTTGTCTATCGGTCTTTCTTTTCAACTGTCTGCGTCAGGAAGGAGCATTCGTGGGTCCCGTGGCAGGGGCAGCATTCTTGACGAAGACCTGAATGTTGCACATCCGTTCGGGCTCGGAAGGTGGGCTTGGGTGTCCCCCAGCTCGCGGGCTCATCTTGGTATTACCTAGATGGTAGGTTTGTTCACATTGGGAGACGTGTCCCAGGTTTCTGGGCGCCTCGCAGCGGCATCGGGGGTTGGCATCATTTTGGAACCGAGAATATTAGTCTCAGAAGTCTCCGTGACCAGAACATTCGGCAAGCAGCCGGTGCAGTGTGGGTGGGGGAACTGGAGCTCCTAGATGCTTCCAGCTATAATCTTCCTGAGGCTGTCGGTTGCCCCATTTCTTTCCAGATTCTCCTGTCTAGGGGTGCGGCAGCTTTTGAGGGTGCTTCCCTCGCTAGGTTTTTGAACGCCAGGAACTTATTCTGCCAATGCGCCGGGTGGTTCTTTAAGTAGACGGGATGCCACAGCCTGGTTGTACAGGAAGTAGTGTGCTGTAGTTGGGTGGGCTACATTTTGAGGAATCTCGCCGTGAGTTAGACCGCTGCCAGTGCGTTGGTGATCTCGGTTTTGAATATCTTTGGCGAGGTGGAAGGAGCTCGCGAGAATGGCTTCAGCCAGCTCCTTGCACTGCTCTTGTATTTCCATGAATCCTGCTTATAGTTGTCTAGTGGGCTGGAGGCTATGTACCCGAAGTGGTGATGTCTGGGATACGATACTCCGTCGATCTTGTCGAGGTAGGGCTCTTGGATGAGTATAACGTTAAACTTTCGCTTTTATGGGGTTTCGAGTGCTATTCTATGTACTTATTTTCCATTCTTAAGTTGGCTTGGTGTATATGGTGAGTATCCAGGTATGATTGGCGTTACTTATTGCTTGGTCTGAGGGGTTACTGGAGATGGTATCCAGCGCTATTGCGGAAGGCAATGCTCAAAATTTATGAAAAGACTTTAATTGCTGGGATTGAAGCTCTCAGTTATAGCCTCCGGGTTATGCAGTATAAGTGCCAGCATAGACACATGGAGATATATATATTACCCCAACGTCTATCTACTGCAATAGAACTAGATATAGCTATTTTAAATACTTCGCCATTTATCTAAGGTCGATAGAGACAATATTGTATCGGGATGACCTTGCCCTAATCTCCGCTCTCTGATAGAAGCACACTTCTCCATCAACGCTATAGCATCGCTTAATCTGCCTAAATCTTTCCAGGTAAAGGCAAGACTGGCCGTGCTAGTAAGTGTATCCGGATGCTCTGCTCCAAGCACCCTCTTCTGTATCTCCATTACCTGTATCTGTAAGTCTTCCGCCTCTTTCCATCGACCCTGGTCCTGATATGTTAATGCAAGATTACCTATACTAGTAAGTGTATTAGGATGCTCTACTCCAAGCACCCTCTTGCTTATCTCCATTACTTGTACCTCTAGGTCTTCTGCTTCCTTCCATCGACCCTGCTTCCGGTATGTTGATGCAAGATTGCCCATACTAGTGAGTGTATGTGGATGCTCTGCTCCAAGCACCCTCTTACTTGTCCCCATTACCTGTACCTCTAGTTCTTCCGCGTCTTTCCATCGACCCTGGTTCCAATATGTTGATGCAAGATTGCCCATGCTGGCGACTGTATCTGGATGCTCTGCTCCAAGCACCCTCTTGCTTATCTCCATTACCTGTACCTCTAGTTCTTCCGCGTCTTTCCATCGACCCTGGTTCCAATATGTTGATGCAAGATTACCCATACTAGTAAGTGTATTTGGGTGCTCTGCTCCAAGCACCCTCGTACTTATCTTTATTACCTGTAACCTTAGGTCTTCCGCTTCTTTCCATTCTCCCTTATAGGTAAAATATCCTGCCATATTATGCAAAAGTAATGCCTTAATTATATCCTTATCACCCAAGTCGGCTCTATCTTGTTTAAGCACAGACTTTGCATGGGGAAGATATCTCATGCAGGTGTCATGAGTTTCAAATTTTCCATATGGGTAATTAGCTGACATCGTTTCAATAGCGTATTCGGTAAACTCATTCATTTTGCCCTTATTGATAAGCCATTTTCGTGTTACTAACTGCACTAGTCTGTGCATAGTAAGGCTTCCATCCTCTCCCCCTGAGATGAAGCAGAAAGCTTTAAGAGTACCTAATGCCTTTATAAGCACTTTTGATGTGCTGCCTTGAACCTGTTTTGCGTTTCGCTGATAGTAATCCTTCACGTAGTCTTCTGGGATTGCCTGAAAATGAAACAGGCTTAAGAACGAGAGAATATCGCTTGCCAACTCTTCTTGCTGCTTGATTTGCTCGAAAGATATGATCCAGGTTGCTGTGACCGCGTGTGGGGTCTCAGAGTCTCTTCCTACAGTTTCAAATTGCTCGCTGAGCTGATCGACGAATGTAGAGTCGCTCTCATCCAACAGCTGGATGTAGGTATCTATGGATATAAAATTTTCTTGAATAAACGAAGCTGCTTGTGCAAGGGCAAGAGGCAGGTGCTCAAGCCTTGACGATAGAAGAGATGTCTCATCTTCAGAAAGTTGTTGGCCACTTAGTGTCTTCTGCAAAAGATTGTGACATTCGCTTTTGGTCATGTTGCCAATCTCAATAGGAGAATTATTCGCGCACAATTTAAGGCCTGCTTTCTTGTTTCTAGTTGTAACAAGGATTGACCCGTGATTGCAATCTGGTATATAGCGAGCTAGGCTGTTGCTTGTTTGAGTTGCTTGATTTTCCATGCTCAGCATATCTCTCTCCTGTAAATTAGGAAAGAAAAGCTCCGCATCGTCAGCATTATCGATTATCATTAACCATTGCATTTCGGCTTGATCCTTTAACCAAGCTTGAACAAGTAACAATATATCAGCCTTTGGGTCGTCCCACCCAGATATATTGCATTTCTTTGCGATAGAAGCATATGATTCGCGGAAGCGATCTGTATTGCTAGCATGAACCCAAAATACTGAGATATCTGGGTGTGCCTCTCGAAGCCAGTACGCATAGGCTAATGCAATTTGCGTTTTCCTATGATGCATTAAAATTATCCGTCACTGATAAGAGGAAAACAAACATACCCAACGCCGCCAAGACCATAAAGTGCCACTCTTCTGCGCGACTGAACAGGTCCTTGCTGTTGGCTTAACCCAAACTGCTCCTTGATTTTATGTAGAATTTCAGATCTTGCAACAAAATCTGGGTTCTGACTGTATGGTACCAGAACTAAATCCTTTTTAGCATATATTGGTTATTATTCTACCATTCTTTACCCACACTTTGATGTCGATGTTTGCAATCGACCTCGCCCTTTAAAAGCCCGTCTAGCAAGGCCCTTGATCTTGTCTCGTACAGTTAGATAATCAGGGTCATTAGGTACAAACTTCACCATGTCAGAGTGCGAACGGTTAATGGCACAGATATGCTCCGCGCCATCTTCCCAGGGACGACAATGCGTGGCTGAAGACTTTGTTACAAGAATTGCCTTAGCCCCAGACATTTCCCATTTTCCCGATTGACTCTATTTTTAGTTAGTTGTATTATCAGTCATAATGATTTTTTAAACACCTTACTTTCTGTGCTGTTGGTGACCGAAGAGTCTCATAGAAGCAAAAGACTTCCGAATCACCCTCGCCACCTAAGGCGCTAACAAAATCTCGATGTTGACTTGTCAGTGTCTGTGAATTGTAATGATTAAGAGACTCTATTAGTGAACGGTTTGGTCCATCTCCAACCATGGGGATCAGCGAGCTGATGTCCATGCCATGATGAGGGGTTCCGAAGAAGACGACCCCGTATATAGCACGGATAAGCTTTTGATCATCTTCATTTTTCGATCGCGATAAAGATATCAAGGCCTGTTATATACATTGATGTTAGAAATAGAAAATTATATATATTAAGGGGTGGCTTGCCTGCTTAATGATTAGCCCTCCGAGACTATGGCCAATAAGAATAATGGGTCGGGTTGTTGTAGCGTTTGCGAGCATTTGCAGGCTAGCATTAAAATTAGTAGCGAAGTCTTCTAGGTTCTGCATGCTCTCGCTTCTGGCAACAGTTGACTCATAGCCGTAGATCATGATCCGAGCTATCGGTTGATTGTTGGTTTCTAAGGTGAGATCGTGGGGGAGAGAGTCACGCAGCCACATGTGGCTTCCACCCCTCTCCTTAAACGAGCCAAAGGCATGTCCTCCAAGGCCGGATAATGCAATAACACTCCAAAAGTTAGCCAGAACTACATTTACTAATCGATACACTTACTCTATTTTATAATCTTGTGGAGACGGTGTGTAGAGTGCAGTTATACCATGAAAGTCCCTGTCAATTGTCAGGTGTTGTTTGCGGCCAGGCTTTATGTTAGTATTAGACACCGCCGGAATTGGAATGGGCCAACGGCGGCCATGTTGAAGCTGAGAAGGTGTATTTTCAAAAGTAACTGTGGCCATCTGGGATCTGCCGTCATTCTCGGAGGCAAGGGACTCAATCTCCACCACACCTTTAATGCTCTCTTGATCTCGTAGGAAAGTTTGCAATTCTTGAGAGTCCCAATCGACCGGCACACCGCTAACACGAAAGGTGTTTGTTTCTTTTGACGCTATGGTATTTCCTTCTTTAAATTTCACCGTGGGTCGTGCCAATCGTCCCAGAACTAAATAGTAGATCAAAATGGTAAAAATAGTGATTGTAGCTAGAAAGCTAATGTGCACACTTCCAATCAGCTCCATGATTTTAATGGCACTAACTCCGTGCTTTAATCTCAAAGTAGCCAGGTAATCTTAAGTTGATCATGGATTATATCTTCACGTATTGTCGTAATGTCGCGGTTAGATTAGAAGGGCTTCTTGATTTCTCATGTGTGATAATTCATCACGCCAAAGTGATGCGGGGGTGGATAAGAAAGGTGAGGGGATTAAGCAGCTGAGATTGAGCGAGGCAGATGGTCACGTGGTGAGAAGGATCAAGAGCTGGTGACAATAGTCTTTAAATAGCTCTGGAGATTAATTGGTTGATCATATTGCCTGGAAACACTCAAATGAAATTCTCAGCTGTTTTAATGATACAACGCTGTATTCTATCGCCTTCCGTGATTTATAAGGGATCATACCAGGTTTACATGTACACGCACTTGCAAGGCTATATTCCAGCTTACATTACATTCAGCAAACAAAAATGGGAAGCCTGAGGTAGAAGAAATCGCTGTAATATAATGCATAAATATAAGGGTACTTTATCTATTTTGGATACCAAATACGCCTGCCTGGATGACGGATAAGCCATCCTTTACTTTAAAGTGCGTAATTTTTACCCCTGAGCTATTGAGTATAGTCTCTAGTTACGGTCGATCAACCTTATTATTTGCCGCTGGAAGAACCAAAATTGCACGGCATAGACTCTTACATCTCCTGTTTTGGTTAGGTTTGCCTAACAAGAGGATCATCAATATCCAACAACTGGAGAAAACAACTCAAGGAATAAACTAGGCAATTTTCACGATAAACATAAAAGAAATTGAGATATTTAATTGATGTTAGCCATTATTGGTATATGTTCCTTCTCAGAGGGCACGACCTGAAGGAAGGTACATGGCTGTATCTTACGTACCGAACTTAGAAGAAACAAGCATCCTTACTACATCAATTTCATAGTGACGAAAGTGGGACAAAGCCTCAGCTTCATCCTAACAGCGCCTATGCTTTTCTTTTATATCTATACTCTATCTACCGGCGTATAAACTTTCTCCGCCGCGCCACTATACCTTGCGTTCTTCCTTTACTCTCTCTATAAAGCTGCTTCTCTACCTCAGTACAAACCACTATACATCACAATACAACAGTCATTAAGGCGCTGGCTTCACTGGATATTCTCTGCTAAGCTTATAAGTTTAAGCATTTTTTTACTATCTTATTATGCGCGACTACAGAATCTCTATTGCAATAGAGGATAGCTTTAAGGTTGTGGAATAAATAGCTATAGCTATCTAAGAAATCTAGAAGGGACTGATAAATTAAACTAGAGGAGTTGGGAGGTATTCATATTTATGTATTTGTATTAGGACACCACCACCTGTTGTTGCCGGGCAGAATAAAGGAAAGGGCACAGTGTGCCGGGCTATAAATAAATTAGGCTGTATTACGTACCGAACTTGAAAGAAACAAGCATCCTTACTGCATCAATTTCAGACCTGATTGAAAGCTGCGCACGGTATCAGCCACACTGCGAGAAAAACTTTGCATTAAAAAAGCGGACACTCATTTCGGTTTCTACTGTACCATCCGTTCTATCCTCTCCTTCTTCTTCTTCTTCTCTGCGGCCATTTGCGGCGTGATGCCAAAGTTGCCGAGGGCGGCAGTTTGGTTTTTGTGGCACACCCAGTGGCTAAAAAAGCAAAAAAGCAAAAGAATAGAACGAAAATAGCCTGTTTCCGATCCCGCAAATTTCCTCATCACTATCGCCGTCGCTTCTTCACGCGCTTGCATGTCACCAGGTGAATTCACGAGTCAGTGTCTTGCTTTGCCGTAGGAACGCGGGGTTTCGCGTCTTGTCACTCAAGCCGAAGTGCGGGAGAAGTTTGAGGCGATAAAAGCCGTCACTAGGATGCTGAAAGTGGCCGTTGATTGCAGCCCATAGTAACAATAGTTGCATGTAATTTGGAATTTTGTTAATCCTACGGAGTACTAGGTATTCCTACTTATTACTATTACTCTGTAGCTAGATAAATACACAGACTAGCTGGCTGGCTGTGGTCCGAGAACCGGCAAGCGAGGAGAACACATTTCCTGAGGATTAGTGCCCGCTCTAGGTCAATTGATGGAGAGAGGCTTCCAAATAGGAAACTTTTATTGCCTGGTCGTGGGGAAAGCCGGCTGTGCTATAACCAGCGGATCCATTTTGACTCGCGAAATGGACACAAGGCGGTTGACAACTGAGCACAGTCCGATATGCCCGTTTCTTACATCCCTTCTACCGCTTGAGTAGCAATTTGGTCAATTGACAAGAAGAAGGCCATATTGAAGATTGTTTCCCGTTTTTGGCAATTACTTTTACAAAATTGATTACAAAATAATACAAAACCCCTCGGCAGTTGGTGCAGACTTTGAGCCAAACGATAAACGACGGATCACCCGTCAGCGACACCTCGGAGTTGCAAATAGTCGTCTCCAAGCCGTCAGCCCTAAGCAGTCACCAACGCCTGACTCATCAAAACTCATCAGAGCTCCCCCCATCTTTTCCGCACGCCAGAGCAGTTCTAGTTTTTGCCATTCGCCCACTTTCGTCCGTGGATTACGCGGGTGTCCCCTTGGGAGGCTTGAGATAGTTTCCATTCCGGTCAACTTGCCTACCTAGGTAGATGCAGAGAAAATAAGCTAGCGCTAGCGAGTCCGAAGTCTCACGTCAGGTCCCAAGATGCGAGTCCGAGAGGAGGCGATAAGCCCAGAAGCAGCAATAAAGGGGGCCGCCAACAGGGCTGGGCTGTGCGAAATTGGCACAATGAGGTGATCCGTTCCCCTCCCCTCCTCTCCGCAAAGATGGATCTGCACCGGTATCGATACCCGGCGCTGCTGGGGGTCCGACACCTTGATGGCGACCCTGAGGGGGAGGCTCACCAGATAGCCGTGGAGCTCACGCAGTCGATCTGACCACGTTATGCCCATTTCGTTGGATGGCGTGGTTTTGTATCACTTCCCCCATATTTTTAACGTTTCTATTTCTGATATCTGCGGGTGATAAATACCTGGACTGAGCCGCCTCGTCGAGAGGTTGATTCGTGCTCAGTCTTGACGGCTTTCTGCTACTCCGTATTACATGCATGCATGCGTGCATTGACTTGATTCGTCTCCTTGCTCTTCACATTCCATTCCTATATACCATAAGATTTCACCTCTTGACGCGTTTATGAGTTTTACTTTGATACCCATTCCGAGTTGCAACAATCGAATTGGGCCAAAAGAAGGCTCTAAACCACATATACATAAAATATACGCACTTATACACGTGCCTCCATATACGCAACCACACACAACATATATAAACACACACACACTCAAGCAACAAACAACATGGACTCTCTCCCCTTCGAGCTCGTCTCCCAAATCCTCACCCACCTCCCCCCCACAGACTACAAATCCGCCCGCCTCACCTGCCACGCCTTCAACGACGCCCTCGCAAAATCCGCCTTCACCACCCTCGCCACCTTCATCGACCCAACCACCGCCAAATCCACCATCGAGCGCATCGCCTCAGACCTCACCCGCCGCCCCAAGGCAATCTGGTCCCCGGGCTGCTCCGTCCCCAAGGACCTCCCCGTCGCGGAGAGCTTCCTCTTCGCCATGCACAGGGCGCTGCGCGGAACTGCCTGCCCGTCTACTTCGCCCTGCTCGTCGAGGGCGTCGTCCGTGAACGGGGCGTGGAGCGACGGAGAGGATTCAGAGGACAGCGAAGGAGGAGTGGAGGAATTGGCGGCGTGGAATTTCGGACGCACGATCGGCATGGATGACTTGACGGAGGATTTGCTTCGCCAGGCCATGTTTCGGTATGCGCTGTATCTGAGCTACGTTTACACGGGCAAGGGCGAGGCGCCGCAGCTGTGGGTTATGAACTCGAAGAAGTGGGGACAGCATCGATGATGATTTTCTTGCTGTTGCTTTCCTTTTCCCTTTTTCTTTTTGTTCTGGCAGCATATAATCTCTTTTCCACATACTTTTGATATCCAAATTTTGTCTCCAGCTTTAGCCTGACAGCATATCTTAGCTACAGCGTAAAGGGCGTTAATGTCATTTCTATATAATACATCACTCAATTTCTAGACGAAGCAGCAAAAAGCGTTGAAACAATTCTTAAGTGAAAACGGCGTTGTTGTTACACTTGTATAAAACGTCACTCAGTTCAAAGGCAAAACAGCAAAAGTATTGAAACGATTTTTAAGCAAAGATAAGTTTCCATTAAAGGCATGATTTCGCACATGCAAAGGAGGGGTATATGGTACTTCAGTATCTAATAGTATAAAAAAAAAATCAAACTCCCAAAATTATCGTCCCAAGGTATATTCCTCTTCGTTTCCCCCCCGGCTCAGTACTTTTCTTTCTTGCTACCGCGTTATATATACAACATTTCGCAGAGAAAAGAAGAAAGCATGGCAAAAAAAACACGTTGCTGACGTTTCCGAATTCTCCCAGATTAATTGTAATGATCGTTATCCCTTCATGTGTCCCAGACGTTTCATAAAAACATGCTCCAAAGCCCCTCGTCGTTACACCGTTATAAGGTTCGACAAACTTCAGTGCGGAAGCTTTTAATTGTAAAAGCTGTCACTTTTCTCGCTTACACGCTTACAGGAAGTAAGCAGCGACGAGACCCATGACGGCCAGAGCACCAGTCGCGCGGTTGGAGCCAGCGGCGTTGGTAGGGACGACGTGAGGGCCAGTAGTAGTAGGTCCGACGGGAGTGTTGGAGCCGGTGGGAGCAGTCTGGTTGCCGCCAGCAGGAGGAGGGGGAGGAGCGCCAGTGCCGGCGGGAGGAGTGACGGTGGGAGTGATCGGGGGAGGAACAACTCCAGTGACGGAAGTGGCCTCGGTGGTGCAAGGAACGGTCAGGGTGACGGTTCCGTTGACTACAGTGGTGGTGTAGACAATGGTGCTGGGGGCAGAGGTCTGAGGAGCAGTGGCCAGGGTGGTGGGAGAGCCGCTGCCGGAGGACACAACGGCGCTGGGCGTGCACTGAGAGGCAGGCAGAGTGAAGGAAGAAGGCTGAGCATAGACGACACACTATCAGGATGTGTTAGTATCTTGGGATCAAGTATCAAGCATCAAGTATCAGGATTGCCAACGTACGTTCTTCTGGCAAGCGGCGTCACCAACGAGGGGACCGCTCTGCCAGCACTCGGCAACACCGCCCGCAGGAGGGTATCCGGCAACGTTGTCAGAGCAGCGGCCCGCAGTGCCAATGCCGTTGGCGTCGCAGCGGACGATGATACCGCCAGGAAGGCAGTAGTTGGCGTTGGGCTTGGCGCAGGTCACCTTGTTGGTGCCCTCGGGAGGAGCCTGAGCGCTGGCCAGAGCGGCGGCGGCGGCGACGATGACGGCGGAGGTTCTCATTTTGAATGTGATTTTTGTTTGCTTGTTTGTTGTGTATATATAGATATAACGGGTGTGAGGGTGATATTAAGATATTAGGCGGATGTAGGTATTGGTGTAAGTGGCTGTCTGATGAACGAGAGTACAGCTCAAGCTGAGATACTAGCGAGTGTAGTTTCTGATATTACTTGCGGTTGGGCCAGGAACAGGAGACCGAGCAGGTGTGCGGCGGACAGGACATGATGTTATATACCTGGATGTCGAGTCTGGCCATGATACGAGCGTGTGGATGTTGCTTCGTCCCAGCAACCCAAACAAGGCGCATGCAGGGAGGCGACAGCTTTCTTGCCAGGGTTCGGGTGCCAGGGACGTACCGGTACATTCTCCATCGAGCGACAAGGTCTCCCCCTTTAGCTCCGTCGACAGTCCGGTGCGGCATCCCAGAGGTAGCAGTACTCGCCGTGGAACACGCTCGTGTTGCTCTTAGCTTACAGACACAAGGCCGTCTCCGGCACTCCATACAATCAATAGTACGGCCACAATCTCTTGGCATCTCTCCATATGACGGACGACGGGAGCAGCCATGGCAGCGGCAGCACCTCTCTCTTCACAGCGCTTTAGAGTAAAGGCATGCAGGTATACTTTTTGCTGGCATGAGCGGAAACAGGGACCTTGCAAAGCGTTGTGCTGCGCTGTAGCCCAACTCTCGCGGTGCTAGCCAGGGATCCTGTCTGGCGTCGTTCCACCAAAGGCCCCAGCACCCGGGCAAGCTGAGTAGTGGTACCTTGTCCATACCCAACAGGAAGCTGTGAATGGACGTCCAGTCCACCGCGAGCAGGGGCTTGTGCAAGTCCCGCTCAGGTACCGGTACCCAGCCAGCCACCCTCTTGGCCGCTTGTGGCTCGACCTCTGTCAAAGATAAGCAGAGCGCCAATGAGCAATGGGCTCGTACACGCTGTGGCTCCAGCACAGCACCAGCGCCACACGAGAATTGGAACAAGAGCGAAGAAAAAAGATGGCGAGACAGCAGCAATACGAGCTTTGCCGGCCTTCGATTCGCTGGCAGGGAAGGATCAGGTGTGGCTAGTGGGCAGCAGACAGCGCTTTTCCCCGAATTTCTCTGCTGGCTGGTTCTCTCGGCCGGGGCTGGAGTCACAGCAGTCCAAGCCCCTTCTGGAAGGCTGACAGCAGCTCGGGGCTGCCATTGGCGGAAAAGACGTCATAGCGCACAATGCCCCCGGTTAATGCCCCCCTCCACACAGCGCAGCAAGTACTCGTACCTGTTCGAGCCCAGCTTACACTGCAACGTTTCGCCGCGACTACAGTGCGCATTTACCATTTTACCCGCCAAAATTCCCGCGCCAAGCGTAGATCATCGCCTAAAAGGCACAGTGCTGTGGCACCGTGTCCTACGAGAGAGGCAAAATCAAGGAACAAAGAAGAAGGCAATGGGAAGAAGAAGAAGAAAGAAAGAAAGCAAAAAAAAAAAAAAAAAAGAGCTCATTTACAATAAACTACGCAGTAGCCTTGTTGACGAACCGTGACGACATCCCAAGAATGTTTGTTTCCAAAAAAAGACTGTCGCCTTTCCCGCCCATTACGGAGGCCAAGCCACAAGTGTTAGTGGCGACTCAGGCAAACGCAGGTCCCAAAGGTGCCCTCCTCGTATTGTGTCGATAGCGTGCTGTGCTCAACGAGGGAGCCAGCTTCGAGGCCTCATACAAAACGAGAAAAGAACACAGAAGAAAATTTTTTGCTCAGTCACATGGTCTTGGTTACTGTGATCGAATAATGCTTGTCAAGTCAGATCCCAGATACAGGCAGAACAGAGCAGGCATTATGCGAATGGAAAGACGTCAAATGTACACTTACATGTCACACGTTGATTGCTCCATGGGGTGAAGAAATTCCACAGGGCCTTGGCCCCGGGCGAAAAAAAAAAAAAAAAAAAAAAAAAATTGGCAAAATCGTCATGACAGCGTTCTTGTACGGGAGTAGTGAGATCACGGTTTAACCGCCTTCCCAACTCTGCAAAGGCTTCACTGTGAGCTCATCTTTCTGAGGCGGCCAGCGTATGGCTTTGATGGGGGGCGGCCGCATGGATCCCGCTTATTTTCTCCGACATGGCGCCGTCTGGTTTATTAACTTGCATTGCAATGCTTCCTACGAATTGCTAGCAGTGCGAGCTTTCATGCAAAGGACTTACTGTATGTAGGTATACTATGAGTGCAGTAGAAGTTTTGTTTCGTCTCTTCTCCTCTTTGGCTGTAGAAGCGTGATGCGCGGAATCTCTCTCCTTGGGGACGGGCCGCCAAGAGGCGGTGATGCGGTGTGATATCACAAAAGTCAGGGTCCACTCCATTTACGGCAAGTCAAGACAAAGCGTTCGACTCTGCTCGAGACATTAATTACACGGGATCAGAGATTAGGCAAGACATTTCAAAATGAAAGGGCACGTTAACTTGCACAGAGAGAAACATTGCCAGTCGCTTAAAAAAGATACGATGATCACAGCTCGAATAGTCAGGTGAAGGCTTTTGACACGCAAAGGGAGCAGTCCCTCGTATTCCAAAAATAATAGGGGCGCGATTGGTTGGGCTAGGCAGGCATTTAGATTGAGCTTTGGGCGTTGGCCTTTGGGCTAGAACTCGCGGCCTGCACCGACGCTATTGGGAGCAGTACCAGCGAAAAAGGCGGGGAGTAGATGGCTGCTGGGATGTAGTGGTACATTGGGACTACAGAACCGCAGTGCTGTATTATACTGGTGCCTGAGTACTCCGACATGGTAGCATCAGAGGAGAAAAGAAAAAGAGGCTTGACAAGTCAAAATGCTACATCGTACAATTCTCACGGGATGTAATGCACACTTCATGCGATGCTACTCTATGTAGTTTTTTTTATAGATTTTCGTCTTATACGCGACTGCCGAGAGGGCTCGCGCCAAAAAAGGCAAAGCCGCAGATCCGAAAAATCCTTCTGAGCAATGCGCGGAGAAGGTCGGTCGTCTGCATAATGGGACGACAGGACGAGGAGACATCACCAGACAAATCATCCCAGATCACACACATCTGGCTTGAATCATGTACAGCGCATTAATGGCGCCATGGCAGAGTCGGGCAGAGTCTACTGTACAAAGTGGTACCTTGAATGCGCTACAGCTGCTGGTATTAGGAGTAAAGAGTCCATATAGTACGGGGTGACCATGCACGCCGATATCCTATTTCGACCGCAAAGCAGCAGCTCGGGATATCGCCGCCGCCGCAGGCTGCATGTACGGTACTGTGCTCTGCTGCTACTCCTTACTATTACTACTACTGTTGTACTATACTAGTATTGCAACTTGGCCTTTGCTCTCCTACACCATATTAGTGTCTTTTTCTCTAATCCTCTTTCCTAAGTCAGGTTGAGTAGTGGTGTTAGCTGCAATGCTCAAAAAAGGGGGCATGAGCAATACCCTGTATGCATGTCTTACGCCCCTTGTCAAGGAGAGATTTCTCCGCAACAATCTCTATCGATCTACTTCACCACGATCTACGTGGTGATGGAAAAGACAAAACAAATAAACAAATAATGCTCGTAATACTATCACGTTGTCTCCTGGGGCTTTGTCAGATATCCTTTTTTTTTTTTCGTTGTAAACTTAAGCCATTATGTATTCATCATTTTCATTTTGTGCGTGTAGAAGCGACTTCTTCGCTGCTTACGGCACCCGCCCAACTCCCCACCAGCGATTCCATTCTCTCTTTAAAAGGCCAACCGTTCATGCTTCCATGGCCTCTTGCCCTCACCCTCGCCATACTGCGCCGTCGGCTGATAATCTCCCCTTATCTTGTACTTGTAAATGGTCAGCCCGTCCAGGCCCACCGGTCCCCGAGAGTGGATCTTATTGGTGCTGATACCGACTTCGGTTCCGAAGCCGTAGCGCATGCCGTCCGCCAGACGAGTTGAGGCGTTCCAGTACACGCCAGCTGAGTCTACCTGGTTCATAAAGTGTTCGGCCTCGGCTCCGTCCGAGGTGAAGATAGAGTCTGTGTGGTGAGAGCCGTGGGTGTTGATGTGGAGGATGGCTTCTTCGACGGAAGATACTGTCTTGACGGCCAGTGTCAGGGAAAGATGTTCGGTATCATAGTCTTCGGGAGTGGCATCCAGGACAGTGCCGTCAGGAAGCGTAGTGGATGAGAGAGCGGCTTTGCTGGCGGCATCAAGGCGGAGAGTCACGCCCTTGAGAGCCAATGCAGCGGCGACACCAGGGAAGATTGTGCTGAGGGCCTTGTCCTGGACAAGCAGAGTCTCTACGCTGTTGCACGCAGCGGGGTAGCTGGTCTTGGAGTCGACGATGGCGACGGCGGCCTTGTCCTTGTCTGCCGAAGCAGTAAGGTAGATGCTGCAGAGGCCGTCTGCATGCCCCAAGACGGGGATCTTGGTGTTTTCCTTGATATACCGGACGAGCTCGTTTGAACCACGGGGGATCACAAGATCAATGCTGCGGTCCTGGCTTAGAAGCTGGAGAATGACATCGCGAGTGGTGACCAGCTGGATGGCCGAGTTGGGGACCTGAGTTGTAGAGAGAGCAGAGGAGATGACTTGTGAGATGGCGATGAAGGATTCTGTAGATTCCTTGCCTCCTATAGGAACGTTTGAGTATTTTAGGTTTGTCAGGAGAGGTGAGATGAAAGGCTTACCCTTGAGAATGGCAGCATTGCCCGACTTGATCGCCAAACTGGCAATGTTGGCAATGACCTCGGGGCGCGCCTCGAATATGATAAGGAGGACGCCAATGGGACATGAAACTCGCTCCAGGTTGAGGTTGTCGTCAAGCTTGGTTCGCAGTGAGACCTTGCCCACTAGTGGCGATGATGACTGTATTAGCAAGCTTTCTGATTTCCAAGCTCTTCACAACCGTGTTGGAAATTTTGCGTGAGATAACGTGGTTCCATCAAATGGCCAAATGAAAGGCAAATGAAAAAGAAAACAGCAGACATCAAGTATTGAGAGATGAAAGCAACAAAAGTAGGCCACATACCAGGATCTTCCAAGTCCCTCACGTCCAAGATGCCCTGCAGCATATCCTCCCACTTGCCCTTCTTCCCCAGATCCAGCCTCGAAACGAGCGCCTGCGACAGTTTCCCATCTGCCGCCGCCTTTCTCGCAAGCTCCAGGTCGCGCGCATTCGCCGCCAGGATCTCGTCCTTGGACGCTGTGAGAGCCGCGTGGATGGCCTCGAGGGCCTCGTTGCGAGCCGATGCCGGGAGCGAGGCCAGGGTGAAGGAGGCCGTCTTGGCGGCGGCGGCGGCGACCTCTGGAGAGTCGTTTGTGAGAGACATGATTCCCTTGCGTGTAGATGTGTCTCTTTCTATGGTTTTTATGGGGGAATATGCCGTTGAGAGAGCAATTCGTGAGCGGCGAGGTGAGATGAGATGAGGTTTGCATATGACATGAGTAAGTAGATCTGATTTTGTCAGGCTCCGATGCGGGGCCCACGTATTGCCTAATACGGTAATCGCTGTGGCGACCTGTCACCGGAAGCGGCGCGCATTGCTTCAAGGTCACCATTTCGTTGTTACGCATGACAATAGTCGATTGTATATTGTATGACTGTAAAACGAACAGATATTGTATCAGTGACTGGATGATATCTGTAATTTTTTAAGAGTCTATTCGTATACTCTGGCGCAATACTAAGTGGTGATCAGATTGACATTGGGTGCGCTATCTATATAGAACCATTACGGGCTAGCGAGAAAAAGAGAAGCCTTTTCTAAAGTTAGAAAGAAAGGGAGGGAATGGTTTCTGGGCTGAAGCACTCTACGTTCAGATACTAGCTACGTTGTCCATAAGCTGTCATGGCGAAGCAGTTGCAAATGTAACCTGACCAAGGGCTTATTTGTTGAAAACTACGGTAAGAGGAATGTAAAAGGGAGACAAAATCTGACGGGAAAAGAAAAGAAAAGAAAAGAAAAGAAAAGAAAAGAAAAAATGAGTATCTCAATTAATGAGACTTGGGCTTCAATGGTGTCATTCGCACCTCTAGCATCCGATGTGGACCGCTTCAAAATCTGAATAAGTAGCTACAGCATCCACTCATATTCTCTTGGGCTCTAGGAATAATTTGCTCATTTTGTTATTCTCTTCCATTCAGCGACATGGAACCATGGTCTTCTCACCAAATTGAGAGCCATAGCAAACATCTACTGGAAAGCTCCAAGCATACTTAGTAGATGCCAGCCGGGGGCATTGATACCCAATGTATGTGACTGTTCGTCGTTAGTAGTTTGAAGTATTAGGATACAGAACGTAAAGGAATACAGATTCATAGTTGGTATTTACACGAATCCATTTGCCATACTGTCATGCAACCCACCCTTCGTCACGGGATGATCTTGAAATGAATATCTTTTGGCGTATTTAAATATGCATTGCTCTATACACCTTTATACAAAGACTCTATAAATAGGATGCTTCTTAAAATTGATCAATTATACATTGACTGGGGTTAATGCACATTTTTGAACAAGGCTTTTTGTAGGCGCTCCAAGAAGCGTCCATAAAGAGACAGAAAAGAGAAGAAGACAAATAAAACAACTTGAAACTCTTATATCTATATATCCATACGCGCCTCTCATGGTAGCCAGACGTTGAGTTGTCGGCGCGTCGCAGATTGTGGAAGGTTTCGAAGCGAATGGCTTTACGCTCATAAGTAGACGGAGTGAATAATTATTTGGATTTAATGTAGAAACAGGTACAACAATAAAGCAAAAAGAATAAAAGTAAGTGTAGAGGATTCTACTCCTATGTAGGCAATCGCATATGTATATAAAGCAATGTTATCTCACACCACGAATGGAATCATACATGCTGAGGCAGCTGATCGTAGATCAATGGTCTATCACTTAGATTTTGAAGAGAGTCCCATCGCATAAGAGCACATGAGTCAAAGCCGCACCTGCATATGACGTCTCGCAATGTCACCTCGGGCTCCGACGAGGTTCAGCGATAGCACCTTGATGGGCTGTCAGCGTACATGGACTGGCAAAACTTGCGCAAGCTATGTCCTCACAAGACAAGGCACTGTCTTAAGGATTCGGAACGTCGGCTATGAAATCCTCAGACGTTGAATCGATAAGTTAGGCAGCAACTAATCTTGTTAGGCTATTTGAGATGGTGTTGGAGTAGGTAACAAAAAGTTAAGAGATATGGCGCTATTCTGATTACTGATTCAAATGTTAGAAACAAAGAAACAAAACGTAACGATACAGGCTGTTTGTAGTTGCTACACGAGAAACGGCGATGTCGCTCAAGTTGTTACATCATTTTCATCAAGTAATAGCCTATATGACCTGTCTGCGTTAATAGCGCCGTTCAAAACACACTGATCACTGATCCGCTAGCTTACAGTAACATCTAAATGACTAAATCCGAGAATACGAGCATGTTATGATGAAGCGTTCAAACGCCCGATCCAGCGCCGTCCATTTCCCTCCCATTGGCCCATTTACCCACTCACAATCAATAACCTCAATATACCAAAACCACTAAATTTCCCAATATGCCCCAATTCTCAGCCATACTTACCCCGACTTCGGGAACCTACCCCAATGACTAACGCCGCCATTATTCTCGATCTAGTGGTGTATCCCGTCAGCCTCTCCCATGCCTGCGGCGCCCCACTTCCTACAGGGCGCCCTCTTTTTACAGTATCTTCTCAAATTCTGCGCGATACTCTGTCCGGCTAATTCCCACCGGCAAGGCTTAGACCGTGCCCCTGCGTGGCTGTTTGCGATGGAATGAAGGTGTGGATATCTTTCGAGGGGAAATGTAGTCTTTGTGCGGTTGCAGAATTTAACGGAGAAAAAAAAAAAAAAAAAGAACAGTGATTGTAAAGTAAATGGAATCCATGTTATTTCAAGTATTTGTTCAAATAATGAAACAAAAAAAAAATGTATAAAAGTATGACAAATGGAGTTGTAATAAATAACAAAATCCACCAGGTCTCTTCGCTCCCTCCCGGTGCCGAGTCGCGGACCTCGGCCGTCGAATCTGAGCCGGTGCGCGTATCCGGCTTGGGCCCACTTTCTACGGAGAAAGGCAAAATTTCCTACATCAAGAAGTGGGAATCGACATGGTAGTGGGTGGGATCGAGGGGAGGATTTTTTTTTTTTTTTTTTTACCTTGTTTAAGTTAAAAAGGCGGCACGGTGTATTGGCCTCCAAGTACTAACCCCCTGTGTTATTTATTCTCCTTGACATCCCGCCTTTTCCTTCCTTTTCCCCTTCTTTGGGTGTGTTTTTTTACGATGCGTGGCAACGAGGCTACTTGAGCGGGTTTTCTGTTTCTTTGCTTCTTCTCGTGATACATATTAATAATTTATTTCTATGATTCTATGATGCTCCAAGGAAGAAAACGACTGCTCGTCTAAAGCGTATCTGCTGTGCCCACTGTCCCATATCGCCGGCTGTACTAAGAACTCATTTCACATAAGCCGTCACCTCATGCCACATCTCAATTACACCACAACTTATATCTCTTATAATATTTACCATCTCTCATTACGCAATGTCTTCAACTCCTGATCCAGAAAAGGCCAAAGGCTCACCAACTTCCCCCGCTCTGTCTATCCACTCCTCCAACGACACCATCACCACCGCACATTCAGAAGAGCACGACTACAACAACGAAAAGAAGACTGCGCGGGATCATATCACTGAAAATGAGCCGGAACTTCACCATGACTCTCTCGTACCAACAGTTAGCCTTGCAACAGCAGCGCAACCCCCAGCAACTGAACAGGAAGCTGCCCGATCACGATCCCGTGCTTCAACCACCCGGTCAAAGACTCTCAACATCATCCCTCGCTCTCAGCGACGGGGACTATTAAGTCGCTTCGCGGTTGTCCCTGAAGTTGAGAGTCCATATGATTATAAAAACTCGACTAAATGGGGCATCACTTTGACTATCGCTCTTGCCACCGCCGCAGCTCCCCTGGGCTCTTCCATCTTTTACCGTACGCACAACACTCATCTCATCTTATATCATAGCCAAGCAAAAACCTGCTAACACATCAAATCAGCTGCTCTTCCTGAAATGACTAGAAAGCTCAACACCACCGAAGACATTGCCAACCTCTCTGTCGCCCTCTACATGATCTCCATGTCCATCTTCCCTCTCTGGTGGTCCTCCTTCTCTGAGCAATTCGGCCGCCGCTCCATCTACATCATCTCCTTCGCCCTCTTCCTCATCTTCGCCATTGTCTCCGCCGTATCCACCAGCATCGCTATGCTAATCGTCTTCCGTATCTTTACCGGCGGTGCTTCCGCCTCCGTGCAGGCCGTCGGCGCAGGCACCATTGCCGATATCTGGGAGTCGCATGAGCGAGGTCGCGCCATGGGCATCTTTTACCTGGGACCGCTACTCGCGCCTCTGATTGCGCCGATTGTGGGAGGAGCTTTGGCCCAAGGGTTTGGCTGGAAGGCCACGATGTGGTTTCTCGCCATCTACGGACTGGTCATCTTAGCTATGCTAATCTTTCTCCTGCCCGAGACGTTGGCACGCAAGAAACAGGAAGAGGCCATCGCCGACGCTGAACCAACCGCTGGATCCATCCGCCGCATGACGACCAGAGAATCTGCCAAGGTCCACACCAAGAAACTTGCCGCAAGCGCCAAGCGCATCTTCATCGACCCCCTCAGCGTGCTGCTCTTCCTCCGCTTCCCCCCCGTCTTCATCACCGTCTTCACCGCCGCCATCGCCTTTGGGGCGCTCTTCATCTCCAACATTTCCATCCAGCAAAAGTTTTCTCAGCCTCCTTACAACTACAGCCAGATCATCGTCGGTCTGCTCTACCTCCCCGCCGGTCTGGGCTATTTTGTAGCTTCCATCTTCGGCGGCAGATGGATCGACAGAATCATGACCAAGCAGGCCATCAAGGCAAATCGCTATGATGAAAATGGAAAACTCATTTACTTGCCAGAGGACCGCTTCCGAGAGAACATGTGGCTGGCCAACACCGTGTATCCTCTCGGGTTGCTGATGTACGGATGGACACTCAATTATGGAGTCATCTTCATCGTCCCTGCTATCGGAAGCTTCTTTTTTGGAGCTGCGTCTATGCTTGTTTTTNTAAGACCCCCCCCCCCTTTTTTTTTTTTTTCAATACCCATCTCACCTCTCGTTCATAACTAATCTTGTGACAGTCTGCTGCCACCACGATGCTCACCGAATTCGTCCGCAAGAAGAGTTCCGCCGGCGTTGCCGTCAACAATTTTGTCCGCAACATCCTTAGCTGCGTCGGCGTCATCGTCGCAGCTCCATGGATTAATGCCATTGGCGTGGGTTGGGTGTTTACTGCTGTGTCTTTGTTTTGTATGGTTGCTGGTTATATTGGTATTTGGACACTGAGAAGGAATGCCGCTCGGTGGAGGAAAGACATGGACGAGGCGATGAAGGATATGTAGTGATTTGATGATACCCTAACATGTTGCTGTGGTTTCTTTAATAGATGTTTATATATTTCTTCCTCTTCATATAGGTCATAGCGTGTTTGCATTCACAGTCTCGCAACGTATGATACTCTAGACGTGAAACTATGTCTCCTGTGATCTATCCTTCTCTTTCACTGCTCATTTTTCTCCCGCCAGCAGCTTGCCCAGCGCATCAACAGCGACATTTCCGCCACTGAACACAATGCCCAAGTCCCACCCCTCTTCGCCAGCCTCCTTCTCCACAAGGCTTCTAAAGTCTTCATCAAACAGCGCAACTGCCAGCGGAACGCACGCACTCGGCTCAACCACCATCTTCATCCGCTCATATACAAGCTTCATCGTCTTCAGAATCTCCTCATCCGTCACGCTGAAGATGCCGCTCACTAGACGCCGCTCGTAGATGACGCTCCAGGGATGTACACCCACGGGGGTCCTCAGTCCATCAGCCACCGTGAGAGACGACACGGTTGGGATGCGTTCGCCAGACTCGTATCCCCGCTTCGCATCGTCGGCTCCCTGGTATGACGGCTCGGCGCCAAAGACCTTGATACCAGTGCCCTCGCAGCTCAGCGCCACGCCGGAGAGCATGCCGCCGCCGCCACAGGGAGTAATGATGGCGTCGAGCCCTTCTTTATTTCCCTTGGTCTTGTTCGTCGCAGCCGCGTACACGCCCCTCAGGGCCTGTCCGGCTGGGTTGACCTTGGACGCGAAGCTGCTCTCCACTTGATCTTGGAGCTCAAGACCGAGAGTTCCCTGGCCAAGCATGATATCGGGGTGATCATAAGGAGGGACCAATCGCGCACCGGTTTCGGCAATAACCTTTTCGGTGACGGCCTCGCGCTCGACGCTTGTGCTGCCACTGAAGACAACGTTGGCGCCGTATCCCTTTGTGGCATTGATTTTGGCAGGGATGGAGATTTCAGGCATGACGATGTGAGCCTTGATGCCGTTTACTCTAGCTGCAAGAGCCAGGGCCTGAGCATGGTTGCCTGCAGTTTCACATCAGCAGCCATTCTGAGTCATCATATAAGAGACCGAACGTATATATGATGCGATGGTGAACGAAATACAGCAGCGCCTCGATCCGAAAACCTCTCATTGTCCCCTTCTCATGTGCAGTATAAATAAAGGCAAGTAAAGCAGCGTCTCATCTTACCAGAGCTATGCGTCACAACGCCCTTTTCCTTTCCTCCGCCCTCCAGCCATCCAGGCTCCTCCAACAGCTTGTGCAGCGCATAAAACGCCCCGCGCACCTTGAAGGCGCCGATGCGTTGCAAGTTCTCGCACTTGAACCACAGTCTCAGCACGGGCTTTGCGGGCGTCTTGCCGGCAAATCTCGTGTCCTTGAGGTCGTCGACGGTCCTTGGCGTTGAAGCCAGCTCGGACAGCGTCTGATTGGTCACGACGGGCGTGCGATGGACGTGCTCCTTGACAACCTTGTGCGCCCAACAGACTGAGTCGCGTGTCAAGGGGAGAGTTGTCGATAGTGCGGCCATTTTGCTGCTTGTTCTGCTCTTTCACAACCAGACAAGAAGAGAAACTCGCTCTCTTAAAAAAGGATGCTTTCAACAAGCTGCTGCCTTGACAAGCTGCTGCCTTGACAAGCTGATTATCTCATCATCGCTTCTCCTCATTGGCGTCAAAAACGCTCCCGCCCTTCCAGTGATCAAAAGGCGTGGAGAAAATCCCGCCCACTAAAATTAGTGGACAGAGTCTAGGGTAAGAGCAACCGCGCGACAATTCTAGAAGCCTCTCCCCAGATTCTGCTTCTATGATTCTAATTCTTCTCAGCAGAGATCAATGGTTTTCGATCTCATGATAAGATGATCGCTGGCGACTAGCGAGAAATCTTGAGTCTTGGTCTCGCTTAGTTTCCTATTCTGATGCCCGCTTCAGTGTCGGAATTCTGCACCAATGGCATGTTGGCTTTCACACAGTCACAGCTACGAGGATGCCTGTCAGATACTGGCGTCGAGGTGAGAAACAGGACCCTATCCTAGGGGAACTTGTATATTGTTTCAATCTCCTATTTTTCCTACCCGTAACAGCTTATGCGTGTATACCGGAGTTAACACAAGTCTTCCATCGTAGGATACGATGCAAGAGACCGGAAACAATGCAGGGCCAATGAAATTGGGCGAGACCTCTACCGGTTTCTACAATTCAACTTGACCTTCAGCCCTGGCCATAGCTCAGTTGACGTATTCAGTTCTTTGTGACTTCTCTCAAGCATGTCTTGATCATTGAGAAGTGCGCAATTCTGTGAGCGCCCGTGGCTGTGTCCAACTAAGGTGCTGGATAAGCCCTGCCATGATAGCACTTCCTGAGCCAACGATTCCTGCGCACAGGTTTCGCCGTTACTGCGCTCTTCCAAGGCAGATTCTAGGTCGCTTGAGACGCGGTGAAGGTGTGATCTACAGCGTGAATGGGCCTCAAAAGGCGGCCGCAGACACGAAGTCACCTGGAACTGAGTAGGTGTGGCTCACCCCGCGAGCCAAATAGCGGTATTGATTGTAATCGCCTGGTGCCGGTGCCTTGTGGTCAATATACAGGTGTACTGGCAGCTGGGCATGTCAGCTTCGTTAGAAGGCTAGAATCAACCAAGCAGCCCTGGATTTAACAGCCGCATATAAACTGCAGCTTGAGAAATTAAGTCCGACTTGACCGCAGTTTGACCAAGTTTCGACTTGACTGCGGCTTGGCAATACTACGGCCTAGTCGTGGTTCGGCAAAAAGTCGCGGTTCGACAATATACGCCTACTATTCGGTGCCAAGAAGCCATCCCTTGTTTTCTTTTCTTTTTTTAAGATTACGGAACATGGGAGCGGCCGTATATGAGCCGATAACTCGGCACCTCTCGGACCAAGGATTCGAGACGGGCTCTACTCTATGTTTCTTTGCATTATCGCTCGTCTCATTCAGCGTATCATTTACGGTAGAACTGATGCCATCCAGGGGGACGTGGTGGCAGCCAAGCACCTAGCCTGTTGCCGACGCCCAACACTCAGTACCGCCAGCTTGGAGCCGACGTGGAGCAAGGCCATGGGTGTGGTGGCATGGGTGGCAGCACTCTTGACAGCCTCGACATAGCCATGCTATCCTTTTTTTTTTGGGTCCTTGATCAGTTCGTCGAATCAACGACCCAGAAGCTGTTGTTGGTTGCTAGCGCTGCGTTTGCTGTGCAAGGGAGTCGGCTGTCTCAGCGTCGGGTCGGTCTCTCGTCGCTTTTTGACTGAGAGAATATGCCTAGGGACAAAAAGGAAACCGGGAAAACGGGCAAGCAAAAGAGTCTTGGCGAAAAGACGAAGACCGACCACCGGTGACCTGCCTGGGCAGTGCTTCCTAGCTGCATGGAGATAGTACTTGCTATGCATGCCGCGAATAATATGACTTGATGATGGGTACTCTCCGGTTTGCGGCATAGGCCTGATCATCGCACCGGGCTGCCATCCAGGTCCGCGGGAATGATCTTCTGGAATTCATCCTGTCTTCTTGGCCAAGTTTGAGATCAGATCCTGCGGCCGAAGTTAAGAGGCGCATCTTGCGTATATGCAAATCATGACAGACGCCTAGGGCCGTGTTATAAGCGGCTCAATTTAATCTTTTTGACCGGAATTATCGGGCCTTGCTTTGTCTCCCATTCAGTGCCATATTAGCGCCAGGGATCGACTTCTTTGGGCCGTGAAGCGGAAGAAAAGGCAACCATTTTCACTCACTGGTTCCTATGACCGCCGCAGAACCCCCCGCCTCTTGTCCCAATTTCTCTACCTGTCGCCTGTCAGGTGGCTCTTCGGATGAGTCTATGAGACGCTAACGAGTGTTGCAGCGGCATGATTGAGACGGTGGTCTTTCCTGCAGGTCAGAGGTGTATCCATTCAATTTGCCTTGCATTCAATCTTAGCAATGGCAATTGGTCGCAATGCAGCAGATGCCGCGAAATACGGTGTACATCAAGCTCAACTAGACCGATGCAACATGCATTCAATCTAAAAAGGGGAATTCGTCGTAGCGCAGCGAACGGTCTTCAGTATGCAGCCCTCCTATGGAGAAGATTACTCGCTCCGTCTTATGAACCAATAGGATGTGGGATAGCGACGCCGGCGAGCCGATATGGAGTATGATGTTTTGCATCTTTTACATACTGATACAGAGCCTTTGCACCCAGGACAAGTGTCCTATTTGGCATGGTATTAGAGTATACTTCGCATTGACATTTGAATACTGACCAGATTAGATGTACGATCCCCTTGGCGGTATTCCCCTGGTCTTCGGGTCGATTGGCATTGCGGAGCTGCTGCCGGTAGCGTCGCATCCACATCCCGCTTCCCCGAATTCCACTCTTAATAGTCTTTCCAGCCGCGTTCTACCTTCCTGTGAGCCTAAGCTACCTACTTGTACGCCGTTTGTCGAGAGAGCCTGAGCAGAAGTAGAAAAGGGTAGGATATGACGGCGAAAACAATCTAGCACCTTTCAAGCTGGATAGCATCGCCGCAACAGCACTACGGCATCATTGCGTTCTTCACGCTCGCTGAGCCCCCTGCGGCGCTCTGATGAGCAGCTATGAGCTAGACGGGGGATAGACTGTATTGACACCTCCATGTTCATACATATTAATCCACAATCCTACGGCCCATCTAAGCAAACAGGGGGCGTAGCTGACAAGGAAATATGTCGAAGGCGTCTGGTCCCAAGTTTCTGGGTCTATGGTTCGCGGACCAGCCACATGATCTGCGTGTTCATCATGCTAGACCTTTTTTTGGTCCCTCTCACGTTCTTGTCACGCCCGGCCCAATGATTTAAAAAGGGGATTGGGTTTCCTACGGGGCCTCTTTTGAGGGGCATCCCTCTCGTTGTGGTGTCTCAAAACTGCCACTCATTTATCTCCAACGCTCTGTCTACGGCTTGTTTACCATGGATGGTCAAATGTCGCCAGACGGTCGGCTCAGTCGCGACAGCAGTATTAGTTTGGAGGATCATAACGGACCAGCTCCAAGGCGCGTTTGCATCTCTGATCCCTCCTTTGCTTATCATACGTCTTCTGACTAAGATCTCACAAGCAGGCTAAGCAGATCCGATCTTTACACCGCGCACCAGATACAAAGAGAGGCGAACAATCAAGCGAGTCTGGATTCTCTTTTTATGATTCCACTAGATTTTCCTGCAACGTACAATGCAGAAGAAATGCCTACAGGCGTAGAGCCTTCGGATCCTGTTGATGAACCATCGCTTTCATCCCGACGTCTTGGACATTATTTGTCAGAAGAACAGAGTCATGAGAGCATCCTTCTGGGGGTGCAACCTCTGGGGGTAAACAAGGCTACTGTTCAGAATTATCTGCCCGAAATTATACAAAGTGTGGATAGCAATGAGTCTCAGGCAGAGGCTACTGTTGGCACGATAGAGCCCGACGAAGGAGTGTGCTGGGGGTCCTTCACCACATTGACGTCCACAACTTCTGACGGGTCGCCAGGACCTATTAGAGTATGTAATAACGATGGCGATGTCGATTATCTAGACGAGGCAACCAACTCAGGACCACTCCTCCCAACTACCTCTTCAGACCAATACATTGCTCCAGGCTCGGCGGAGCTAGGCAAGGCAGATGTGGCTCCGATAAAGTCGGAGCATGTCTTGGACCCTGAGTTGGAAGCTATTGTGAGGTATGTGCATAGCAGGCTGGCCATTCGACATACGTTTGTCACTGAACTGACACACAAGGGGTAGAGGCCGTCATATCAAAATGAGCAGTCACAAAGGCAACAGGCATGAACGATGCCGTGTAGGGAAACATGTAGGGAAACAAGCACGCGTGTTAAAGATTGTCCGCCAACGAAGGAGGTCAAAGGAACCGGAAAAAGAGATGGCGAAATGATCTGTGTACGAGTTTCTGGGTGGCAGATTTCTTCCAACGAGTTGTCGGCTTAGTGGACTTTATATATAGGCATGCAGGGCGTTATCACACATTAGAGGCTACACGGGTAGCAATTTTCCTAAAACTGGGTTGTATTATATATTAACTAACTACTTCAACTTGGATACGATAATGCAATTGTAATTTCTTCTGCGTCTCCAAGTTGCTAGAAAAACAAAATATGGTTGTTCAAGCTATAAAGGTATCCCATTCGACTAACACTAAACAAGGAAATAAACACACAGACAAATCGTGGTATGCCGCAACATTATGCCTCAGCCAGATCTTTAACTCTCTGAATCTCATGTCCATCCGCACTCACAAACTTGATCCCCTTCTTCTCTACTTCCCTTTTGCCTTCTGCCTCCCAGGCCTCTTTCATCACAGCCCTCGTCCCTTCCTCAACGATATACGTCCTGTAACCCTCTTCCACGGCCGACTCCGCCGTGGCCTTGACGCAGAAATCGGCCGCCAGCCCAACGACAAAGACGTCCGTCACCTGCGCCTTCTTCAGCGCCTCGCCCAGCGAACTGACGCTCACGCGGAAAGGATCCCAAAAAGCAGAGTACATCTCCACGTCTGGGTTCATGCCCTTGTCGACAACGACATTGACCTTGGAAACGTCCAGCTCGGGCACGAGTTCTGCCCCGGGGGTGCCCTGGACGCAGTGCGTGGGCCACAGTAAGGTGGTGTCGCTCCTTGACGGGTCCGTGGGGTGGATGATTGTGTGGCGGGATTGGAAGGCCACGGCGCCGGGGTGGTTCTCGGCGAAGGAGACGTGGTTGGGGGGGTGGTTGTCGCGGGTGGCGATTTTGATGGTGAAGGGGAGGGATAGGAGGGAGTTGATTGTGGGTGCGATGGCGCGGCCTTGGGGGACGGCGAGGGAGCCGTTCTGGGGGATTGATGTTAGTATTTGGCTGGTTAAAGAAAGAGAGAGGGTATGAAATTGAGGAAGAGGAGAGGATTGAAGTGGAAGAGGGAGTTGGATTGAGTGAGTGAATGAGATGAGATGAGATGAGTATGTTGTTGCTGGAGAGTGAATGAGGCGAATTGTCTAAAAACACGCAAAAGAGAATATTCCTTACTGGGGGACAGAAATCCTCTTGGAAATCAACTACGATGATGGCAGGCTTAAACTCTGAATTGGCTGCCATTGTGAGTGATTTTACGAATTAGCTCTTTGATCGAATGTTGTGAATGTGAATGTTGAATGAGTGATTGGTTGCGAGCTTGAGAGAATCCGTTTGGGAAATCTAAAGTCTCCCCACTTTTGCGGCAGCGGGCGGGCGTGGCTTATCGCGCTAATATCTCGATAAGGGCGATGAGATATTGCTAGGGACAGATGTGGAGTGTAGAATGCATGGGATAAATGTTTTGCTTGCATGATTTATAAAGTAGCTGGTACTATGCTTCTCAAATGTTTAAGTTTGCTATTTGTTTGAAGAATTTTGACGCGCGGGGATTCAGAGCCTTTGGTAGGTGTATCTAAGAATTAATATGGGAACAGTTCGTACTACATAGATCTCGGACGCATCTTATATATGAGAGCAGGATTCTTGGTCTTTGCTTGCATGTACGAACTAACAGTAAAATACAGGCAGACACTCATGAGAATGGCTGTGATAGCGATTGTTTGCATTAATTAAAATATATAGACTAAAAGATAGAATACAGAGTGATATTAAACAGCCAGCTACCCATGGATATCGAAGCAATGCTATGCTATTCGCCGCGTTTGCAACTATATACTTGTATATATCGTCTATCGAGCAATGCCATCTGCACTGCCCTAATCTCATAACATCCAAAAAAAATAAAACTCCGTGAATTACCAACACCCCGCCTGCGCAACCGTTTTTGTTACTGCGCTTTAGTGTTTTCTTTTTCTTCTTTGACATTACCAACATTAAACCAATCATCATTAATTTACCTACGGATCGCTGATCCGTTGGTGATAGACAAGGAGGCTGACGAAGGAGCCGGGGTCATAGCTCGTGAAGGGGCAGCCGAAGGCACGGTGCTTCGGTTGTGCGCCATGTGAGCCTTGACCAAGTGGCCAGCAGCAAGGGCACTGCAAAGAGACAGTTCACCTGCCAAGACAGCCGCGGCAATAATTCGGGCAAGTCGTCGGGCATTGTCACCAGGGTTGGTGGGATGAGAGCCCCTGACGCCGAGAAGTTCCAGCATAGAGCCCTGAGGATCCAGGATGGTTCCGCCACCGAGAGTGCCGACTTCCAAAGAAGGCATAGAGACGGAGATTTGGAGAGAGCCACGAAGACTGTGAAATGGTTAGCATGCTAGTTAAAGAGAGAAAATGAAATATTGTCAAATATAGACACACGTACTTCTTCATAATGGTGATACAGTTGGCACTCTCCACAACCTGAGCGGGATCCTGACCAGTGGCGAGGAACATGGCAGCGACGATGTTGGCGGCGTGGGCGTTGAATCCACCCATTGAACCGGCCATGGCAGATCCAATCATGTTCTTGGCGTTGTTCAGCTCAACCAGAGAATCGACATCCGTCTTCAGAACGCTCTTGACGACATCACCAGGGATAATGGCCTCAGCAACAACACTCTTACCGCGGCCCTCGATCCAGTTGATCGCAGCCGGCTTCTTATCCATGCAGTAGTTACCAGAGAGGGAGATGATGGTCATGTCTTCGAAGCCAGCCTCGGTCTGCATCACATTCAGAGCGTGCTCACAGCCCTTGGAAATCATGTTCATGCCCATGGCGTCACCGGTAGTCGTCTTGAAGCGAATATACAAGTTGGTGCCGGCGATGGCAGTCTTCATGGTCTGCAGTCGGGCAAATCGGCTAGTAGAGTTGAAGGCGTTCTTCATAGTAGTCTGGCCTTCGTCAGAGTCAAGCCACAGCTTAGCAGCACCGGCGCGTTCCAGGGTATCGAAAGCAACAACAGGTCCACGGGTCATGCCATCGGCGGTCAAGACGGTAATAGCACCGCCTCCGGAGTTGATGGCCTTGCAGCCTCTGCTAGTACTGGCGACAAGGACACCCTCAGTAGTGGCCATGGGGATGAAAAAGCTCTGTCCATCAATGACAAGAGGGCCGGCAACACCAACGGGAATAGGCATATAACCAATGACATTTTCGCAGCAAGCTCCAAACACACGCTCCCAGTCGTAGTGCCTGTACGGCAGCTTAGAGTTCTCCAAAGCGCTAGTAATTTCAGAGGTGGCCCGGGTGCGAGAAATGATGGTTCTGCGAACCTTGACAGCACGAGTGAAGTTCTTCAGCGTCTTTTCGAGAGCATAGCCAGGAATCTTGCCGCGCATCGACAGCTCAACAACCTCTTCATCAGTCATCTCGGTAATACGTTTCTCGGCAAGCAACTTTTCCAGCACCGCCAAGCTACGGTTTTCAACCTCCTGCGGCTTAGCCTTAGATTCAGCGTCACTCTCATCGTCCGTAATGACAGGAGTAGCCGGTTGGGTTTGCTGAGGGGTTGGCGGGACGTATTCTCCGAGGGGCAAGGTGGCGGAACCAGTATCGTTGAAGCGCTGGGCACGAGCGAGCTCATTGCGGTCGATTTGGTGGTCTGGAGCGTTGGGGTCCTTGATACTCCATCGGGCGACATTGAAGAGATAGCCGTTGAGACCGACGCTGAGGGCGAGAGCAGCGACAATCCACTTAGAGAGCACAGGGTCCTCCAAGCTGCTGAGGAGGCCGCCGACAACACGACCGCCGACTCCAAAGAGCTTGTCGTCTGTAGGGGGTGCAGTGGCCGAAGGCAGCGCATAGTGAATGGAGGGATACTCGAGCTCATACTTGATAGGTGTGAGGATGCTCACGAGGACGGCGACGCCCTTGGCCCTGGCAACTTCCAAGATGGCATCAAGACCATTGGATGCGACCTTGAATGGATCAACAGGAGGGGTAGAGACAACTCCGCTAAGTCCACCAACCAATGAACGAAGGCTTGGGAAGGAAGCGCCGTTGCGGAAAGGGATGGTGATGATGTTAATGAGATTGACCAGAATAAAGCCGGAGACCATCAGGCCCTTGAACTTGGGAACGCTGCTGCTCTTTACCTTTCTGCCAAACACAGAAGCCTCATCCTTGGAAATTCGCATGTCGGCGCTTCTGGCGGCGCTCTCTGCCGCGCGGCGGTTGACGCCATCAGCTTCCAAAACCCTGCGCATCTCAACATGTCGCTTAATGCGGTTGATTTCGAGCTTGATGCTCAGAATGGCGGTGTAAAAAGTGAAGAGCAGGATGCAGTCGAAGAAGAGAATCCAGGCAGCCAGGAAACAGAACTGCTGAAGGCCGCCCTGGACGCCAGATGCAGCTCCGAGACCAAGGATCACAATCTCAATAGCGTAGTCACGAATGATTTCGTAACCCTTCTCTTTAATGGCGGCTTGAAGAGCATAGGAGATGACGCCTTCTTGCTTTGGTTCATTCTTTCCCTTCTTCGTCTGCTGTGCACGATGTTCGATGGCGTGGCTCAGCACAGCCTTGGTGAGGGCAATGTTTTTCTCAAAACCAATGGTGACGACCAAGAAAGGAAGGCCTTCAGAAAGGAGCAAAACACTAATGTGAATACCAAGACCAGTAGTGACGGCCAAACCGAAGAGGAAAGCAAACGTAGAGGAGAAGAGAGTGGTCGTAGCCAGCCAGAAGTTGGATCCCAGGCGGCGCATGGACAAGAAGAGAGACACAAAAGTGATGTGCATGGCCAAATATCCAAGGAACATGATGGTGACGTCGAGGGTCTCGGCATTCTTCAACAGATCGATGAATGTAGACCAAGCGTTGCGAACCCACAACACCAAGTTGGGGCCGGCGTCAACTTTGGCAGCCTTCATGATCCACATCTTCTTCTCACGACCATGCTGAGTCTCCGTCTCCTGGGCGTTTTCAAGAGGAATCTCTTGCACAGCAGCAATGAACCCTGGCGCCTGTTCATAAGGCACAGAGTAAGCCAAGACGCTATCACCCGCATAAGCAGCAAAGGAGTTGATGGTAGCCGGCAGAGCGGTGACGGAGAGGTTCTGGGGAGAGGGCACTGCATGAGAGGCCGGAGCAGAAGTAGAAGCATCTTCGGAGACAATCTCGGGGAAAACAAGTGTCAAGAGTGCAAGGTGATCGGCCTCGTCAGAGGTTTCCAGACCTTGCTCTACGTTTTGCCATTTCCAGCCAGTCTCGGGGCCGGCAATCAAGTCTCTGCTGCCATCAACCAGCGATGACCACTCAGCCTTGCCCACGCTGCTGCCTCCAAACAGCGTCTCTTGGAGCAGGCCAATGTAAGACGTGCTGGCCAAGAGAGCAACAACGACAATTGTATGTATAGGGTGGGAACAGGCCAGCTTGGCCAGGAACTGGATTAGCGGCGTGAGCTTCTTGTTAAGGCGCGAGGGAGCCGGAGCTTGGCTAGGAGCAGGCTCCCCGCGAAAGCGGCGGGGGAGCAGCGTGGAGGGATTCATGTTGAAGAATGTCAAGAGGTGTTTCGTCGTCGGCTTGCACTTATTCCATTGGCAACACTTGTCGTACGATCTCGGCTACTTTATGGTTGTCTAGGATCCACAGAATCTTGTAAGAATCTCGCAGCAAAAAAGGCATCCTGATCTCGCAGCGGGGGAGGGGGCGACAGGTCGATATAAACCGATTCGTAGGGGGACAAGGGCTTGAACGAAGCCCGGGATTCAGCTCACCTCGTGATGGACGTTGGCCAGCGCCAGCCTCAAGCGATTGGCTTGTCAGTATTCGGCGTGGTGGCGGCGAGGATTACACCAATGGCAGGGCTCGGCCGTCGGAGAACAATAGGCTGCTGATGCAATTGATCGCGAACAGGCTCGGCAAAGCAACAACGAATACGTCAGAAGGGCTCAGCCACGGCTCCTAGTGTGCTCTGGCAAGCAGAAGATGGGAGGATGAAGAGAACGAAGCGTCCCCCCTTTCTGAACGTCCAAAGAAAAAAGTAGCGGCGAGTAGGGAAAATATCGGCGGCCACTGAAGCTCCCCTGGATGGAGAAAAAGCGCCCCAGAGACAGATGGCCGCTGGTGCAGCCAAGGCAGCGCCTAATCGAGTAATAAATTTGGGGTCGCGGCACTGAGGCGCTTGGCCCAAAACACGCGTAGCTGGTTGATCGTGGGTCGTCTAAAGATTGCCTTGACCGAATCAGCGCAGGGCGGCAGCTCAATGGACGGTCTGATTCGCTCGCGGGTCTTATTTGCGGTTGGCTTGAATTGGCGGTGGATGATGAAATGAAATTAATTCCTTGATAGTGCCATTGCTGGATTTTTTTTTTTTTTGCCTTAGTCCCTCTTTTTTTTTTTTCGCGAACCCAACGGTTCTCACTAGTGCGCGATACGAGTACGAACCCGATAAGGCGGCAGGGCAACACACAAGCTCAGTGGCACGTGGCGTCTCTGGACCTGCTTTGATGATCGCCGTAGCAGGTACCGGTGCTGGTAGTCAGCATCAAGACACGCTCTGCATCTACACCGGCGCAGGAAGAGCCGCGAGGACAGAGACGAGGAACTGAGCAGCGCATTCGCCTTCGATCCGGAGCTTTGGGTTTATATCGACAGTTGGACCTGGTCACTGTTAGCCCTCCATTCAGGCCTAAGCGGACCCCAGACCCGCAGCACCAAAATGGCAGGATTCCTCCGTCCGTGCTGCAGATTCCACTTGGGATCAGATAATCCTACCACTCTATGCTCCTAATGCTACTCGGAGTAACACTAAGTCCTACGACGCAACTGCAAAGCATGGGCAGTATATGGCACCTTGTGATTCCTGTCAGACTACAAAGCATACTGTAGTCGTAGTAGCGTTCCATATACGGCCAAGTCTACGGGATCCTTGAATCGGCTAAGCTCTATCAACGTCGGGGCGTATTCGAATCTGAATCTGACTTTTCTTAACAGCACTGCCGCTTACGACCCTGGTCCTCTCCACTCCCGACTTTACTTCAGATGTGGGCATGCTGTGATGAAGTGTCTTGCATGCATGAAGGTCCAAGCACTTCCACTGTCTTCTGGAGCGGGCCTGGTACGACAATTGCATATTATAGAGCAACTTCTACGCCGCTTTTGCCACCTCGCAGAAAATGATGGCGCCGGCTAAATGTTATCGTGTGTTTGTGTTGATGTCGTGGCAAGGAGCCAATGGCGGTAGTGCCAGTTGCAGTATCGATCTACTTGCCGTGATACACCCAAGTCAACATGCGGTGAGGATAGCTATTCTTGGCATCTCAAAGTGAGACTTTTGTCTCGTTGAATGCGACAGGCTCAAAAAGCTCTTGAAAGGAAGAGGGATTTGGTGCGGCCAATTGTTATCCTAACACAGTTTCACACCATGACTTCCGTCATATATAGACAAATCACTAGTGCGATGCCGTGACTATTTCCTTTGCCAGGCACACACCTTGGAACAGTCGGGAATTGATGCTAATAATTATGAAAAGAAATTTTCGATGAGTATTTGGAGAGTACAGATATCAGTTCGTCGTCCTGAGCGAGATATAACAATGCGAGTGTGAAGAGTCATCAAAGTTATGTCTAAGCTCAAAAAAAAAAAAAAAAAAAAAAAAAAAAAAGCAGAGGTATCAATTCTCGGCAATCGCTAAATACCACAAAAAATGGAGAAAGAAAAAAGAGCGCAATGAGATACGCCAACCATCTAGCCAAAACATGAAGAACTATTCTACAGCATATCATTCTCATCCCGAAGCTGCTCCGATCCGAGTAAATGGTATCGGCCCTCCTCTCGGAGCCGAGCGGTGGTAACTCTGTCGGGATAATTCCTCAGAAACATGTTTGTGAAATGAGTTCCATAATGTATCCCGCCCATCGGCGACTGTCCGGCATTGTAGCCAGGCAGGGGCTTAATCACAGAACGAAAGTTGGGTTCGTGAAAGTACGCAAAGGCAAACCGTTCACGAACATTAAGCCCGACTTTATGCGGGGTTGACTTGAGAAAGTTGTTGGTCATATACTGCATCATATCGCCTGAGGAAAAAATATGTGAGCCAATGCTTCTTCGAATAAGAGCATTTGGACGCTTACCTGGGAAGACGGTGAATGTCCCTGCAGTGGGAGGCACATACACCCACCCAGCATCATTTTCCCTCAGTCCAGCGGACGTCTTTTCCCAGTTGGCAAATTGCTCATCCTGACGCGGTGGGCGAACAAAGAGTCCTGGAAGACGTTATCTCATTAGAGTTACGGTCGGCAGATGTTTTCACAATAAAACTTCATACCTCCAACGTCGTCTTGAGCGGCAATGACAAGCAGACCGTAGTCTGTATGAGAGCCTATGCCACGGCCGTTTTTCCCCTTTCCATTTGTCCTGTCTCTCTGTGGGAATCTGTACGAAAATCCTCATTAGCGACTATGCTATTTAATTGAAATCAGATCATATACTAACGACTCACCTCAATATACGCATGTGATGCCACCCATCATCCGTGTATCTCGTGAGAGATCCCGTGGGAACATCCAGTCCCATTTCGATCAACTGCAGCAGCTTCTCTCCCGATACGGCCAAGTCGTTCATGTAGCTGTTCATGACATTCTTCATACTCTGGTCAGGCCATGGGCACGGTCCATGGCACGGCCAGCCTTGGGCAACTCGCTTATCGGTGTGTGGTAGATCCTTTGTCACGGTAAAGATCTCTGAGTAGTCGGCAACTCCATCAGTGATCTCCTCACCAGATGCGATGTATCCTGAGTAGCTCATGTCGTCAACGCAGGCTTGCTTCTGTACATATGGTCGCGAGAAGAAGCGCCTGCTTGCGGCGTTGGCGGCTTGGTAAAGCCTTCGCTGTGCTTTTGACATGTCAATCTGCAATATACCATCTCGGCGCCAGGCACTGATCATGGCGTCTGCTATGGCCTTGTCACACACAGACCCCGAAACCTTCTCAGGCAGACTAAAAGTCTCTAGTTTCCCAATCTGAGCCGTGAACCCAGGTGGTAAGCTATGTGTGGCAGCTGCTTGCGCAGTCACTGTCGATGTCGAGGCAGCACGTGTTTTAGTTATGAGATGACGGGCTACACCTACGCCCTTGCTGGTGACCTTGACAATGGCCATCTTCACCGAAGAGAACAGGGGGAATGGGTATGCGTATGCGCGAAGTCTTTGGACTTTTCTTGCTCAAAGTGGAGTGAAGAATATGAGATCTTGCGCTGCTCTAACTTTGCTATATTTTGGGTACAAGTTAGAAAAAAAAATGCATGAAGGAACGAGCGAGCGAAAGGGGAATATATACTTGAAGCTCTAACGCCTAGCCGTTCGAATATTTGACTCAAACTCAGCAGCCTACCCCTATCTTCCCACCGCCATCTACTTTCTCCGGGTTACGGAATGTTACTCAGAGTGGCACATTGCAGACCATCTATTCTCATTACAGCTATTTTTTATCATAGCCACAACCCTGCCTAACAAGAGCCAACTCCCAACTATGTGTGCTCGCCAAAATTATGTACGACATTGGTCATGTCTCTGACAGCTGAGGGGGCTGCATGGACAGACCTGTATCACCACTCCCCTTTTAAAACTGCTAAGAGGCGGTCAAAAGTACTAATTCTTAAAACCAGATGTTATAAAGAAGGACAAAGACTAAAATATAAAGTCAGGGAAGAGATAAAAAGTAAGCAGCGGCACGAATAGGCGAAAATTGGATAAATTGGACTCAAACCCTACGTTATTCGGCGATGTCAAAAGTATAAGCTTGCATGGTTATCAGCGACTCTTCGTCTTTTGGTCGCCACAATGATTAATAGCCGTTGGACGAAACCAACATGCCGGTCATATCCGAATTAGCTACATAGGCGGCGGGGAAATGTATGCTTAATACGTTTCAATTATGGAATGTCATTTGCACATCCACTCGCCGCTGTTGTCACACGTAGACACGAGGACATGAATCGCAATGGATAAGCATCCATCTACAACTCCCTTACGGTGAGCAGCATAAAAACATTCATACTGTTAGTTTCTATCTATTTATTTCGTTATAAACAATATCATCTACGTCATGTAGATGCCTTTCTCTGGCTTACTTACACAACAGTTAACACAGATAAAGTGGTGATTTTAGTGGTACAACAAAAGAAATGCAACGAAATGCATGCAGAGTAAAAGGGCACGAGGGAGCGTTAATGTGGTAATATCTTATTGGCAGCTCGGCTGGCGACTCCGTCACTTCAAACCTATTCACCTCGGACTTTGACATAAAATAGAGTCTTAATGGGAGCACGAGCTAAAGCAACAAGACTAAATGTGTGTGACCTGGCCTAAGTCTGAACGAGGTTGAAGCAGAGCTAGCAATATTCAGCTACTGCCATGAAACTGAAGCTGGAAGCTAGATCTCTCCCCAAGAGTTCGATGCCGACAAAGTAGCTTCACCCCTTGAATTGACCTTTTCAGCTATATAATCCGAGAACATGTCATTGCTTCGATCGCAAACCTAATGGCCGATCTCTTAAGCAAGATGCTGTAGATCGGCGTCGATCGGCATCTCCAACCGTTGAGCGCCCTCCCCTCTGATGGCCATTCATACCAGGGCGTGCAACTCATCAGCTTCCCCAAGTCGGACAAGAAAAGCACAAGCACATTTCTTGGCACCTCGCATGGCTATGAGGCTATAGAACCGGTTTGATGAAGCTATCTTGGACGATATGCTGGGACTCCCCGCTCGCTTAACCCTCTCTTTCTTTTCTCTCGTCTTCTTTTCTCTTCTATTGTCATTCTCTTTAGCGGAGAAGCCGGTAATATCCGATTCGTCTTACCAGCAGCCAGCTGACCGACTTTGATTAGTTTAAAGCGGTCCGACATTGGAGAGCATAATGATGGGAACGCTTGACCGAATCACAAGGCTGTGCAACTACATTTCTAAGAAGAGACAGACTGCGTCTAAAGAGAGAGATGAAGATGGCTAGCATCATTGGCAGCGTAAGATGTACGAGAGTCTCTTATCACAGGGCGGTCTGGAGAGAACTTTTGAGGCATGGTCGCTTCCATCTGGCAACGATGAGTCGTAATTTTTTTTTTACTCCTTCTTTTTTTGCGTATTTATTTGTATTAAGATAATGTTACAGCGGCAAAGAATCTTTGACATCGTGCCGTCGTACAGCACATTCAAGCAAATCACCCTCATCACCATACCCCTAAACATATAGAAACACAAAATCACACCCCCTTCAATCACGAACCCCCCCCCCCCCCCCCCAAAAAAAAAAAAAAAAAAAAAAAAAAAAAAAAAAAAAAAGAAAACAAACTCTCAGGACGGGCCAACTACACCTCACTTCACAAGTTTAGTCGTCTCATGCTTCAGACCAGCCTCCTGGGCCTTCTTATCCGCAATCTCATTGAGCGCCTTCCACTCCTCCGCACTAACCCTACTCACACTCAACCGTCCCTGCTTCAGCATCATCATATTCTCCAGCGGACCGCCAGGCTTGCCCAGCTCGCGCAGCTCCTTGAGGCCGATGGGCACGGCAAACTTTTTCCTGAACTCGACGTGGACCAGGCTCCAGCGGATGTTGTCCTTTGAGGACTGCGGGTCGTAGTATGGTGTTCCCGGACGGCGAGCAGATTCTGGGTGTTTTACATGTTAGCCAAGATAAACAAGCGTTTCTTTTCCCCATTCGCTTCATTTTCATAAAAGAGACCTACTGTCTTCAGAAAACTCCTTTACAATCTCCATGACGCCCGCAATGCCAGGCTCTTTGCAATTGGAGTGGTAAAAGAAAGCCTTGTCACCCGCATTCATATTCCTCATATGATTACGCGCCGCATACGCTCTTATACCTAAAATGGGGGCGTTGTCAGTAAAATGACCATCTTTGCAATTACCACTTTGACTACTGTGGAAAGAACTCACCATCCCATCCCTCAGGCTTCTCCCTCGACCTCAAATCATCGATCGAGAACCTGACATCAATGCCGTTCTCAAAGCGAGACTCTGGCTCTGCCTTCATCAGCCAGTACCATTCGCCGTCATGGCGCGGCGCATCTGGGTTGGTAGTTGGGATGGAGTCGATATCAGGGTCTTCAGACACGGCCCGCGAGCTTTTAGCAGCATCCTTGGCAACTTTCTCACTCTTTGATGATGTCTTTGTTTCTTCCTTCACCTCACCATCATCATCGACTTCTTCTCTCTTAGCCTTGGCTTTGCTGCCCTTCTTGGCAGGTGTCTTCTTCTCAACTGTAGTAGCCGTAGCAGATTTAGCTGTAGCCCTATTCGTCTTCTTAACGCTATCACCCTTGCTCTCATCCTTTTCACTAGCGGTAGTTCTCTCCTTGGTCCTAGACGGCGCAGCTTTCTTTGCCTTATCTACCGATGCCTGATCCTTCACATCGGGCTTCTTAATTGATGCTGCTGCTGCCGCGGCCGCTTGGCGTGAAGATCGCCGTTTGGCAACAGGCTCGTCGCCATCATCTCTGGTGCGCTTCCGGGGAGGCATGTCAGCCTAATAGTGAGAAATAAAAGCCAAACTGAGACGAAAACGAAAATAAAAAAAAAAAATCTTCCAATATTCTACCGCGTTGCACCTGAACAGCCTCAAAGCCAGGGTCAATTGCTGCTGCAAACTGCTGAAGCGTGCTGTAATTCCGGCGCGTCAGCCACGCGCTCAGTCCTCAGGCCTAATTAATCCTGCATAGCCGCAGTGTGGCGCCCTCCCCCGATTTTTCCTGCTTAGCACGGGGCTCCTTCGCAAAATTAGCCGCGGGCGCTGCCGTCATTTTCTGCGGAGCTCCAGTCCGGTTTATTTTCATCTTGCTCCAGCGGCCTCCGCTTCGGACCAAACAGGAAACCAGAGCCTCAAGTGAATTTTTCTTGCTTGTAAGCGCCGCGACCGCTTTTGCGGCTGCACAATGCCTCACTCTTGGCAAAAGAAAAAAAATTCTTTGCAAGAGGGTGGGCAAATCCTTGTCTTTCAGTTTAGCACTACATTTGGATTGAAATATGCGATTGCGTGGAAGCGTCGTATTCGCAGCCTGCATTCTTGGCCTGCTAACTCAAGCCCGGATTGGGAAGCTGTGGCTTGATGACTCATCAAGGTTGATGAGTCAGCGAGCTGTGGATCAACAACTGGGACGACGTGGGCGACGACATCTCATATGTTTAACGACATGTTGAATGGAACTTGGATAGATTTTGAGTGTTTAACGTTCAATTATTCATAATTACAGCTTATTGCATAAGTTGTCCCAATCGACACTAATATGTCAATGCTGCGAGCCTACAATGTCCGTTGATGGCGCAAGTGTTTTGAGAGCTGCAGGCAGTCGTCGTAGTATATAAGTCGTGATATATGACAAGGAGGATAGATGCGGCCGTATTTGACTGCTCAACATCGACGGAAGATACGGCGTAGGCATATGGGAAGCACACCGCGCAGAAGTGCAGCAGGAAGAAAAAGCCGCATAGCACCATTAGAGGCCAGCGCTACAAGTCCCAGCCCTTTGAGGCGATCGAAAAGCACTCACAGGGCTCCACAAGAACAATGACTTCAAAAGTTATATGGTAATAGGCCTCAATCGGCCAGAGAACAAGGAAAATTACAAGGCGGTGCTGCAATGCCCGTGAAGTAGCACGGAGAATGCGTAGGACTTTTGGCATAGTAAACGGCAGGTCATGGCAATGGCAAAACACCAGGGCAACGACGAACCGTCGACAAAAAAATTCTCCAAAAGGAGCGATATGCACTTGCACAAGTCCAAGAACCCAAAGAGTTCATGTTTAATGTGAATTGAATCTGTGTCCAGTGTGTTCATGCTCAATGAGTGTTGAGTGCTTGAATGTTCAGTTGTGTGTTCAATATGTGTTCAACGTGGGTGCATTCAATGGGAAGCCGATGGTCGGCAATGCGGGGGACTTGAACAAAGAAAAGTCTGCATACTTAAAGAGTTGATGCAAGCGAGTGATGGTGATGACGAAGGGTAGCATGTGCAGAGATGTCAGGAGGATGAGGTAGGTCGGGGAGGTAGTGTCCGGTAGGGGGCTCTCATTGGCTGGGAGCAAGGGGCTCCCTCTTCCGGGTATAAAAGGCACCTCTCCCCCAGCTACCCTCCTCCTCACCACTCTCTCTTCTTCAAACCCATCCACTCAACTTTCATCAAAAATCAACCGCAAGACACCTCAAAGAGTTTGCTTTGATAGAGTCCTACCGTTGAGCTTCCTTCATACCACTGCACGGTTAGCATCTTGCTTCATACCTGCCGTCGCCTCCCCCCCTGCCTACCACCATCAACCTATGCAACCAAGGATAGGTTCCAGACAAACAAAAATTAGTATACCATCACATTCCTTTGATTGAACAATGAGTTCCGTCAATATGGACAGGATGTCGCCTCGCTCGCCTGAATTCCTCACAGCCTTTGTCTCTGACAAGGCTGGTGGCAGAAGAGTCCTTGAGAGCCATCCAAGGTATCGAGCCCAAAATGCGGCCACTGAAGATTCAACATCATATAGAAACCACAGAGACTATTACTCAGGCTCATCAACGAAACGTCTTCGCTATTCTGGAGCGGACGAAGCTGCTGATCAGCTTTCCTCGCATCACTCGTCACGTGAGCTTGACTCCCTTCTCATTGAAGCATCAGTATCATCAAGAGGAGCACGGAGTCATGGTTCCACCAAAGAACCCAGAAGATATCATCTCCCGTCCCCTCCCCCAGATGAATCTCAACATTATCGTTGTGGTCAAGTTGAGGTCTTCCCAGGTGCTACTAGAGCACGAAGAAGTCGTGATCTCCAAGGCTTTGGCGCTTGGAGCGATCACATTGCATTGCCTCAGCAGCAGCAACTCCTCACTGAGAGTGCTTACAACGACGAAGACATCTTTCAGAGCAGGAGAATGAGCGGATCCAGTATACCCGACACACCACGGGACTGGCTACTGCCGACTCCTGAGCTCTCTCCCATGCCCACGCACTACACGTTCTGTCCGTGCTGCGTGGATGAGGAGAGTCGTATAAACGACACATGGCATATGGCAGGCAAAGAGAAGATGCATACTCAAAGTAAGCCTCCCTGAGCGCGAACCCAACCACTTGAGTCGTAAATACTGACCATCGCTAGTGGAGAATGCAATGGCGTACATTGAGCAGATGAAATTCAAAAAGTAAGCATGTTAGTAATAGAGCGACAAAGCGGCAGCCAGCGTGATTTGGGGAAAAGCTTGAGGGCAAAAGGCTATCTGTGACAATAATGGGCAATGGCGTATGGAGTTTTCTGTTGAATGATGTGATTGGAATCATTGCAAGGGTTTTGCATTTCGCGATTAGCGGGCTGTAACCACTTTCAGTAATAGTAATGAACAAACGCAGCTCACTGGCAAAGTTCCGCCGTGATTAGAAGAGTGGCGAAGAAAACGGAAGGACTCAAAGAGAGTTCCAGCTCGCCAACGCAAGAGGTCAGCTGTCGTGCAAAGACATGGTTCCTGGAGCGCTAGGCGTCATTATCCAACCAGAGGCTGCTGAGTCTGCCTAGCGACAAGCATTGAGCAGGCCGCCAGGTCGAGCCCACGCCCTGTGGCAGACCGCGTGTCAAGGGATGCAGATGAAACGGACTGTTAGAGAAAAGCAGCGATGATGCCAGAACATTCTGTCTCGTAGTCGACGAGGAGAAGCGCTGAGTTGCTCAGTGCAGTAGTTGGAACACAGAGGATCGACTGCAGCAATTGGGTGGACGAGTGGTCAAAGTCCTAGATTGTGAGGGGAGTGGAGACGGGAGCTAGGCTGCTGCGCCGCTTCGGGGACCGAGTGCGGGACTATGCCGTTGCCTCAGGCCGAAAATGGCTGCAGGACTAAATTTAGTCCGGAATATCTCTGGACTCTGACATGACGAAAATGCTAAAGCGTCTGCATGGCGGGGTTAATCTTTTTCCATCCCGCCTCACTAGCGTGCACTTTGCCGCGTCTCTACCGCGCGGCCGCGCTTAATGTTGCCCGGCAACCCCTGGCAGCAACATTAATTAGATAAACAGGGGGGCCACTATCAGGATATAAATCTTGCCTGGGGATCGATTTAGTCACCATATCCACCGGCAACAAATATACCAAAGCGTAGAATATATCATTGTGTTTTTTGTTTCACTTTCTTTTGTATTCCTCTTTTAAACCCGCCGATCAGTCTACATTTATTCACATTATTATGGATCCTATCCCGAGATCCCAGCATCTCTTCGACGTCTTCCTCCGCCTACGGCCGCCCTATCCAGGAGGCGCACAATCCGAACGCATTCTCGACGTTGAGCAACCTGAACACAGCCCGCATCCGACACACATTACGCTGAACCCACCGCCAGATCGGCGAAAGGCCGTTGAAAAATTCGGCTTCACGCAGATATTTGAGGAGGATGAAGACCAGCTCGATGTGTTCCACTGCACGGATACCTCGTCGCTGATTGAAGGTATCCTGGCACCTGAAGGTGGTGACGGCACCGACGCTGTGATTGCTACTCTCGGAGTCACCGGCTCAGGCAAGGTATGGAAATGGAAATGGCAGCAGCACATGATGCAAAGCTATCTTCCCTTCGCCGTCTAACATCCAGGGCAGACACACACGATTCTTGGCAACCGACACCAGCGAGGCATAGCTCAGCTCGCAACCGATGTCATTTTCCGATCGATCAGCGAGAATATGGTCGAATCAGCCCAGTCGCCGACCCTCGATTCTCTACAAGCTTGCGATGCGTCTGAATCCACGCTCGTCACGGCAACACACTTTCTCGATACCATGAGCGCAGACTCAATGCAGGCAACTCGCGGTGGCGGATCCAGGTCAACTACGCCGATGATGGTACGAACACAGCCTGCCCTTTCGTTTGTTAAGCCGTCCACCCCCAGCAAGGCTGCTCCCAGCGCACAGCAAATGCCGGGCTCCTTTCCCGACTCAGCTGCAACGAGCCCGAAAAGTGTCGAGCCTGTTGGTGAAACTGAAGAGACGCCCCAGCGCAAGGCGCAACAGGATTGTTCCTCCCAGCAGTCTCTGGGAATAACAAAATCGAATACGATTGCCGCCGTTTCCCCATCCAAGCGGATGTTGGATGAGCCATTCATGTCATTAACCGCGGCCAGCCGCCTCAAGACAACTGCTAAACAAAATATCAAGGGCGAAAGTGGTAGCCTCGGTTCCAGCTCTGGCCAACGACGAACTTTACGCCGCCATTCGAACTTCCTAATGTCGCTTCCTAGTGGTCCGGATGTCAGCGATTTCGTAGTACCCTGCGACCCCGCCGCCGAATATGTCGTTGTCGTGTCCATGTACGAAGTTCACAACGATCGAATCTACGACCTCCTCACCCCCGCGAGCAAATCACCGTCCACCAAGGAGCTCCGTCGCCGACCCCTTCTATTCAAGCCCACGGAGCATTCCCCTGACCGTAAAGTGGTCGCCGGCCTTCGGAAAGTAGTCTGTACCGACGTCAGAGAAGCCATCCTGGTCCTTGAGACTGGCCTGCAGGAAAGGCGAGTGGCCAGTACAGGGAGCAATAGTGTCTCCAGCAGGAGCCACGGCTTCTTTTGCTTCGAAGTTAAGAAGAGATCCTTTGGATGGAGGAACAACTCTTGGAGCGGAAGCAAGCTTACAATTGTCGATCTTGCGGGGAGTGAGAGGGCAAGGGACGCAAAGACCCAGGGCGCGACCCTGGCAGAGGCGGGGAAGATTAATGAGAGTCTCATGTATCTGGGACAATGTCTCCAGGCCCAAAGCGAAGCCAGTGGGTCTAGTAAAGTGAGTTTTTCTCCTCATCCACTCTCTCTCTCTCTGATCACGACCTATCTAACAATTCTAGCAGCCCAATCTCATACCCTACAGACAGTGCAGACTTACGGAAATCCTCTTTTCCAACTCCTTCCCTTCGGCGCCAACGAATTACAGCCACCTTCCTAGCCGAAACCCTCAAAGAGGTGTCATGATTGTCACAGCAGACCCGCTGGGCGATTTCAACGCAACTTCCCAGATCCTTCGGTACAGCGCTCTCGCTCGGGAGGTGACTGTTCCCCGTGCTCCATCATTCAGTGCTGGCATGCTGTCGCCAGGAGGTAACGGGCATGCCGCGCCGAGGTCGTTTGGCAACAACGGCTTTGGCTCGGTGAGAAGCCACTTTTCACCTGTCACTGCTACCGACGAAAGAGTTACGATGGAAATCGCCGCGCTGGAAATTGCCAGGATGAGTGACGAGATCGAGCAGCTGCGCGGCGAAATTGAGGTGCAGAGCGAGGCTCGTATTGCGGCTGAGGCTCACCTCCTTAGTGCGGAGGATCGAATGATTGACATTGAAGCCGCCGTCCGAGAAGAGTGCGCACTTGAATTTGAGCAGCGCCTTGCGGTCGAACTCGCTCGATTCAAAGCATCGATGCAAATCGAAAAGGAGCGGCATGAAGAGCACTGGGACCGCAAAGTCGACATCTTGGAGCGCAGTCTGGATAGTGGCACTTTTGATGAGGATTTCGACAAGGAGAATGTTTTGGTGGAGAATCTGACGCAAGAAGTCGAGCGTTTGCGGCGCGAAAACACGATCCTCAAGAGGGAGCTCTCGAGCCGCAGCCCAAGTAAGCGGAAACCTCTGGAAGAGCGCGAGGACTTCTCCATGGCCGGCGATTCTACGCCCAAGTTGAAGTCTGATAGCGTATCAAGCCTCAACCGTAAGCTGGAGCGCCTCAAGGTCGGCGATGGTCCTCGGCTTCATGCCAACCCTGGTAGTCCCAAGAAGGTGCGCAGACTGGTTGCAAGGCGCTGGGAAGATTCGGATGGCCATTAAAGCCAGTGGAGCTTCTTCTTGTATAACTCTTCTTCCTGGAAATTTTGGGACTGCTACTTGGTGATAATTTAAAATGACGATACCACGGCCTCCACGCAAGAGAAAAAGAAGGGCAGTGTGGTGTTTGGAGAAAGGGATGGATACCCATGGTTTAACGACTTTTAGAGATGTGGGATTGCCGGTTTTGGGGTGTTTGTTTGTCTTTTTGTCTCTCTTTTTTTTTTTTTTCTTGATTCAAGTGTATATTGGGTAAATAGCATAGTCATACTATTTTTGTTAAAATACAGCAGATAGGATATAACAATATTATAAATCGGTGTGTCTATTATATTCATCTATAGGTATAATTGAGAGGCTTGGGTATGTGACTAAACGGGTATCTTCAACATAACAAGGTCAACCAACGTCGCGTCCTCGATATATACTCTCTACTCTTCGACCCAATACTACTTCCTCGCATTACCTCGTTTCCAACATTACTAACATTACCGCCTTCATACCCCCCTATTTTTGGACAATCTTATGCTTGTGAGCCACTGGGAGCGTCATGCTCTACAATGTCGCCACTGCGCATGGGCTCCTTGCCCTTTCCTTTGCTCTGAGTGGTAGCCTCGTTTTCAGGTTCAGCCTCTGTCTCAGTAGGGGCTGCTACATTCCTAGCCTGAGTCTCAGCCGGAGCTTGTTGGATGGGCTGCCAGCCTTGCATCATGGCCTGCAGGCCCTGGGGCTGCGCAATGACATAGATGGGTCGCGAAGCAGCAGCATTGACCTTGGAGGTATCGACACAGGCACCAACAAACAGGATGAAGTGAATCACGGCAATGATGTAGGTGATGATGGCGGCAGCATACGCAACGCTCCTCTCATGGCGGAACTGGTGCCTGGCAGCGATAACATCGGGGTCGTTGGAGTTGTCAGTGCACGAGTAGACGTAGTCGTCGAGGGTGGAGTTGTATCGGTACGAGCACGAGTCGCCGTCGTCGTAGTCGTAGTTGTCGTTCCACGAGCTTTGGAACCAGGGCCCGAAGAGGGAGGTCAGGATTACGGCGACGAGGAAGATGATGAGCGAGAGGGCGACGTGGGCGCCGGGGTGGATGCCGCCTTTGAATTTGCGGACGGCGCGGGTGATGAGCTCGGCGCCGCTCCAGAGGGCGGCAATGATGCACTTTGTTTTTTAATGTTAGTTGTCATTGACATTCACACTGGATAAGATAAGGAATAGAGTGAAGGAGACTTACGGGAGGAGCTGCTGCGATGACGACGGTGTCGATAAAGTAGACGTAGTTGAGGGTGCTGAAGCCGAGGCCGATGCCCACCACGGCGAGGACGAAGGACAGCGACTGAAGCCCCAGCTTGATGAACTCCCAGACCTTGTTCTGCGGGGGCCTGGGCGGCTCAAAGGCCTGCTGGGCCGGGAAGGGAGCGTAAGTCATTGGAGCCGGTGCGGGATAGGGATACGGCTGGTATCCTGCCGGGAGACTCATTTGCGCTGGCGGAGGCGCTGCGATTGCTGGCGCCGGGGCGGTTTGCGGTGTGATTTGCTCCATTTGGGGGGGTTGTTGGGAGGAGGAAGAGGCCATGGCGGTGAAGTTGGGAGGAGAAGCGATGTGTGTTGTATATAGTTTTTGGATATTAAAGCGTTTTGGGGTTTAGAAGTTGGTGATATTAGATGAGATAGTAGGTAGGTAGTTTCCCCTGGTTTGAAGAGCGAGAGACGAGGATTTGAAAACGAGTGAATGGCGTCGAAATAGAGAGAGATTTGCGACAGGGTATATAGCAACAACCGATTTAAATGATCATGCTTCAACGCGAAAAAAAAAAAAAAAAAAAAAGAGAGAGAGAAAAAGAGAGGCGATTGGCCAGAGAGCAAAACCAAGTGCCGATAGAAAGAAGAAGAAAAAACGAAGCAGCAGCACAAGCCAGCGCAGAACCCCGTCGTCTCTTTCAAGAGTCTCGTGCCGAACGTTTAGCCAGGAAAAAAAGCGCTAACTAGACAAAGAGAGAGTCAGCCCTTCTCAGCAACACCTCGCTAATATAAATACACGTAGTAGCGGCTTGCTTTCTTCGAAACTAGGAGAACTGCGAGCCGGGATCCCCTGTCTGTGCTGACTGAATGCCGTGATTGGTGCATTCTGCGCTTCGTGTACGCCCATTGGCTGGGGGCTGGTTATAGCCAGAATCAGAAGAGGAACCACGCGGATTCGGCTATTGCCCGATTTGGCAAGGGGCCAGGGGGTAGCTTAATTGCTGGATGCCTTTTTTAGAGGGGGCTTGCAGGGATTGTGATTTATGGGTGGGTTTGGTTGACAGTCATGCAGATGGGGAAATAGGCAGCAGGGGCCCGTGCGAGGATGGGAAAAAAAAACAAGGCAGAGAAGTGCGGTGGTTGAGTCGAACGATGGTTGTGAAAACAGTTAGTTGGCGTGCCAAGGTTATTGGTTTCAGCTCAGCTCAGGATGAAATAGCTAGCAGTAGACTGGACACGAAATGACACGGAACACAGTGCCTTGTAAGCAGAATCACAACGGAATTGCTTTGGAGCGAGCGGCGTGGTGAAACAAGGTTAAGGTTAAGATGCTGGGACCATCGCAAGCCCGGTTGTCAGTTGAAGCTGTCATATTCCCTGTAGTTGACATTTGACAGGAGTTTCCAGAGTATAAGTGTGTCCCAAATATGACACTAAAACGACATAAAACGTCTGCATATGCCAAACATGGGAGAAGAAGCTAGTAACACTACAGCTGCTGCGGGAAAATTTTGCAGTTTCAGGCTTCGCCATAGCCTGTCTAAAAGTATTATCATTATAGAGGAATACGTTATCTAAATACGGCCAGTCAACGCCGAAGCTCTTCATAGAATCATATTTTCGTTGTATAAATAAAAAAAAAATTCCGTATAACTAGTCCATTACCAATATCTCACCACCCCCTCTTCTCGCTCATAAAGACAAATCTCGGCCATTTCCTTTTTCAAGCCGGAGCGTAGTATTCCCTAACCACAGGCTCCTTGGCCGCGGCCGCAGGGGGCTGCATCTGCACAGACTCGGCAGACGCACCGTTCTGCGGCATCGGCTGCCACCCTTGGCTGGCGGCAGGCCAGTTCTGCGGCTGGGCAATGACCATGATGGGGCGCTTGGCGGCCGTGTTGCGCCTGTGCGTGCGGATGCAGGCGTCGATGAAGAGGCCAAAGTTGATTGCGAAGATCATGCAGGTGATGACGGCGGAGCCGACAATCTTGCCCCTGGGGGCAGGATCCTGGGGCGCGCAGTTGTTGTATGTGATGGTGTTGCCCTGGCTGTCGGTGGTGGTGAACTGGCAGCCGTCGTCGTCCTCGTAGCCGTTGTACAGGGCGACGTATGTGCAGAGCATGCCGCCGGTGACGCTGGCAATCATCCAGATGATGAGGCACACGCCGACGTGGGCGCCGGGGTGGATGCCCGTCTTGAACTTTCGGACTGCTCTGGTGATGACCTCGGCCAGACTCCATATCGTGGCGAGCGCGGACTAATATGTAGAGTGTAAGTCAGCTTGTTCTACAACTTGAGTTGACTGAGAGAAACATACAGCAGGCAAAGCAGCAATAGCAACACTAATGTCACTGCCGCTAAGGGATGATAAAGAGAGACCCAAGCCAATGATACCCAAAAGAAGGGCAGCTGCAAAGAATCCCAGCCTGGTGAACTCTGCGCGTTTGCTCGTCTCAATCGGAGGGGGTGCAATGGTTTGCTGCTGGCCTGGATATGGCTGGTAATACGGCTGGAATCCCGCCTCAATCATTTCCTGGGGAAGCGAGTTGTTCTGGGCCATTTGGGGAGTCTGTTGAGAAGCCATGGTGAAGATGGTCGTTTGTCTGTTTGGCGATGAAATAAGATGAACCGGCGAGTTTTTTTTTCTTTTGTTTGTGATTTTCTTAGAAAGGGCTGTCTATTCAACAACACCAATACCCTCAAATCGCAATAGTTGATGAAGAAATTAAGCGCGCAAAACGAATGTTTGTAAAATAACGACTGGCTGTGACCGAAACGGCACACAAAGGAAAAAGCGAGTGTATATAACACAGCCGGGGGCTGCAAGATTTGCGCTGCTTCAAAAACGAACGACGTAGCGAATGACTTGAAAGTGAAAGAAAATTCCTCCAGATTCTCAGGTGAGGGCTGGCCGCCGGGCTAATAAATAGCACAGACGCTGGTTGTTTGCCGCATGCAAGAATCGCGGCAGGGGAAATTAGCCAAGGTCCCCATGTGTAACATTCCGCTGGTGCTAGCGACAATAGTGGCGACGAGGATCCACATCCATGATCCAAGTTGCTCGTGTGCGGCCAGACTCTGCCGGAGCTTACCGCTGTGCTGGTTGGGAAAATGGAGTCGTTGCCTGGAAGTTATGGGGGGAAAGGATAAAAAGAAAAAAAATATGGCTGGGCGGCATCATCAGGTTGTCAAAGCTGAAAGGCAAAGCAAATCTCTTCACTCTTTTGCCGCGACTGTGGCCCTCGGCGCGGCTATGGCCGAACCGCGAGATTCCCTCGCCGAGACTCAAGGCACAGCCTCTCAGTCTAGGCTTTTAGTCTTATTTCCCTGCCGCTTTTATCCCCGGAACGCAACTAAGAATAGCAAGTCTGTTGCCGTCGCAATGCAGATACACGTATCTCGAAGACGATCATCCAGATTAGCCTATCGGCTCTGAGTTTCTTTTAAACTCGCATATATACTCTGTTGTGTCGTGTTGTACCACTATAGGACACATTATGCCTAACATTGCTGTTTTCAGTCATGGACATGAGAGTTAACTAATCAAGGTAGCTGGTTAACCAAGACATAGAGGGTCCAAAATCCCCTAGCTGCAGTGCTGTAGTTCAGAGGAGAGTTTGATATTCTTTCCAGAGACGCAAGAAACTACCTACTAGTAGGTATATATACATATAAAATACAGCTTGATTTCCAATCATTTTGCTTCTTCATAAAGACAACGCGGGACTTACTTCCGGCGACATAGCTTTGTTCCCGATCTAAGATTGCCTTGCATCACAATTTTACATCTCCTATCGTAACAATACTGCTGAGAGGTGGTCTGGTATAATTTAAACCTATCACCGGTCTAGGAAAAAACTGAAATCAGGATTTGACAGAGTTTGTTGTCGAATGTCGGATAGTTCACCGCGGAATACCCGATGTATCCATTAGGACTGTGTCTCTCATGTAAATGGCAGCACTATATTTTATCGCCCCTTCTTGATCTTTCTTTTGCTCCTAAATACGTTATAGGCTAGCGTTCAGTACCTTCGTGTGATATGCATTCCCTATTTACCAACCTTGAATGGAAACTCGAATAATATCACTGCCCACAGTATTTTTTAAGTCTTCTTCTCCTTATGGCTACACCAGGGATTTGCTTTGGTACAATATAACTCTCACCTCTGCTGAGCGTAACCATGGATGGCAAGGTCTTCTATGGCGTGGTGCAACTTGAAATCCTAACAGCTGGCCATCTGAGACACGGGTTCATCCCGACTATAATGTAAGGGAGAGGCAGATGCCCGAAACCCAGCATTACAGCTTCTGCCACCAGAAAGACGTAACCTTTACCAATCTCCCGACACACGCAGACCTTGGATCAGAGAGATTGATTGCTTCGACATGACTACCGACACGAGATGGAAGGGGCTTGCGCGCGCCAAACAGCAGGCTATCCTCGACGCAATCCCAGCCAAATGGAGAATTCAAGAACCCATACCGCCTGCTGCCGATCTGCGAGACTGTACAGGAACCTACATCCAGCAGTTCTTGACTCCGCGGGAAATCGAGATGACTGAGTCGGATGCTGTGTCCATCACGCAGCATACCACTGTGGGCTTATGGAGCGCAGTAGACGTGACCGAGGCTTTCTGTCACAGAGCCGCGATTGCCCACCAGCTAGTACGTACATGTCTTGCATCATACTGTGAGGGAATAACGACCATAATACTCATACAGGTAAACTGCCTCCATGAGATATTCTTTGACGAGGCTATTGCCGCAGCGGGCGTGCTTGACCAGTATTTTGCGCAGCACAAGAAGCCTGTCGGTCCCTTGCATGGACTCCCAGTGAGTCTGAAGGACCAGTTCCACGTCAGAGGAGTCGAAACGACAATGGGCTATGTCGGATGGATCGACACTTTCGAGGGCGTCAAAGGCGATGCGCGTGCACGCACCTTTGAGAGCGAACTCGTCAAGGAGCTGCGCAATCTCGGGGCGGTACTCTTCTGCAAGACCAGCGTGCCTACGACGCTCATGGCCGGCGAAACCGCCAACAACATCATCGGCTACACGTGGAATCCCAAAAACCGCCATCTATCCAGCGGGGGCAGCTCCGGCGGCGAAGGCGCGCTGATTGCGCTTCGAGGATCGCCTGCTGGCTTTGGCACAGATATAGGAGGCAGCATTCGTGTCCCGGCCGCTTTCAATGGCATCTTTGGTCTGCGGCCATCCTCGGGACGGCTACCATATGAAGGTGTGGCAAACTCCATGGATGGCCAGAACATTATCCTGTCTGTTGTTGGGCCTATGGCCACGAGTGCTCGTTCTCTAAAGTTACTTACCAAGGCCGTTTTGACGCAAAGCCCGTGGAAGTACGATCCGCTGGTTCATGAGCTGCCATGGCGGAGCTCGGCCGAGAGGACTGTTCAGGAACTCATCGACGGAGACCCTTGTGCACTCACTTTTGGGGTTATGCATCATGATGATATTGTACTGCCCCAGCCGCCGGTTAGAAGGGCCATGCACTTAATTGAGCGTGTGCTAAGGCGACGAGGCCATCAGGTGAGCAAGGAAATATCCAAACCAAGCAACATTTAGATTTCTCTCAGTGAAGCCTTCGAGAAAGCTCATGAAGAATAGATTGTCAATTGGCGTCCGCCACCTCACGATATCTGCCTTGCTATTGCGGTTAGTTTGAGTGGCATCTTGCATTATTCATGCAGATACTGACTAATTTCACTTTTTCCAGAGACAAACTTTCCAGTCAGATGGAGGGGAAGATGTACAGGCTCATCTTGATCTCTCAGGCGAGCCACCATTGCCACAGTGTCTCATCTCAAAGTCAGACAGCTTAAACGCCCGGCAAATAGCAGCACTCAACGTCCGGAAGCGTCAATGCCAAAAGTCCCATCTTGATTACTGGAACTCGACTTCCAAACTGACTTCAAGCGGACGCCCGGTCGATGCCATCATATGTCCCACCGCACCTCACGCAGCCGTCGTTCCAGGACAGTTCCGCTACATCGGATACACCAGCTTTGTGAATACTCTTGACCTTACTAGTGTGGTGATACCCGCCACGTATGCCAGCAAGTTGCTGGACCGACCTGAGCCTCGGGACCCTGCAAGCTTCATGAGTCACGAGGATATGGAGATACATTCTGATTGTGAGTTCTGATGCTCTGGCATCTACAACCTTGAAGCTAAAGCCCTCCAGACGACCCTTTGATTTATGATGGTGCACCAGTGGGAGTTCAATTGATTGGCCGCCGTTTAGAAGAGGAGAAGATTCTTTGTCTCGCAGAGTATATTCAAGCATTCTGTGTTGAGCCATTCATGTCTGCTGAGAAAACACAGGTTTGGGGTTGCTAGCCTTGGGGTACATGGGTATGCAAACTTGTTCAAATATGATAAATGTACATTCACAGCAAACAAACCGCAGCGTTAGATATGTATCGATATGACCGATCCTGATGAGCTGTTTTAAGATGCCTGCCTAGCAAAGTTGATTTTAATCAATGGACAAAACAGTCATAGCCTCTACTTTGGAGCTGTTTACTTCTCCACGACATTGCCATCATACTCGCACAGAAACCGTGCCACAGCATCTCGAGCGTGTACTGGCTGGATTGTAGTCCTAGAAACCCGAGCGCCACAAAGTTTCAAGGAACCTGTATTCATAACCTTTATGAATAACCTTGCGCTGGTGAGCATAGTTGGATGAGAGCAGTCCCGCGCTATCATGGTGCCTGGGTGGAGCCGCCGTATCACATCACGCCTGAAAGCTCGCGCTATCACAAAGCGGACCCTTGGATTACATGCTTGTAGTATATGCTGTATTGTATCGTATCTTATTCCCGCTGTAATACCACCATAAGACCCATTATACCCAACATTGCCGTTTTCAGCCATGGATATTCTGAGAGTAATATTGTCACATAGCCCACAAACGGCACGTATGCTACTACGCTGCCGACGATGTCGCTGCGCTCCAAGTAGTCTTGCCCTCTGGCGTACCTGTGGTGGGGGGGAAGAATCACAGTCAGTAACCACAAGTCGCAAGAGATGATCAGTTTGTATGGCTAGATAGAAGTAGAAACTCACAATTCGGTGTCATCGGCAACGTTATTGTCTCCTTTTGTTAACAGCCGTGCCTTGTCCCTGCGAAAAGCATCAGCAATACGCATCAACCTGCCGAAGCAGCATTTCACCTACCCATGGCCAAATTTCCGTACGACTCGATGAACAATGGGAATTTCCTTATCCTTCACATTGTACACAACAATATCGCCAACTGAGGTTTCGGTAAACAGCTCGCGGTTCCATAGCAAGAGCAGGTCGCCTCGCTGGAAGGCCGGCTCCATGGAACCACTGAGGACAACGACGATCGGGGAGGGAGAGTCGGCGACGATGGAGAGGCCCTTCCACATCTATGCAGCAAAAACAAAAGTCAGCTTCATATTCCTATGTCTCCTTGCCACAATGCGCCGCATGGATTGGTTATGCGGCAGAGCAAGAGTCGCAACGCACCATGAATGCCGTGGACAGCACTAGACCAAAGTTCATGATCTGCGCGGCGATATTCCGCGGGTTCTGGAGGCCCGAAAACATGGTGGGCGCCTCGATCTCGAAATCGCAAATATGCTGGTTGTTGTGGTGTTGTGGTGTTGTGCAGAGTTGAATTGGCCGTGGTCCCGGTGCTTGTGCTGGCCAAATCGCAACACCTGTGCTGTACTGTAAATTGAAGCCACGCGAGCTCCAACACGATCTGGACATGGTGGCTCTCACAAAGTGCACGGGCCAATCAGCGCTTCCGACTGGGCGATCGGCCCCGCCCAAGCTGGCAGCTCGCAGCGGTACGTACCGCGGGCAGCTTCTGAAGGTTTTCGGAATGGCAGAAGCTCGATTTGCGGGGGTTTGATGTCATTGCCTGGACGCCATGGACAGAAGATGTCATCGCTCGTAATGGCGGGCTTGGGGCTGAAGCGTAGAATTAATTAATGTATTAATGTATTGAAATGCCCGTCTCTCCGAGCTACTCTCTTGCCACTATCACTATCTGCAAGAGGATAGCTGTGGCATTGTCCAAAGTCAATTCCCATCACACGCATTACCCTACAGCCAGGTGTAGACATCATTCACAATGGAGGGCAGCGGCGGCAGCAGCAACAACAATCCCGAGCAGCAGACAAGCCTGATGGGCGGCCATGCTCAGTACCTTAAAGGCGTCGGAGAGGTATTCGCAGCTTCCGGGGCATCCATGTCTTCGCCATGAAATGCTAACAAGATGTGTCTTACAGGCAGCTGTTGGAAGCATCAGCGGCTCCAAATCCTGGGCCGACTCGGGAGCGCAAGACAAGGCAGCCGGCCTCGCCGCAATGAAAAAGGCTGGCGAGCAGAGAGATCCCAACCAGGGTTATGGACGAGCAGAGGAGTGGGCTGGCAAATTGACCGGCTGCGAGGGAATGCAGAAAGAGGGCTTCGCAAGCGCTCATCAGAGAAAAGACTGAGAAGCGTCGATTCATCTCCTTTCCGTTGTCTGGGACGACCGGTTGCGGCATAATTGAATGTATAACAATGTAAAACACAAATATGTAAAAAAAAAAAACAAAAGATTGAGCACTCTATTTGGCATCTCACCTTCCGTGTTGTACTTGATAGGAGGTGCTGCGGAATACAGGGGAGCCCTCGAGCCTTCTGCCACTTGACGTCCTCTCACAACTCTCTTTCCCAATGAACAATGTAGTAGTAGTAGCATGCGCTTAATTATTTGCAGATAAAAGTGCCGCCGCCATGTTTACTTCAGCTTCAACAATACACGCCATCTTCCTCTTGTTGCTGCTTAGAGACTCAGTCCTATCGCATACAATCTCCTCATATCCATCTCGTTTAGTCCCACGATTAATCGGGAGGGGAAAACTGCTCGCTAAAGCATTGCTACAATCTTATAATTCGACTTCTTTTTTTGCCACGCTATTTGCTTTGGCTGCTGGGCATTACAATCAACAATGGACTCAACACCTCTACTCATCGGCTCGGGTAGCCTTCCCGGCCCGACCGTTCTACAGGACCATGTGAGTACATGCTTTCGAGGGATTCTGCTGAGTAGATACTAACAAAAGATCATCAACCAGCCTGTGTTCCTTCGTGCCAGCCATTCTCCATGGTTCTGCATCCCGCAAAACGTTCTCGTTTTCTTCCGGGGGCTCATTCTTGCATACCTGGTGGCCACCGGTTGCCTGATTCTTAACTACGAGCTTACGGAAGATACGACTCTATCCAACTATCGACTTTTTTTCGACTTTGCGATTATCAGCTTTGTCTTGGTTCTCTTGTACTACATCATCACGTTTGTAGGTTGACATGAAGAGTGCTTCTGTGCCGAGCAGATGAATGGCTAACATCACTCGGCCACATAGTGCTGGACCTTCACTCACTTGTACTACCCAGATGTGGAAGAGGTAGATGGACGCCTTGAATGGATCATCATCAGCATGATGTCTCTACCCAGAAATCTGGCTAGCCTGCGCAAGCAATTTTACTTCTCTTTGTTTTATACCACTACAGTCGTCTTCGCTTTTATGAATACGGTAATCTACTGGTTCATTACGCGACCGCATGATATTGAGACGGCACCTGGTGACAAGGCTCCCGATGACAATAATCCTGGAGGCAATCTACATAACGGCAATGACCCAAAGAATGGAGATGCAAGCGGCGGAGAACTTTGGCGTGTAGGAGGGTATCTTGTTTCAGGTACACCATGTAAGGAACTTTTATGACCACTGATAAGAGCGAGCTGCCCGCTGACATATTTGACCAGTCAGTGATATTTTTGGCCAAGGGTGGTTCAAGTCCTTCTGTATTCTCAACCTGTATGGGATTACGGCCATCATTATGATCATTGAGATACTCTTTCTCAACAGCATCAAACGGCCATTTGTGAGTGTAATCACACGAAGAGGGGCATGACACTGAACTGACATGTCCATAGTCAATCTATGCCCATATCTTTAGTCTCCTCGTGCTCGCAGGTCTCTTCCTTGCCTGGGCCGCCATCGGAAGAGCAGCCACCGGCGTGTACTCGTTCTTCTGGCTCGATCCACAGGAGGTTGGCTCCCAAGAAGCGGTGGCGGCATACTGCATCGGCTTTGTCCTCCTGGCTCCCATTTGTAAGGCCCCTGGCATCTGCCGCTTTGAGTGCTGGTCGATGGCTAACAGTGGCTACAGGCTTTATCTTCATGCAGGGCTTTGTTGGCATTCGAGAGTCGCTCACTCGACCCCGCGTCATTCTACAAGCAGCCCCGCTGGAGGCCTAGATGCGAGAACGCGATGGAGGGGTAACGATGGTGACTGTTTGAGTCGACTGGATCGGAGGGTGTTTGTGGGCGTGTGACGCATCAAGGGACCAGACCGATCCGATCTCCTATGAAAAAGCCGCAACTGATGAGCTGTCAAGGTGGGGAGAGCAGTTTTGGAACATTATTTAGACCTAGAATCAATTTTAGAACCGATTGTGTTCCTGACTAGAACCAATCCGCAACCTTCTATTTGCCTATAAAAGTTCTCTTCCCATGACTTAAAGGGGTTGAAACGGCCCGGTGGAGAATCTCGGTGTGTCTGTACACGTTGACACACCCATAACGCCTGATCATATGATAAGGCATGGACTTGGTATTTTCCGCCAATATGTACGTCAAAATAGACGCTGCTTGTATGCGTGGCGCATGGCGTTTGGATCGCTGGGATCGCAGGGGAAGAAACGTTGCCCTGGGCGAGTAAAAAGCTGAGGCTGCGCGAAGTTGAGGCGCTTCAACCCCTCCGTGGAACACGTCACAGGTACATTGCGCCTACGTCTTTGAATGAGGGGTTGGCGGCCACCGCGTAGTAGAGGTACCAGGAGGGAGGCCTCGCCCAATGCCCCAATAGAGTGCAAGTTATTGCAAACTTGCAATACGCATCAAAAAGAGAGAGAGCAGTTGGTTGCCATAAGACATATATACACAATAGAGCGGAAAAGTGCCAAAAAGTGCCAAAAAGTGCAAAAAAGATTTCGAAGCTGGCGGTATCTTCTCTCCCGCCGGGAATTGAACCCGGGTCTCAAGCGTGACAAGCTTGCATACTGACCACTATACTACGGAAGATGTAACAGTCTTTGGTAGGCTGTTGTAGTGGGTCGCTTCGATGGAAAGCTCAGTTCCTATTGAGCACTAATAAGCCTTGCCATAGCAGCTGGGTAGAGCGACTTACACGGTACGGGTAGTGTCAGTAGTACTGTATGCGTCACTGGTCAGATGAAGGTAAACAGCCATGGAGAGTGCCGGCAGCAGAAGACGAGACGAGAGAGAGACTCGGATTAATCGACGACCGAGTCTCCTCTCCTCGAGGCGAAGTTGTAGTTGTAGTTGTAGTTGTAGTACATATTGTGTCTGAGGTCGAGGTGCTTGGGATCGATTCGGGGCTGTATACAGCGTATGCAAGGAGGACTTCAGAGACCTTGTCTTTTGACTGAGACAAGGTCTCTGATTCGGCGTGCTCTTGTTCACGACACTTGGTGCCCGGTGATTTGTCTTACCTCCTTATTCAGCTGCCTCCTGTGCCACTCCCATTCCACTCCCGGCTGCTCTCCTCACCTTTTCTATTTCTGACTGTTGCGTGACCAGAGGGGCAAAAGACACTGCTTGGCCGCCTCTCCAATTGGCTGCGTGGCTTGCATGTCGCAGAACCAAGGTTCCCAGCCAGTCATTTTGCCAGCCCTGCCACTCGGTGATGTCGACCTGCATGGTCCAGTGCCATGTGTCCGCAACCCCCCGAGCCGGTATCTTTTGCATGGCGCCCCAAGTACTGGGTACCTGCCGTGCCGCGGGCTGCCGCCGTGGCTGAGACACCAGTTCTCGCCGTCAGATTCACGGTCAATCGGTACCTGTCTGGAGGAGGTACATATAGTGGAGCCTGGCCTTGCTCTTTTCCCTCTTCTCCTCTTCTTCCTTTCTTTCTTTCCCCACACGCAAGCCAGAAAGGGTCGCAAAGCTCCTCGCGAAGAGAGCATCTTCTTGTACTCTGGTATAAGAAGGTGGTCTTTTCGCGCCCCGGACCCCGACAATCTTTTTGTTTCTTCTCATTGCGCGTCATTCACTCATTCATTAGGCTCATTTTCTTGTAAAGAAGGCATTTTCTCACCATCCTTCGCTCGCTCCTTTATTCGTCGCTCTCTTAGTCAAGTTACATGTAAGAGCGCTCTGTCTTATGCATCAACATCACCACCACCTCCACCAAGACGCCTCGTTCTTTAGCCACTTCAAGTTCATACCCGCCAAAATGTTCAAGCGCGCCTTCCGGTCGCAGGACCAGCCCCAGAACCGCGTGGACAAGGCGGCGCGGCTGAAGAAGCCGGGGGGCTCCGCCAAGGAGCACGTCAAGGCGAAGGTGTCCAAGCTGCAGATCTCTCACATAGAGCACGAAGCGGCACCCGCCCGGCCCGTCAACATCACTCCCTCGCCGATTGTCACCCTTACTATTGGCCGCGAGGGAAGACTCTTTGCAGCTCACGAGGATGTCCTCAGCCAGTCGCCCTTCTTTGAAGAGGCGTGCAGGAAGGAGTCCTCTGATGCCATGAACAAGAGAATCTCCCTCCCTGACGAGGAGCCCGAGGTCTTTTCTGCCGTCCTCGAGTATCTCTACAAGGGCGATTACTATCCCCGCCTGGTGCACAACAGGCACCGCAACTCGTGGGAGCTTGAGGATCGCATGAGGACTCCTCAGAAGTCATCACCAAACCCCGACATGGGGGGCGGCCACGCAGGCACGGCTTCCGATGCCGCCGTCTATCTCTCCAGCGCCGGGGCCGAGATCCTCCGCGACACCGTCATCTACTGTGCCGCGGACAAGTACGGCCTGGAAGAGCTGAAGCGTCTGGCTTTACGCAAGCAGGGGCTGCAGGCCGGCATTGATGTCGGCACGATCCTGCGATCTGCCCAGTATGCCTACGCCAACACGCCTGATTCGGACAGTCGCCTGCGCGCCCATTACCTGGCCTTGATTATTCGCTGCCGCAAGACGTTTAAGCGCAGCGGCACCATGCAGGCCGAGATGGAAGCGGGTGGCAGCAAGCTGTTCTTTGACCTGTTCGTCGCCATGTGCAATCATCTGGACGACGTCATTGATGTTACCAATGGCCGTACTCCAAAGACTGTATAATGAACGACAATGATGAGAACGGCGAAAGCCTTCGGTGGCCCGGCTGAGCGCAATGCCGTTGGGCAGCGAAGGATGGATTTTTTTTTAAGAAAATAAACGAAAAAAGCTTTAAAATGGAGAAATCAGATCAATAGAATTCCCAGCAAGCATTGCCAACATTGTTCTTGCGAGGGTTAAGCAGCTTTGGTTTAAGCGCCATGTTGCATTTGATCGCCGTCTTTTGCTCTTTTTACCGGTTTTAGCCCGTCTGAACGTTCTGATGAGTGCAAATTATGGGAGGCGTCTATTTACATGGGGCCACTGTCTTTTTTTCTTGTATTACGGACTGTTATTGCATGGAGTGTGTGCTTTTTTTTTCACATTTCTTTGCCTTTATATCAAGTCTCAACTCAAAGAACCGTTTTTTTCATTCTACGGCGCTGGATTGCGTCCTTTTTGGTGTGTTTCTATCAGATCGGGAGCTCTTTTTACAGAACCATCCTGCACCATTAAGAGAAGAAAAAAGAACAAAAAAAGAGGTGGAAAGCGACAGCCCGGAAGGCTTGTTTTTTCGGAATGGGATCCTGCTTGAGAGTTTTCTTTATGCTTCAGCATTGCTGTTTCGTTCGGATGCAAATATTGGGAAATGGGATAAATTGGAAGAAATACATTCACCTGGATAAGGCATATTTTTCTTTTGCTTTTTCACTTACAGGTCGAGTATTAGAAAAAATTTCGGGACAAGATTGGAAAACCAGAGCGCCTGCTTCTGTATTTTTGGTGTTTTTTTCCCTTTCTTCTTCTCTCCTTTTTCTATTTCATCTTTTTTTGACGAAGACATGAGAAACACTGCATAGCCCTGGGGGCGTTGACGCAGGCCAAAAAAAAAAAAAAGAGAAAACTAATTCTACAGGGCCGCTAGCGGTCCTCCCTGACTTGAATTCCGCGTCAGGGTTGAGGTTAATGAGACAATTTTGCACCTCATATGCTTTGTGCCACTTGCTCTTGTGAATGTTATATTGCTTTCTGATGAGTATACTATAGCCTAACCTTGGGCTAATAGACTATAACTACGTATGCTGTAGACATTAAGCTGCATCCCACTTCACCTGAAAGTCTTGAAACTTGGCCTCCAACTCGTCGCTGGTATCTTTGGTCGGTCTAGCTACAAGAGCGCCAATCTCGAGTTCCCAGCCACTTCCACCATTATCTCCATACGGCCAGCAAATCTCCCTCATCGGGACCTTGTTCTCGCCATCGACGCGATACACCCAGAGGCACGAGCCGTCATGGGCATCCAGCCTCTCGACTAAGATGGTGACGGCCTTGCGGCCCGCCTTGATGTCCTCGGGGCCACTGGCGTTGGCGACGCTCCAGTCGGCCCAGTTGTCGCAGCAGACGGTGGAGAGGCGGGACTGGCCGTCGAAGAGCTCGACGCCGGCTTTTATCCACTTGCGGGGGCAGGAGGGCTTGGTGAAGACGAGGACGATGCCGGCCTGGTCGAACTGGTGGGTGTAGGTTGTGGTAAAGGTGAGGGAGGCGGATTTGAATTGGGGGAAGGGGTTTTTGGAGAGGGAGTGGTAGGGGGCTGGGTTTGGTGGTTAGCAACTGAGTGGACAGTAGGTAGTATGTATAATATGAGGTGGTAGATGTATGGCTTACCGGTGAAGACATCGTGAGACGGGGGTTTCTTCCAGACATCGGTGTTTGCTGGGGCGGAAAAGGTGAAAGTGGATTCAGCAGCAGCCATTGCGATGATTAATGTTCAAGTTGAAGTGAATACAACGGATTATTATGAATGAAGCTGGGTAATAGATAGATGGTTTGTAAGTTGGAAATGAGATGGACTTCCTTGTTTTTATATGACGAGCTGGTGGAGACACATCGAATCCTCTACGCTTCTAGAAACAGAGAAGATCGGAGTATTTACTTAAGGGCCGCGTAGATCGAGGTCACGCTCTAAATATCTTATTTCACCGATCTATGCTGCTGCTTACCTGCCAAGAAGATACCCCGTAAAACTAACCAGTTGTTGCTATAAAAGTGCTTTCTGTTGGTATAAGCCCCGGAGAAATGGTAGAGTAAAGCGGGGGAATTAAACTACATATGTAACTAGACGTAAGAATCACGAGTCGACGGGGAGTGTCGGGATGTCTTTGTGATCCTGAGGCCGAGGTAAATATTGATCCAAATGCATTTTGAGCTTCTTTTTTTCGTCTTGGGTTGCACAGCCTCAGTGCACACAACTTACATGTAGCTAGACATCGTAGTTGAAAACAAAGTAGACTCAAGCGGGTGACGCATACGGCGATTAGAAACGCCATTTGGTTGCAGTCATGGCAACAACGGCGGCGCAGAGTTTAGCCGACGTTTAACCCGCCGGACCGACCAAACTCTCGAGCAAGGCAAATCAGACTTTGCCTCGACCAGAGAACGATTCGGGCTTTTTTTTCTCGTCTTCTCATCTGCAAAAGAAGCGCCGCAGCTGAGATTGCTGTGCTCGACAAAACCACTTGAGCCCGTCTCCCGTGCAATCCCAGACACCCGGCGGCACGTCCCACGGCCTCGCAGCATCTCGAAAAAAATTCCTGAAGCATCCAGATTCGAACCGACGGCTGTCTCGCAACCGGTTCCACTGCCGTGACTGGAAACTTTTGCTGTGAAGCTGCTTTTTTTCGTGCGCTTCCCCACTCGGCCATTGGTCCACCAAGACTGGCAGCCTGCGAGTCTTTGCCCCGCCGAATTTTTTTTTTCTCTTCATTTTCCATCTACCCACCCCCGAGCGTGCTCTAAAGTGCGTGCGTCGCGCTTATCGAAATTTTTCTTTGCGATTTGAGAAGCACCGTTTGGGTCTTCCTCATTGCTTTATTAACGGGGATATTTGCGAATTTGTAAGAGAGATAGGACTTAATCGTTAAGCGATAAACAGCCTTTCTTGAAAGAGACTTTGTTCAAGGCGAAGAAAGCGACAAGTGCAGCTACACAGAGCCTCTGATTTTTTTTTCTTTGTCCTTCTCTTATCGATTCTCACTGCTCACTTACATCGTCATCGCCTCTCAACTGCGTATTGCTCCATCACACATGCAACTTTCAACACCATAGCAAATCTCGCAATGTCGTTTCTCACACCGCCGCCGACGAAACGGCCAAGTCAGGGTCCCGGCCCTGCAAAACCTCGCTTTGCTAGACCGAATCCTGTCCGGGCGCTCCGCGAGCGTGAGGAGCGTCGCCATGCAGCAGCAGCAGCAGCTCGGCTTTCATCGACTCAGAGGCCAGGGGTCGTCACTCCGGCTCATCAGCAGTGCGCCAACAAAGCCTGTCCGAAGCCCAATGTTGTCGACGGCACTTGTCAGACATGCGGTCGTGTCGCTGATGACAGCAACATTGTGTCTGAGGTGCAGTTCGGCGAGACGTCGTCTGGTGCTGCCATGGTGCAGGGAACGTTTGTAGGAGCTGATCAAGCCGGTGTCAGGGGCATGGGGCCTGCTTTTAGGAGGGTTGGTGGTAGCGAAGACAGGGAGAAGAGCATCCGCGAAGCGCGAGGTCTGATGCAGGGTTACGCTCAGCAGCTTAATATCAGCGACAGTCTCGTTACTGCGGGTACGCAGGTCTTCAAGCTTGCATCCGGTGCCAACTTCATCCAGGGCCGCACGCTGGCTAGCGTCGCAGCTGTGTGTCTTTACGCTGCTTGCCGTGCTGAGCCACCATGTAAAGTCATGCTCATCGACCTGGCTGATTTAGTGCAGCTTAATGTCTTCAAGCTGGGTCGAATCTTCAAGAAGCTGAACGAGGTGGTACCGATCGGAGCTGATGGACTCATTCCGGTGTATCCCGAGGACCTCATCTGGCGATTCGCCACCAAGATGGAATTTCGCCAAGACACGGCCAAGGTCGCTGAGGATGCGGTCCGACTGGTGAAGCGAATGAGCAGGGATTGGATGGTTATGGGTCGACGGCCTTCTGGCATTTGCGGTGCCTGTTTGCTGATGGCTGCACGTATGCACAACTTTCGACGAACCGTTCGCGAAGTCGTCTACATCGTCAAGGTCACAAATCACACCATCCAGAATCGATTGCAAGAATTCAACAATACCGAGTCAAGTCGCATGTCAGTGGAGGACTTCTTAAAACAGGATTTCTTGGAAAGCTCGCATGATCCCCCCTCATTCTACCGGAAATCCGATGAGTACAGAAAGAAGATGGATGAGAATTCAAGGAAGCGGAAACGAGGCATCACTGTCGAAGATACCGAGCAACCCATCGTAGAGCATGCGCCCGTTAGACGACATATTGAGGGAGGGGCGGATCTTTCCAAGGCACCCGAAGTCAACTACCGTCGAGATGCCGATGGATTCATCATCCCTCCTTTACCTTCACAGATTCCCCAAGGAAACATTAGTCTTAATCCGCAAAAGAAGGAGAATGACGACGAAGTAGAAGGTCTTGAAGATCTCGCCGAAGAGTTTGGAGATGTTCTAGATGAGGAGGAGGCAGATCATGATGCCTCAAAAGGAGGCAAGGGTAAACGCGCCAAGCCTCAGCTTCCCATTAACGAAGAATGGGAGCAGGATGAACAGGATCTTGAAGGTGTCATTGAAGAGATTTTCAACGATCCACTTACCTACGAACATGCTCTTGCATACTCAAATGCCGAGCAACGAGCTCGAATCCACTCCGTCTGGGCTCGTCAACAGCAACCGCAAAAGGAGGTGTCCATGGCAGCCGACGTCACCGAAGATGAATTTGCTGATGACCCCGAAGTCATCAACTGCCTATTATCCCCTGAAGAAGCACGTATTAAAGAGATTATCTGGGTAAATCAGAACAAAGACTGGCTGAGGAAACACCAAGAAAAAGTGTTCCGACGAAAGATGGAAGCAGAGCGCCCTAAGCAGACACGCAAGAGGAGAAAGCGAGCTAGGATGGGAGAGGGTCAGACAAGCCCTGCCAGTTCTGCAGCGGAAGCAGCCATTGGTGTGGCCAAGGACCGAGCTTGGTCCAAGAGGATCAACTACGATGCTATCCGTAGCATTTTCGACATGCCAAATGCAGGGCTTGGATCTACAGCCACGAGCCGAAAGACCAGTTTGGCGGGCAGTGCATTCGGCGCTGACGATGAAGGAAGCGAAGCCCCGGATGAGAGCGTTGCTGGCGATGAGGAGCATCACGAGGAGCATGCTGATGAGGAAGAATATGAGGAGCCGGAAGAGTTTGGAGAGGGCGAGGAATTTGGAGGAGGGGGTGGTGAATACGAAGGAGGGTACGATGAGGATGATCCTGACATGGACAATGAGTACGGACTGGAAGAGGATTAAAATCTGCATCTTGCTTAGGAAGGGATATTACCCTCGAAGCATATGGCGTTTTGGGTTCTGCTACACATGTTTGGCAGTGATTTTTTGATCGGCATATATCGAGTGTTAGCTGGAATGACAGGCACCAGACTCTGGAGTATATATGCTCTTAATAACTTGGTGAAATAACCCTTTGTCTAATCATAAATACATTATTATATCATTATCGTACACGGGCATTATTGATTATATTCAATTAGATCATGTCGATGTGAGCTCACACAATGATCTTAATCCCTAGCTCAGCTTCACATAGTCTAATGCTCTCATTCTCCATGGACTTGTACAGCTCATCCGAGCTATTCAATTTCGCCCCCAGAGCTTCCTCCATCCCAGCTTCATTAGATAGTGCGTCAACAGACTGAGACGAAGCCTGAGTCCCGAGATTGGATCGGAAAATGCCCGCGGCAGACAAGGGCAGAAAATCCTCGTATGTTATAGGGGTGATGTCGATGACGCCTTGCTGGATGAGATGCTCCAATGTGAAACTGGATTTGACGTCAGGAAGAGGTCTATTTGTTACATTGTATGTGAAGTAGACGAGTTTTTGTGCTCGCAGCGTTTTCCAGTCATCGGGATATTTCTGAAACGCAACCTCAACCTGTCTATCCAACTCTTCTGGCGTTGAATTCTGAGAAGTTGATTCCGCAGCTGCCATTGCTTCATTCAGTAGCTCGTCGTATAATTGTCTCCCAGCAACAGTTACCGCCGCGCCGCGCTCTTCGATTTCTCCAAACCGAGCTTTATGTGAGCCACTGACGAGTTTTGCTTCAGATTCTATGCTCTGCAGAGTATGCGCAGTGAAGAACTGTACGGGCTCTTCAATGGCCAGGAAACTCGTCTGCCGAAGCAAGATGGGACAATTCCTCCCGGGAGGGCCTTCAATCCGGTCTTTCACTTTTAACCCTTGCGACTTCATCTCTTCCTGCGCGGCGGAAATGTCGAGCGTGCGCGGTGTCAGGTGGTTGATGTGCGCGCTGCGGAAACATGCGATATCCGCAAGAATCTGGTGTTCCCTCTTAAGAAGCTGGTAGTCGTCGTGCGAAGAAGCCGCGGTGCCGTGCCAGCGGAATGTCTCCATGGCTTGGATGACGAAACGGGTGCCTTGGTCGACGGTCAGTCTGCCGCCCTGCTTGTCGGCGAGGTCGAGCAGGTTGATGAGCTCTGCGGTGAAGATGTTGCGCTTGGAGAGCAGTTTGAGCGCGAGAGACCGGGCTTCGTCGTCACGGATGAGTTCGGGACGGAGCAGAGACGTGAATACCCGAAACGGGTTCTTCTTTAGGGATGCGGTGCTGCGTGGCCGGAAGCACGTTGCGTGCATGGGCAGGCCTGCCGCGGCGAGATTGTAGTAGCCAACGGGATGTAAGCCGATGATGGCGAAGATGCGCCGCACGGTGCGCAGTTCGTAAGGGGTGCCGAGTCTGATTGCGCCGTGGCGCTCAATGTCTAGTCTTGAGGAGGCGACGTTGCCGTGGCGCATGGCGAGGACGCGCGGGTCGAGGTCGGCGGTGCGGGTTGATGCGTTGACGGCGTTGACGATGTGGATGAGGGTGCCGTAGAGGGGGACTTCGGCCTTGTACATGGATGACATGGCGAGGGTGAAGGCTGTGCGGAGGGCGTCGGGGTCTGCGAAGTCATGATGTGAAGATGTGGTTGTGATGGTTGCTGTGGTGGTGGTTGTGGTGGCGCTGGGAGCCATTGTTACGAGAGATGTAGAGGAAACAGTGAGTGTGGTTGATAGTAATGCGAAATATGAAGCAGCAGGATGGGAATGATATTATGTTCAAGTGTCTCTTGTGGTGGGAGATGAATCTGAATTGGTATTATAGATAAGAACGAGTAGATGATCTGACGGCCGCGACAAGAGCAGCGGATTTATTATGTACTAGACGTGGAATAACAGAATTCAGACCGCCGGTGTAAGACATCTTACATGCTGTATCCATCACTGCAACAAAATGGGGGATTCTTTCGGCTGGTCTCGGTACAGCACGTTGTTATCGCGTAAAAGATAATAGGTCATTCGTATGTATGTGCCGGTATTTGTATCGTAAGAAGTCTGGGATGGTCCACAGATATGGGGGAGGCGGCGGATGTTATCCAGTGCCATGGCTTCCAAAAAGGGTAGTTCGTTGGAGAAAATGGGGGGCTGTGATTGGATGGCTTGGGGAGCTTTATCAACATGCGTCGCTGATATCAGATAAGAGGGGGCAATGGAGTACCGTAAAGTTTCGAAATGGGTGTCGCGGGTTTCCTTAGTTAATTTAGTAACAAGGCGACGGCTAATTGTGGGCTCGTACCTCTAAGTTTCCAGCTGTACCCCGCAGGTACTGCGGGGCACCGTGACAAACTGGGACGGACTCCCCCATCTTTGCCATTTCCTTCCCACTCTTTCCTTTATGCTCTCTATAGCCAAAAAAGACTTTCTACAAGCTAATCATAGCAAACGCCCCTGGAGGCTGCAAATCGCAGTCTACTAAAAAATTTTACTACAGGAGGGACTAAAACTCGAAATGGGTGTCGCAGGCCTTGTTGTACCCGCAAAGTATTATCACACATAATGAGCCAATTCTGGCTCGCCATATATCTATATTCCCAGTCACGTGCGTGTCAGCTCACAAGTCTCAGTACCTCTAGAAGATGCGTCCGCTCATAAAATACTATAAATCAACATAGCTCCTACGACCTTCACTTTGCAAAGACGTGTTACACTTAGAGATTATAACAGGGAAAATGGCCCCGAACCCGACATCCTAAATACCACCACTCTCCCTGAACCAGTACCCAGAGCTATAGCTACGTCCGTTAACGGCACCTGTGGTAACGTAGAAGGTAGTGCATAAGGCCATACAGCCGACATAGAGGACTGGTATTCGGGCGGAAGCCACAATATATTATGCTCATTCCAAGTGATCCAACACTTATCGGTGCTTAGGCCGTAGCCATAATGTTTTGCCTTCTGAGAATTGTTAGCAATGGGTCGGCGTTGATCCTGATCCTGAGCCGGATCCGAATCTGGAGACAGAACTTGAGCTATCATCGTATATTGGGCTTCAGTTCGATGTTCTATGTCCAATTTTATAGGACCGGCTTCAGTATGAAGATATGAGGTCGTATTGTCGAAGAATATAGTACGTATTGCTGTGTCAACCTGAAGTGTCTGTTGCACTTTGCCAGTTGTTGTATCCCAGATTTTTACAGTCTCATCTAACGAGCCTGAGGCGAGGTAGCGGCCATCTACTGAGAAGGCGACTGAATAAACCCCACCACTATGACCCTCAAGGGTCTGTCGCTCCTTGCTAGTTGTTATATCCCAGATTTTTACAGTCTTATCTGACGAGCCTGAGGCAAGGTAGCAGCCATCTGCTAAAAAGGCAACTGAGAAAACCCCACCACTATGGCCCTTAAGGATCTGCCGATCCTGGCCTGTTGTTGTATCCCAGATTTTTACAGTCCCATCCCAAGAGCCTGAGGCGAGGTAGTGGCCATCTGCTGAGAAGGCAACTGAGCGGCCTATATCACTATAGCCCCTAAAGGTCTGCCGCTCCTTGCCAGTTGTTACATCCCAGATCTTTACAGTCTTATCCGACGAGCCTGAGGCAAGATAGCCGCCATCTGCTGAGAAGGCAACTGAGAGAACCCCACCACTATGACCCTTAAGTGTCTGCCGCTCTTTGCCTGTTGTTGCATCCCAGATCTTCACGGTCTCATCCCACGAGCCTGAGGCAAGGTAGCGTCCATCTGCTGAGAAAGCAACTGACCAGATTATATTGCTATGGCCGTCAAGGGTCTGCCGCTCCTTGCTAGTTGTTGCATCCCAGATCTTTACGGTCTCATCCCACGAGCCTGAGGCGAGGTAGCGGCTATCTGCTGAGAAGGCAACTGAGAGAACCCCACCACTATGGCCCTTAAGTGTCTGCCGCTCTTTGCCTGTTGTT